GGCAATTTTTCGCCCGGTGTAGGAGTTCGGCGACTCGCTTGGCCATTTCACGGAACGGGCGAGTCGGACAAATTCACTTTTGGAGTGTATCCAGTGGCGCAACCAGGGGGTTGTTTCGGGTGTCCTGACACTTCCATACCTCCGTGTTGAAACATTATATATGTATTGAAAGACGTGTTTTTTTTTTTTTTTTTTAATGTAGACACGTACACCATCCCCGCTTCAAAAAATCCCGATTGCGCCACTGCAGGGCGTAACCTATATATTATTATAAAACCATCACGAGCCGATTAATAACGGACGGACAACAAACATAATATTATTATTATTGTAATGTCGCTGAGAGAGTTGAATTGTTGTTTCAAACGATTCCGTCAATGTGATAACATGCCGATGACACGTATTGCCGTATTGCTCTCAAAAACGTGAACGTTTTTGGAAGTCCGTGCGTATCAATATACTCGTGCGCTTTGCCCATACCTTCATGAAGTTCGTTATATTACGCTGTTTATTTATTGCTGTACGGCGTGAAAATAACGTCCCGGCGGTTATCAGAAACACAAAACACACATTACGATAACATGTAAAAAAAAAAAAAAAAAAAAAAAAAAATAAAAACATCATTGGGCGTCGTCGTCGTCGTCGTAACGCACATAATATTGGGTGTGTTGCAGAGCGTTTTATTTTAGTCGATTCGACAAAAAAATAATAATAATTTTTGTTGACCGCATTCCTCGGGTCCCCGCGTCGTCGTCATTCTGTACATAATATTATTCCCGTTGCCATTCACGTAGCCCGTTCACGGTAATCGCCAATGAATATTATCATCGTGCGCCGATAAACTCGAATAGCTCGTTTTTTAAACGTTGACATTTCCGCGCTTATCGCCACCGTATCTTTATATATTATTATACACGCGGTGATTAGATACTTTACATACACACATAGAAAAAAAAAAAAAAAACAATAATGCTCGTTTGGAAATAATATTTAAATAAACGAACACTTAAAAAACAATAAACGTCTAAAAACCGAACGTTAGTTAACGCGCGTTTACTCCTTATCTCGGTTAGTATATATTATTATAATGTATATTGTATGCTCGTTATCTTATCTGGGGTGCGCGTTGAATGTATATTTATATAAAAAAAAAAAAAACAAAAACCACGACTTATCTCGCACTGTATCGTTTCTGTTTCTAAATTAACTTAAAATCTCGAAAATATAACACAGGTACGGTTCGCGAGACCATCCTCGGTTTTGCGTCCACGTTTAAAAAACTTTTCCATATACTGACTATATATGTAAAAAAAAAAATTTAAATTAAATCGACGGCCGGTTTTTGAACGGTACATTTTACATATATTATAATGGATAGTCCGTATTTCACTACGTGATATGAAAAATTATTTTACACCCGATAAAACCAATAACAGTAATAGTATTATAGCTATAATAATGTAAACCCATGTTTGCCCGGTCGGTATATGTTTTTTTTATCGACCAACGCGCAGGAAGTAGAACTATCAAAAAAAAAAAAAAGCCAATGCTGCCGATAGACGTGCCACTGTGTTGGGAGGGAAGTCGAAAGGGAAGACACATAGAGTGATATATAGTTTATATATCTGTACGCAGCGATAAACAGTTGCTAACGAAAAATGATTCTGAGCTATTATTCTGAGTATTATTGTCAAAGTAACTCCCACACTGCAAACAAACATGTCCATAATACGAACAAAATATTTTTAGGAAAATTCTGTAGTTGCCAAAATATTTTCGATTATTGTCAAATATAATGGTGTAAATATTATCGAAATATTTTTTGCCCAAATAGTTCATGTTTGGAAAACATTTTAATCGCATATTTCTAAAACGTTTAATTTTTACATTTTCTTGGAACCATTACATAAATATTTAATAAAAACTACTAGGACAAAAAAAAATTTACCTTTTCGATGCCCCAACTAGATCAAAAGCGCTACACGAAGTTTACTTACAAAGTTATTGAATGGAGGGAGTAAGATATTTTTTGGTAGACAAATTGTTATAGAGGTATAAAAAAAAAAAACATATCGCAATGTAGTAAAACTGATACAATCGTTAATACTATACATCATTCATAGAAACGCAATAAAAAAAAAAAGTTTCGGAAAATTCAATTTTAAATTATTGTCGGTCCCCTGAAGCTTATTACTTTTATATCAATCTGCTCAGCAAATGAGGTTACGGCAGTTTAGTAATAGGAATCGGAATTACAAAATTACCACATTTAGTTTTGTGTTAGTTTTCCATTTAAAACCGGTGTGCCTAACAAATAGTATATTACGGATGCGTTGGCCGAACGTATAGCGTTTTTTAGAGAAAAATGATAGCGTTTGGAGGTCTTGTACCGAGGGCGCGATATGTGCCTGTACAAAATCGGACGTTCATTTAATTTTCGAGAAACGACCGGAAAGAATTCGAATATTGATGAAAATCGACACGTTCAGGACTATTATAGTAATGTATATTATTTTGACGTTGTAACAGATTCCAAAAAGATACCGATACGTACGAAATGCGTTTTTAATCAGTCGTCCTCGGACTGTTTTAACCGAGCCTGTACCGTATGTTAACAGTTCCCGTAATCTAGATTGCGTATACCTATATAGGACGTATCTGAAAGTAATATCTTAAAATATATATATGTATACCGTACATAGAGATATAGGATATAATGTACCCTCCGCTCGTCTGAGCGCGGCTATTGTTTGAGAACTAATCCGCACGATCCGGCCCGCGTGCGAGTTCCCCGCTATGGAAAATATTATTATTATTTAAAAAAAAAACTAAACTAAAACGTTAGTACCTACCTATATAGATAATAATATTATTATGACGGTTTGGCACGTTATTATTATTATTAAAATGTCGTTTTTGTATTTGAAGAGAAAAAAAAAAAAATAAATAAACAACAAAACGATAATTCCGGTAAACTTTTATTAGTTACCTACACGCCAGATATCATCGTTTGTGTCGAACACATTTGTGTAAGTACGTATAATAAGATAAAAATCGTTGAGCCAAATAGCGAAACCGGTCCGATGGCTTTTAAAACAATAGCCAACACGGCCGACCGTATACACATGCACGCGCACACGATAATATTCTGTACAAATGGCGTGTCTTTCGACGGTTTACAAATTGTCCGACTGCTATATTATTATATACCGCAATATTATAATACTATTTTATTTTTATTTATTTTTTATAGACTGTGCAATACTGCGTTTTTTTCCCCCCGGAGTTTTTTTTTTCCCATTTTTAATGGTTTATTGTACTTTTGACACGGACATAATATTATTATTGTCATTATTATACGTTCAAGTGTAATCGCGTTAATTTTCCGACAATTTCAATATTATACACGCATATTAGTGCAATACAATACCTACGAGCTGATGCGTAAAATCCTTGACTGAAATAATATATAAACGTACAGACGGTCCGAGAGTTATGGTAAAATCCTTTTGCACCTATACGGACCTAAAGTGAAACGGCGAATCAGAATGCGGGACCTGTGCCAGGTACTAGGCACCTATTATAATATTATGGTGTATGGTAATAGGCAATAGCTTTAGGTACAACATGGTCGGTCACATTATCTCAGACCATATCATATATAAGCTATGTTCGTTAAAAAAAATGTATAGGTAGATGTTGAATTTACACATTATAATGTAAAAAAAAGTGAACACATTTTTGTTAAAACGAACAAATCGTTATGTACTGTATACTATAGAGAGGCTATACCTTATTTAGCTTGGGGAAGGGGAGGCAAAACCGTTAACAACAACGAAACTCGGGGAGAGTAGTGTTCAAATGTCGCGTGCCGTGCCGTCACACAAATTATGTACTTTACTACTCTCTCTCTCACTCTTTCTCTTTCTCTCTCTTTCTCTTTCTCTCTCTCTCTCTCTCTCTCTCTCTCTCACTCTCTCTGTCTTTCTTTACCCAAACTTAAAAGTGGGATATCTTGTCAACGGGTCGACGGAAGTCAATAATTTCAACACCGAGATATATTTAAACTAATATTCAGTCTGTTTTTTTTTCAGTACAGGTTTCCATTTGAAAATCAAAAGTGTGTTCGCTCCCGGGGAAATAATGGAATGTAACGTTTTAAAAATGCTCGTTTCTCAATTTGTAATAGTAAAAAAAAATTCCGGAAACAGTCAATACTTCCCGAGATAATAATAAGTGTCTTATCGAAAATTGATCTGCACCACGTGTACTCTTTTATTATCTGTACAGTCTCTACTGTTGTACTACATTGCGATTGATTAAATATGAATAGACAGCCACACACATATTATCATATCGAATTCGTCTCTCCCCCCCAGTGACGGATTTGATTCGTCTTCTAGGGGGATGGGGAGGGATTAAAAGAAATGATTATTTATTGATGTCTAGGAGTGACCATGGCCCATATGCCCCCCCCCCCCGAAACGCCGCGCCTGCTATACGCGATGCGTATAGGTCCGCGGCCGATTTAGACGGTTTTGTTCTTCATTTTTAATAAAATATTTTTGTTTTTTTTTTTTTTTGTTGTTTTTAATATAGCCGGTGAGGACAGCGAATGGGTGAAAAACGATGAAACCGCAACGGTCTGTAGCAACGGCGCAGCAGACTCGACGGCAAAATGTGACGTGAAAACGGAACAAAAACAATCGTCACCGCCGCGACCCGGAACGGCCGAACCGGACGAACCGCCATCCACCGTCGATCCGCCCCGCACATTGAGGATCAACCAGACTTTGGCCACGGACCCGGCCAGATGGTCGCCGGCCGACGATCCGCAGCCGCCGCCGCCACCTCTACTGCCGCCTCCGCCACCACCGCAGCCCGCGTCCCAATTGGCCGCGTCGTCGTCGTCCTCGTCGTCGTCGTCGTCGTCGTCGTCTTCGTCGTCTCTGTCGTCAGCCGCGTTGGCAGCGGGGCTGACCGGAGATGCCGGACACAACATGGTCGCTATAAACGCTCCCAGAGGTAAACACCGTCATCGGGTTCGTCGAGAATCAAACAAATTCGCCCGCATTCGCCGGTATTGGTACCTAAGTCATTTGTAAGCCAACGACGCGATAACGTTACTCGTACCGTTTTTCCACTTTTTTTTTTTTTTTTTGTTTTCTTACCAAACGAATCAGTCACGTGCGCGAAACAAAAAATTGTAACGTTATACCTATAATCCAAATCGTACGTGTCTATATAATTTTTAAACTGAATTTTAAACCATAGTAATAGAACGTATCTCTCAATGGCGCAGCCAGGATTTTTCGAAGTGGTTGTTACATATCTAGATACATATACGTATTATATATATATATATATATAAAATACGCTTTTAAATGAATCGTTATTACTTAAACACGGAACAAGAGAGTGTTCAGGTACCCAGCACATTACGTCTCCCCCTCGATTGCGTCACTTATTTCTCTGTCATCTCTATCAAGTGTAACGCGTGATATTGTGAGAAAAAAATATTTTATTACTTGCACGCGAAATTCATTTAAATAAATAAAAAAAAAGTCCAAAAATGAATTATTAGAATTCTAATTAAGAATTTTATACTACGACGAGAAATACATGTTGTATAACATCTACAACTTTCGGTGGGAGGGGGGTGGTATATGGACCAGAAACAAATGAGTATGGAAATAATAAAACAATGAACTATAAACATATTAACATTTGAACAAAAGTAAAACAAATAAAGAACTTGAATTTGGAATATCAAGATAAACTACTCCGATCGTGTATACGTACACATATTATATTTTGTACTTACAGCTGATATTCATTCCCGTGCGTTTTTGACTTACGAATTACTACTTACAAAATATCTTACCAACCGGATGTCGGCGAGTTTGTAATAAATTATTGTCGGTCAACGTCACAGACGTGAAAACACAATATTACTCGTATTATTAAAGCAGAGGACTTGTAGCCCTAAAAACACTAAATAAGTAAAACAAGCACTTCTGCACTTAAAAACCTTTAATATGCATACAAATAAGCTCTTATATTTTTTTAAGGTGATTTATTAAAAAAAAATACATTATTTTTTTACAATATTGTTAATAAAATTTAATTTCTTGAAAATTCTATTCTTCTGATTATGAAAAATAAAATTGTTTGTGTTTACTGTTTACAAATAAAATTTATCTTATCGGCGATCCTCTTGACGTGTTTCAAGGAAAAACTATATTATATGATTATAAAACAACCATAATACGATCAAAATTTAATTAATTTTAAATTCAACAATATTTTGGTAGCATGTAAGATAAAATTAAAACGTCGACGGAAAAATGATAAATTATTTAAAATTTGTTTCTAAAAGTATAAAATGGAAGAAATATGCCCTGAAATCAAAAAAAAAAAACTCAAAATATGCATTTAAAGGCAAAATAAAATGTTGAAACTAGCTTTGTGAAATCATTGACCGTAATCGTTTCATACTCTGCTATTTTTGTTGTTGTGCAAAACAAATATGCAAATACTACTAGTCCTCTGCCCTAATTATTATTATCATTATTATAATTATACCAGGTGATTCATTTATGTGGGTACACTCATCATCTCGGGAAGTATTAACTTTTTCCGGAATTTGTTTTCTAGAACATTTAAGAAACAAACTGCTCTACAATTTTATGTAATTTTTTGTCACCCTTATTTTTGGGGGTAAAATCACTACCTACTTTTGATTCAAACGGCAACATATATTAAAAATTCCATAAATAGATGGAGAATTAGTCAAAATTAATTTTAGTATTTAAATTTTTGATTTCCGTTGATCCGTTTACGAGATATTCCACTTTTAAGTTTGGGTTGGATGAGAGTAGTGGAGTGTCATTTGTGTGGCTGTACGGCGCGCGATGTGTTATTAATACACCACTATTCTCCACCAACTTAAACTCTCGTTAATGGCTTGACAGAAATAAACACTTTCAACATTCAAATCTGTTTTAACTAATACTCCATCTATTTATGGAATTTTTAATATAGACTGCCATTAGAAAATCAAAAGTAGGTAGTAGTTTTAACCCCAAAAATAAGGGTTACAAAAAAATATCATAAATATAAAGTTGTATAGCTGATTGTTTCTGAAATGTTCTAGAAAACAAATTCCGAAAAAAGTTAATACTTTCAGAAATAATGAGTGTATCATTTAAATGAGTCACCCGGTATTATTACCACCCGAAATGGCCAAGACGAACGAAACAGCGCGCCCGTATATTTCGTTGGTCGTTTGCCTTTCGTTTCCTCTCGAATTTTCACGAACCGTTCGATTTTCGCGGTGTGTTCGCAGCTATTCAAATATTCATCTGCAATCCGTGCGGGATACGGTTCAGCTCACTGAGCACGTTGGACGCTCACCAGACGTACTATTGTTCACGCAGACATAAAAAAGGTAATATAAAAAACGTAATTAATTACTCGAAAATCCCACCGTTGCAAACTGCAGGTGTAGCGCCAAAGTCTTGCGGAGGAACCAGCAATAATACACACATAATTCGCACCATCAGAACGGTAGTGTATACATAAAATATACATAGTAACGCGAAAAACCACGTTTTGGAGAAAAACTAGTTTAAAGTTTTTATCCTGTATTCGATCTATCATCGTACAATTTTGGATTTGTGTAGTTTATAGTTTATAAATACATTGTAATATGTTCACACTATGCTATTTCCAAAAATAATACACGACCCAATTTACTTTTGTTTGAACAAAATTGTTATTGTATTTACAGCGACCCGATTATTTACCCAAATACCTCACCGTTATTTCTCGTTTAAATTATTCAATTGTGTAGATAAAAGGAAATAAGATATTGCGCCGTAAAGAACTACATTTTCGCTGTAGGAAAAATGGTTTATTAACTCAAAATCGCATGTTTTCAGTTTTGCAATCACCACACATTACCACATACCGTGTTCTGATAGTGCGAATTATGACAATGCGGTTTATTTACGATACCAATAATCGTTGTATTATTATGTAAATAAATGATAATTCGACCGATCGTGTTTATAGATCCAGAGTCTGACGAAATGAAGCTGCCGACCGTGGTCATCGAATCGGACGAAATGGCTATGGGCAACGACACGGACAGCTGTCCGTCGTCCGTCGAACCGTCCAATAAGTCGGTCAGAACCGGAAAACAATACAAGTGTCCTCACTGTAATTACAGCGCTGACAAGAAAGTACGTATACTTAATACTATTACAGTAGTTTAAACTAAATTTGGGTTAAAAAAAACAACATATATATATATATACATAATCATGGATGCCCGGAAGGGGGAGGGCAAGACGAAGCATTTGCACCTTCCTCGGACTTCAAAATTTCAAAAATTATTTTATTTTAACTACTTTTTGGTGTTTGATTTTATTATGCGCCTCCCTGATATATTTCCTGCTTGCGCCCTTGTATATAATCTTACACATTGACGAACACTTGCCATTTTCGAAAATCTCCAAAACCGCCCATAAGAACACGCCATTTTTCTATTACTGCTATTATAGCAGTGTATCGAATAGTCGCTAAAGTTGAATATCAGAAAAGTAGTAAAATAGCATACCTATATATAGTATTGAGTACATTATACGACGTGAAATGTCTAAAACAGATAGTCGTTTTTTCTACGCTAACGAATAAAATAACAATAATAATAAATTGTAAAACAAATTATAATGAAAACGTACGTTGTTTTAAAACCTGAGCGTGGAGGTTCTAATATCACGGGCGTATAGTAAAAACCTACCTTAAACATATAATATTCACCGCTCGTATTCTTGGATCCACCTCGAACGGGGATATTCGAAAGAAACTGCACTCGCCTGGATACTAGGGGACTGGAGTAGAATAAGCAACTGAAGTTGCCGGTTATCTTCGCACATGGCCTACCGAATTCGGTATCACTTCACGGTTTTGACAAAAGCACTGCAGTCTGTTACATTTCGACTAGTTCGTAATGTCTACTAGTAGTATTAGTATATAGCGATGAAGATATTATCGTTTATTCAACTATCGTAAACATCAAAACACCGCACGGAAAAATTCAGACTAACGTCCCAGATCAATCATTATATTGAAAAAAGATATTGACGAACTTGATATTGAAATTCCGTTCCGTTATAATGTTATTGAAATGAATACAAGTACGAATAATACGGGATAATATGATGCATGACTTTGAAGCGACTCGGGCGCGATTAGACAGTAGCGCGGAAATGGACATGACGTCCAGTCGCGTCAGTGTATCAGTCGCTGCGATTTCCGAAGCGCCGTCTGAATGACGCCATTAAATAATACACACGTGCAGATGCCCGCGTGGTCGCTCCGCAGCATCCTGCAGTATCCAGGCGATTGCGGTTTCTTCCGAGTATCACCGTGCGAGGAGGGCCTTATGCACAGTACACCGGAACCCTACAACGGATCTCATTAGGCGGACGAAAAGTGCGTTGCAGTTATAGTTGATAGAGGTATACGCCTAGAATATATCCACGGCGTGTACAATATGCAGATGTATGCCAGTTAATCATACAATAATGCCTATATTCATAAAGATGCATGCGCGCATTTAATAAACATTTTAATATCCATACACCATTATGGCCTATGTGTAAGTATTAATTACCTTTATACACATATATATATATATATATATATATATGTGTGTGTGTGTGTGTGTGTATGTGTACGCGTATACATATAAATATAATAATACAAACAGTGTATAGGGAAAATAATAATGTATATACCGATGGTAGATAACAATTTAATTAAAACACCCCTATTTGTGTAACGAACAGAATAAAGTATTCTTTTTCGTTGATTAAACGTAGAGATATACTTCTATAATATTTTTATACCGCCTATATACATACTAAAACGCGAACGTTCTAGACAATATAATATCGCGTTGTGTTTTGCGGTTTTTTTTTTTTTTGTTTCTGTTTGATACAATTTCAGAAACAGTTCTCATTATCGTCATCACTGTCGCGCGTACTACGAATTAAAATAGTACACGCTGTAATATAGCTGAACAATACAATCGCTCTTTTGCATTAAGTACCTGTAGTGCAAAATCATATATTATTGAGTCCGCAAAAATTGCCGCGAACAAATTTCTGTATAGCCCCGGAGCAAAATGGGCTCGAGTCAGATTTTTTATAGTTTTCAAATATACGAGCAAATTACATTTTCAGTATTCCTCTAATGACATGATCTATTGCTAAATGGCCTTCAATGACGTTCTAAATAGCTTCAGTCATATATAATTATTTGTTAATTTTTGCCAAAGAAAACCCGTATCAATTAATCAGTCAAATGTATTTTGTTGCGATTTGTATGATATTCGTTAAAGTTTGAACCTAATAAAAGCCTATAAAAAAAATCCATTAAGTTGCGCTCAATTTCTTTTTATTATCAATTACATCTTATGGTAAACTTTTGTTAAATTTTCAAGCATTTTTACCCACAAAAAGTTTCAAATGGCTATAAATGATAGCTCCAAATTTTCTGAAAAACCTACCACGCTCAGTAAAGCTAATATATAATTATTCGCTAAAAATTTCAGATTTAAAATATTGAATTTCAATAAAAAAACAAAATTCATTATAGCGCAGGTACATTTCCCCGTTTTCCGACGGTTTTTTTTCCCCAATCATTAAGAAAACTATAGAAGGAATATCTCAAACTAACATTCCCAATTCATCGATGAAATTTTCAATCGGAAGCCACCAATGAGGTTGATAAGGGAAAAAATGGTGGAATTTCTAGTGGAAAATTATAAACAGATGGAACGAAAATAAAATAAAAAAATACACACGTAATGGTAAAACTAACACATTCCTCGCTACGCTCAAGATCCAAAACGAAATAAATTATAGTTTACAGATAAACACAATATAATATATTTAATAATAAAAAGAGCTGATACTGGGGACGGGTGCGGCCACTGTTGTAGGTGAAAAGTTGGGAAGGTAGGATACATTAGGTTATTTCATTTATATTTGTTAACAACGATAAACCATTGTTTGACGAAAGACGATTCCGAGCGCAGTTCGGTAATATACAGTTTGAAGTGCCGTAATATTGTTTGAGATTTTCGTTTAAATTTGATTTCAAAACGCTTATTAAAAAAAAAAAATCTTCCAGTAATTTTGGAAATTTTACCACGTTTAGGTAAGTCCAATATAAATATTATTATCAAGTTTCAAGTCTCAACGTGTATATATAACAGAGTTATAACGCAATAACTTCTAAAAATTTAAATTTCTTAAAAACTCAAAAGTGGTTCAAAAGTTTTGGCAATGATACCGTAAGAAAGTAAATCAAAAAAAGGTTTCTTGTGATTTTCGATTAAATAATTTTCTCTGGTAGTAAACGCCGTCAGTGTTTTTATAAAATAATGAAATCATGAAATTGTACGTTTTCCCACGTTTTTTTCCCATTTCAGTGCTTTTATTTAAAAAATGGCGTCAAAAATCGAAAAATGACTTCTCTAATGCCGGGTCCACACTAATAAAACAAAAACAAAACAAAACCTCGACTTTTTTTGTTTGGAATATCCAAACAAAAACAAAACTGAGTTGACAAAATTAAAACAAAACTATAACAAATTGACAATCGATTTCCATACAGTCTGTATTCAATTGAACACCAATTTCTTTTAATGTGTCGGTTTTTTAAAATTTATTTGTATAGTTCGCGTCCGTTGCATCCCAAAATATAGGCGATTCCCTGTAAAGCTCTGTAAGCTTACAAGTATCTTCCATGTTCCATTTTATTTTTGTGTTCATACTATGAAAATTATAAATCATAATATGTACACTTGCAAATTACCGAGCTGCACTTATAAACTGCACACTCACTACTATCACACTATTCGCACTACTCAGTAAAACACCGTTCACATATGTTCGACAATGTTCGCCGAAACAAAAACAAAACACAAACCTTTTGATGTTTATCGACACCGCTCGGGACAAGACTTTGTTTTCAAAAACACGAACAATTTATTGGAAAAAACATAATTGTTGTAAAAATGTTTTGATTTTGTCGCAAAAACACGAGTTCGTGTTTTGTTTTAATTTCGTCGTCTCAGTGTGGCCCAAAACCAATAGCTTCCCCACTACGCTCGGAATCTAAACGACGATACGCCGCGTTGAGATTTGTTATCTATATTTTCATAACCGTAACATGGTACAAAAATCACGTTCTTCCAAACTGTATACTAGCGTAATAATGTACATAATATCTATAATTTAGTAAAAAAAAAAAATAATAAACTAATTATAATTTCAGCTAAATTCGGTTAAACATGTTTTGAAAGACCACAATTTTTACGATTCTCATCAAAATTTGATCTTAAAATGCTTATAAAAATAACTAGGTACCTACCATATTAAGCTAAACTTTTTTAAAACCAAGTACAACATTGAACTTATACAGCACAACTAAATAAAATTATTAAAACAATTTAATACACAAATTAATGCTAAGAGATAATTTAATTATAAATGAGTAGTAGTAATAATTACCTAAGATTTCTGCTTTATGATCTTGAATATATGCGTCATTACTAAAATGTTTAGAACAAATATATGATAAGCTAGGATTTATATTATCTCCCCTTCTACACTTTAGTGTCCACCTCTTACGAAACTCTGGGTTTTTTTTTTTTTTTTGGTAATCTAAACATACAAGTAAATACTATATTTTTTATTTGTAATTATATTAAACAAATAGTATACGAGTAGATAAATCATTTTTGAGGTCACTTAAAATCTAGCAAAATTATTATATTTTTGTACAATATTTGTGTATAACATATTATTCAAATAAATAGTGTATTAAATGATTTATATTATTATTACTACGAGTACATGTAAAAAGATACATTAGTTTGTCCATCTCGGTTCACCTTGCCAGCATAATATTATTATTGCATGTTGCTACTCCACAACACGAACATCCTTTGGGTTTTATCGATTTTGTAGTCATGTCTTCAAATTATTTTTACAATAAACGTGGATTAAAACACTGTTTGTACACGTTGTAACACGAGTATAAAAAAAAATAATAATAAATCAGAAATAAGCAAAATTCGTAAGAATACACAAGTAATTTAGTGACACAATATTATGTGAATAACACTGCTAAACAATAATCACCTAAAATGTTGTACTTCTTGTGACGTCACGGCGTTATTTCCCCCCACTCCTATATATTTTAATAATCTCTAAATGAGGCGACCTCTACATTCTATAAACCTTGGGCACTATAATCACTTACAGGTTTATTATTATCAGTAATTAGTTACGTATTTAGGCTTTTATCAACGAGGAAGACATGAAATTTTAAAATTGTGCGATATTATGTGTATAACGTGCAAACTAAAAATGACAAAAATGATCAGTTTTTATTACATATAATTAAAACAGAATACAAATAACTATTATATTAGTAACTATTAATAAGTGATTATAAATCAATTTATTTAGATACTATAAATCTAACCATTAATAACCACTAGTGGTTCTGATGAGTCTCATTTTAAACAAGAACATATTTATACTCGGCTATTTTGGATTCATTAACTACAAACACGTTTTTGATTTTTTTGACTAGAAAATAAAAAAAAAAATACATAAATCTAAAAGGTTGGAGATGATATGCATACAATAGAGTTAAAAAAAAAAAAAAACAAATGGTCAAGGAGTAGAGATATACATACCCCTAATCTACCACTAAATACGCCACTGTTCAGTATATAATTTTTTGTTGCTGCAGTGGTGACAAATAGAAATACAACAAATAGCTCAACTTAGAGGTTTCGTACGAGTGATCCTTATTAATGAACTAATATAGCGGTAAACAGTTTAATAAACTCGGAAAAATCTTACTGATATGATAAAATATGATAAAATAGTTACTTATTAATATGTATAGTTGCCGTAGGTCAAAACCAAACGACATTTAACTAAAATTAAAAACTATTCCGCCAACATGGGTTTTTAAGTTTTATCACGAATATACGAGTATGTTATTGCCTATAACAAGTTACAATTAGCATATCCAAAATCGGTTTGTCGTTGCGACGAAAATTTAAATTTATTTAAAAAAAAGGATCGATTTTTAATTTTCAACAAACAATATTCAATGAAACTGTCTTTTGGCTTTTCGCTCCATTCCACTGTCTGAATGTGAACGTCGTCGATTTTATAAATTCGAAAGCAAAATTCGATTTCTTTTACCGGGCTACGACTATTTCTTCACCGAGTACGGTGAATCTCGCAAAACCTCCGGCCAAGTCCACAATAATTATAGTAGAAACTTTTGCTCACGTGCATACACATTTGTAAAAAACGACACGCGACTGCACGAAATAAAGTATTGTTTGTAACTTGTGTATTGTATTGTTTATCTAAACGTTTTGTTTTGTAATTTTGCTCAGGTCAGCTTAAACAGGCACATGCGAATGCATTCCATTTCGCCGGTGCCCAGCATACAGTCGCCCCCGTGCCTAACAGACGGCGCGGCCGCGGATCCGTCGGCGGTGGACCGCTACTGTCAAAACTGCGACATTCGATTTTCCAACCAGCGCACTTACCAAGCTCATAAAACGCATTACTGCAACACGCGGCACGTGGTCAAGCCGATGCCGCCCATTTCGCCGATGCCCAACAATACGTCGTCGCCAACCAGTATCGTGCCTACATATTTAGCGCTGCCCACGAATCCGATTATCGTTGTTCCTTACGCTCTCGTGCAAAACGCTAGCGTTCTGCCCGCTCTGTCGGACGTAGTCCCGTCTCCGCCCACCGACACGGCGTGCATCCTCCTATCGGACGGCACACTGCAGCCCATTGCCCAAGCTTTCATGCCCACCAAATTCAACGCGATCGCCAAAAACATCAACAACAACAACAACAATAATAACAGCAGCAACAACAACAACAACAACAACAACAACAATACCAGCATACACAGAAATAACTCGCAGTCTCCACCGGAAGTGTTCTTTTCGCCGGTAAGTACTGCATAATATCCGCAACAACCACACTGACCTTCGGTCATTTTAAAAACACAACACATATGTCTTCCCGTAATGTAATAACGTACAGCACGCGTAGAAAACGTAATATACGTTTTAATTTTATTTTTATTTTTATTCTTAAAATTATACAAATGCGTTTTAAACGGCGCAACAATTTCAAGTACCCCTATATACCTTAATTCGAAATAATGTCGATTTAACGAATGTACAACGTATTATATTAAATATTTTTCAGCCCAAAAAGGTGGAAATAGTCAATCATCAAGAGGTGAAAAGACCGATTGCCCAATCGTCGTCGCCACTGGATCTACGATTGAACCGCGTGGCAAAACCGTCCCATGACATCAGCACGGACGGCGAAGAGGAAAAAGAAAATCGGCTAAGTGACGGCAACATTACGGATGCCGAGGACATAGTTTGCGCGCCGTCCATTCCCTGCATGATACTGTCGCCGTCGTCCTCTCCGCCGTCTGGTAACAAAACTCCGCAACAACGGTCCGTGGTACAGCCACCGATAAACGGTATAATTCAGAAACCTCAAACGCTCGAGGTGTTCGATGGTCCCGAGAGGAACGGGAAGTTTAGCGTTTCGAGCCTGTTGCACATGACCAACAAACTGGAAAACATGAAGCAAGAGTCGGTCGGTGAAGTACAGCCGCCGCCGGCCGTGGTCCAGAGATACAATATGCAAATGCACCACAAGTCCCGAAACGTAGTCGTGCCCACCGGCCCGGTTTTGCCGTCCGGCATCATGCAGCGCAACGATCTTCTAAACCAGGGCGGATTGCCGTACTTTACATCCGAGATGACTCTGAGACTGGCCACGAATCCGGTGCCCGATAGCATACCAACCACGCATCAGTTTTTCTTGAAACAAGGCCCTTCCAAGTGTGAGAGCTGTAACATAGTGTTTTGCAAGTACGAAAATTTCTTGGCGCACAAAAAGCATTATTGCGCTTCCCGGCCACCTCAAAACGACGTAGACGACGCAGACAAAACGAGCCCCGAAGGGTCCCCGGGGCCCAAGCCTTTGACCGTAACTTCACCGCAATCATCGAAGGATAGCGTTAGTCCTACACCGACACTGAAACCACCCATGATCCAGTTCATATGTTCCACGTGCGGTGTAAAGTTCTCGTCGTTCGACAACCTGACCACGCACCAATCGTTCTACTGCCCGAACCGAATGACCGGAACCCAGGATCAGGCGGACAAATCCTTGCTTCATCTCAAAGCATGTCCGAAATGCAAAGTAAGTACTGACGACGCGCGGTGTCTATGTGACACATCATTAAACATCACGACCATTTGCAGATGAGCGTCATCGAAGGGAGCCACCATCAGTGTCAGGCGGCCAACTGTTGGAAATGTCCGGTCTGCGGGGCTGTCCGCACCACCGCGTCGGCCGCCCAAAAGCATTTAGACAACCACAACGGAATTAAAGCGTTCATGTGCACTATATGCCAGTACAAGGGGAACACACTGAGGGGTCTGAGGACACATATCCGGATGCATTTCAACAAACGGTTGATCCCGGATCTCATGGTGAGCTGATCGATACAACTTTATATAGTGTCCCGGCACCTTATCGCATCCACCTATATTGTTTTGATAATGATTTTTACGATACGCTAAATAATGAAATTAAAAATAAATAAATATATATTTACCGTTGAAATATGGTTTTTTGATAAATTTGTGATGACGTGTTGTATGCGCAGGAGGAAGATTATGTGTCGTGCGTGATAGACGAAAATTCAGTGTCGTCGACGGCCGACGCAGGGGCCAAAACTCCGGACGATAAACCGCTGCCGCCGCATCAGGCGACCGTTAAAGTTACCGGCGGCCGCGGCGACGACGAGCCGCCGGCGCGCGAATTGGTGATCGTCAAACAGGAACCGTCCAACGGATCCGCGACCGGCGCGTCTTCCGACGTCCCGGAAAATTCGTACGAGTCGTCCGGGGTCGGCGGCGTCAGTGGCGGTCATCCGGAGCCGGACGTACAGCCGGCGGCGGCCGCCGACCGTCCGCCATCCGTCGGCGGCAACAACAGGCAATTGATGACTACGAAATACTGCAAAGCGTGCGACATATCGTTCAACTATCTGTCCACGTTCATCGCGCACAAAAAATATTACTGCAGGAACAGCGCCGAATACAAATGCAAAGCCGAGAACGCCAAGGCGGCGACCGTCACTTAGTGCTCTCCCTCCCCCCCGCCCCGCTAAGAACGACACGGCCGCCGCCGCGACGCGCGCCTATAACATTACAATCAATTACTATAGGTACAGTCACCGATCCTAATCTTATTAAGTGTGTTTAAAAAAAAAAAAAAAAAAAAAAACTACCCTACCTACATTATACTATTATACAATAATATTAATACTGTAGTATTTGAAAAAAAAAAAAACAACTTCTAATTAAAACCATATATTTCGTATACACCCCTATTTCTTATTATTATTATTAATATTATTACTATTAACTACCCTACATGACTATTATAATAATAATATATAGTGCACATATTGTGTACATTTTATAAATTATTATAACTATGGCAATTTAAATCGATATTGTGTTGCCTTGGTTTGTATTTTAAACCAAAAAAAAAAAAAAAAAAAAAAAAAACACACACATAATAAAATACCTATATATTATACAAAAAAAAGTATATAATAATATTTATTTCAGAATGTTGTTTTTATCGTTTGTTTATTTATTATTATCATTATTATTATTATTATTATTATTATTCATTATTATTATTATTATTATTTTATTATTATTATTATTATTTCATTATTATTAATTATAATATATTGTTCAGAGTAATCAATACCGATATTTATATTATTATCATTATGATTATAAGGAGTTTAAGTATATATCTAGCATTTCTACATTGTAAAGTATAATATGAATAAAGTAATAACTAAAAAAATATGCATGTATTGTGAAACAATTTGATATTAAATATTATTTGACGGTACTATTTAATATTATTATTATTATTACCTATATTATTATAACTATATATTATATTATGATAAAATTGTTTTGACGTTTTTACTAGACTGTTTAAAGAGTATAATAAATAATAAATATAGACCTACTGTAAAACATATTGTATATCTACCTCCTACATATTATAATTGTTAATACGTGATAATCCTGTAATGATTTATGTCCCAAAACCAATAAATCTGTCACAGTGGTGGCGTACTCTTATACTTAATAGGCGAACACAGTGGCATTTGCCACCTTTGTAGACTGTATGATATGGGCAATGTAGAGAAAATGTAAATGAAACAAATGTGGAAAAAAAAACCATTTAAAATACGTTTTAAAGATATTACACCTATTTAAAATGTGTAGCTTGTATAAAAATTTGAACATAATTGTCTAGGTATTTTTTAAAATATTTATTTATTTATTAATAATTCATACAAAGTCCAATTTACAATATAGTAATAATGATAACAATAATAACATAATAATACCTAACAATTAATAAACTTTCCTAATAATATGATTTGAAATAAAATAATGGTATAAATTATTAATTACATAGGTGTAAATCTAAAATTGGGAGTAACAGTAGAAACTATATTATAACACAAAATAACAATAAAGAAGGTAAAATAACAAATTGAGTACCTATATTAATACAATTACTTGAATAATTTATTAAGAATTTTATTGTTTCTAGAAGATATCAAAATATTAATGGGATCATTAACAAGTAACTTGGAGAGTAATGTGGAATATAGAATAAATGACTATTGTGAAAGTATTAATTTTAAAATTTGTCTGATTAAATAGATTTGATTCATCTATCTTGTTATTTATAATTTAAAAAGAAAGGAACTATAGATAATATTTCTGTGTGTTTTTTAGAGATTTTAAGTTAAAATTTTTTTAAATATGTTCTATCCAGTGTGGGTGGAGAGGGGTTATTGGGATGTTAGATTTAAAGCATATTAATTGTAGTATATTAGTTGTCTAATCACAGTTATTGTTAAATAACTAATAAGTTATGTTAAATTCACAATTATTTAAAACCTATAATAATAACCTATTATAATATCCACTTAATGGTTGTATTTTCCATACCGAGTTGAATGTTTAGAGAATTAGAAAATGCAGACTAGATTTTTCTTTGAATTGTATAATATTAGTGTTTTATTTCATAAGGCCGAAAAGAATTATAGAGATATTGCATATCCTACTCTTGACTTATTTTTTTTTTGTAAAAATCTATTATTTATACAACCATCTATTTTTTAAATTCAATTTTTTGTTTTCTACTTTCTAATACCAAAAATTAAAAATCTATATACAATATATTTATTAGTTAATCTATCAGGAAAAAATTAATAAAAAAAAAATCAACTGAATGTATAAAAGTACCTTTTGTTTTGTTTAAAAGCTATAATACTATTCAATAATTTTATATAGTTATTTGATTGAAAATTTAATTTTAGGAGAGAATGAATATTATACTAAATAACTTAAAAAATACATTTTATATATAACACTACTTAAAAAAATGTATATATTTAATTATTTATAGATAAATATATTTATTTTAATAGTCTACATAATATTATAAAATCAGTTTTGTGCTTAGCATTCTCATATTAAGGGGTATCTGAATATAACTAATTATAAATAATCATTAAACATATTTTCAGGTAGAAATTATTGATACAATACTTAGTACTTACTCTTTTAAACATCTGTTATTACAAAAATAATATGTAATTATGTAAAATATAATATGTAATTAGGTATTCATTTACATTTAAAGATGTAAATAAGGAATCAAATCAATATCAATAAAAATGTCATAAAATTAAATATAGTCACAGTAAATAAGTTATTACAGAACAGTAGATTAATTAAGATATGTTTTTATTTGGTGGTGGGGGAGGGGGGATGAATTATAAAAAAAAATATGTTATCTATATACATTATACACTTATTTATATTACAAAAACACCTATGGAAAACAAAAGGTTGCGCACCTTAATTTTATAACTTATTTATACTTATGTATTTTAATATATTATACATGAATGGTATATCTTGTGGAATTTTTATATTATATAATATATAACTTTATTTAAATGAAATAAAAAATAATATTCACAATTACTATGCAGTAATTAACTATTATATTATATATATAACACTATGTCAGAGGCTTAGACATAGTATTTCTTAAATATGTTTTCACTTTTTTCAAGGTTGAAAACATTCTTCTTGAAATAGCTGTAGAAACTGGTAAAGTACATAATACTTTAAGGTGGCAACATAATTTATTAGGATATATATCTTCAATAAAAATAATTAATGTTTCAAGTCCAGTCTTTGGTACATTTGAACACCTTTTCGTCTTACTTTACCATAATTTGAATTTAGTTAAACCACCGTGTCTTATATTGGGAGACAAAACTGTTATCAGCTTATTAAATTCATTTTTTTCTTCCTTAATTAAAGTAAAATTACAATACAAACATTCAAATACTTATTACGTTGATAAAATAGCTAAATTAAATAAGTAATTTTAAGATTGTATGATTTGTGATATTAAAATATATAATAATATATATAATATATATAATAATATAAAAATATATAAATATATATAAAATATATAATATATTAATTAAAAATATATAATATATAATATATAATAAAATATAAAATATATAATTTTTATATATATAAAATATATAAATATATAATTATATAATATATAATATAAAATATATAATTAATATATATATTAAAATATATAATTATTATAATTAATAAAATAATAATTCCCAGCATAGGTACCATTAAAGATAAAATATAAAAATTTTAATACAAATATTTAGATGACATAGAGTTAGAATAATATTAAATCATACATTTATTCTATGTAATATTAGTATTAAAATAATAAAATAAAAACAAAATTATTAAAATAGTTAATACTTGTAAATAAATAAAGTAAATAAATATATATATATAACAAAAAGAGCTGATACTAGGGACGGGTGCGGCCACTGTTGTAGGTGAAAAATTGGGAAGGTAGGATACATTAGGTTATTTCATTTATATTAGTTAGCAACGATAAACCATTGCTTGACGAAAGACGATTCCGAGCGCAGTTCGGTAATACACAATTTGAAGTGCCGTCATATTGTTTGCGATTTTCGTTTAAATTTGATTTCAAAACGCTTATTAAAAAAAAAAAATCTTCCAGTAATTTTGGAAATTTTGCCACGTTTAGGTAAGTCCAATAAAAATATTATTACCAAGTTTCAAGTCTCAACGTGTATTTATAACCGAATTATAGCAAAAACATTCCCAAAAATAAAAATTCCTTAAAAGCTCAAGTTTTAACGATGATACCATAAGAAAGTAAATCAAAAAGGCAATAAAAAAGGTATCTGGTGATTTTTCGATTAAATCATTTTTTTTGGTAGTAAACGTCGTCAGTGTTTTTATAAAATAATGAAACCGTGAAACTACACGTTTTCCTACGTTTTTTCCCACCTAAGTGCTTTTATTTATTAAATGGAGTCGAAAATCGAAAAATGACCTCTTTAAAGTACTATCTAAACAACTTGAGCTTTCAAAGAAAGTTGTTACGCCTAAAAATCGGAGCAAGTTTACTAGGAAAAAACGTGTCCACAGACTAGGAGAAAGAAGAAAAAAAAATAAACATCTTAGTAAAACCAATAGCTTCCTCACTACGCCCGGAATCAGAAATAAAATAAATAAATGAATGAATGTATCGCCTGGAGTATTATGATAAGTGTATTATATAACCGGTTTCGAATTAATAATTCATCATCAGGTATACCACAGTCAAAATGTATAACGTATTAAAAAAAAATAATAATAATACACTATTCACCATATAATGTTGTTAACCATTGTAGTGTGAAATATCAAAATAATAGGTTCAACGAATTCGCAAAAATTCTGAACAATAATACAAATAATGTAAAAATCGCTTTCAAGACAAATAATAATTTTTATCAAACATATAAACAATAGAACTGCAAATTTAACAAAAAATCCCCCTTCATTTGAAAATGCTAGTGTATATAAACTTAAATGTAACTGTAATAAATTATTTATAGGTAAGACAAATATAAAATTCAAAATCTGATGTATCAAGAACACATTTCTGAAATAAAATTTAAAAATACTGCCCCTAATTCAAATTTCGCTAAACATAGGAAATAACCATAATATGATTTGTGATATTAATAAAGACTTGGAGATATTAAACACCCGAATTTAATATTAATTTACATTAATACAGTTTTAGAAGAATTACATACATACAATGAAATAAAGAATAATTATTTTAATAATATTTTAAATGTACAAATCGATTTCAAAAGTAATATCTTATATCATTACATTTTAGATAATAAATAATAACCAAATAATTTATGTTTCTTAACATATCTATGTCTAATAACAACTAATTTTAAATATTTTCTCCTATTAAAATAAATTATGTCTACATTCTATGTAAAACGACCAATTTGCACATTTTTTTTCTTCGTTTAAATTTTATATTCAGCCGCGTTTTATATTTTTACTGTGATTTACCTGAATGTTGAATTTTTAATAGATGCTGATTTAATAGATTTAATAGAATAATGACCCCTGAATTATTTGTTCTTTCACTGTTTATTCTTACCTGTTAGTTACTTTCATTTTATTGGTTTTCTTTTCGATTCCATATTATGAATTTTGAAGTTTTTGATATTGCAATTTAAATTTTTAGAAGTAAAAATTTTATTCCACACAAAATAATTATAATGAAACTAACTAAAAGGTAAGATTAAACGGTGAAAGAAAAAATAATTATGGGGACATTATATCCGCATCTACCATCTCATTCCAACTATTGGGTAACATGCAAAAACAACGTTTACGCAGAATAAGTAAAACTAGCTTAATTTTGATTTTAGAGGAAAAGTACCTATTATGTATATAATTTGTAGAGAATAATATTTTGGAGGGAATGCCATAGAGTTTTTGTATTATTCAAAATACAGCTCGATAAAGACAAAAAAACCTTCTTTTTTTTGTTTTTTAAATAACTGTAATTTTTTTAATAGTTCTTAATTCAAAATAGATCACTTGCATTCTCTACAAAATATTGTTTTCTGTACATTTCATAATAGGTACTTTTACTCTAAAATCAAAATTAAGTTAGTTTCAATTATTCTGCATAAGCATTACAGTTGGACTTTGACAGATGATGGGGAGGGGGAGGGGGGATATAACGTCCTCTTAACGTGGAGTAATTACAAAATAAAAATCACAGAAATACAGCATATTAAGTTGTAGCGGTTGTACGAAATCGTAACTACAATAATATAATAATAATATTAGATACCTATTACCTAATAATATATTTTTATTTAATCACTACGAAATGTCGAAATCGAATTGAAATCTTTCGACCGTCGTTCATTATAATGTGTCACGTTGTATGAAACCTAAGGTAGTTTCTAATTTCTATTATTCGATTATTCTAGAATATTTCATAAAACTCACGGGAGTCATGAAAAATCAAGTCATAGAAAATCCCAATAACAATAGTTATTGTGATCAATGTGACACAATGCATTACATAACTACTCGTATAATCGTTACAGAAATAATATAAGGGTAGTTATTCCAAACTCTCAACTTATATTGACGTTTCTAGAATTATTATTGCATTAAATAAACCGTTGCAACGGACGATTTTTTTTTTTTATAGGACAATGTATTTTTTTTTGCAATTATTTTTAAATACGGGCGTCGGAAACGGGAGACTTGTAGAGAGGGTTGTATATAAATATCGAAATCATATCGGACTACATATGAACACTTGGTGTATAAATATTAATGTCGACAATCCAATAATCTCATTATTGTATTACTCTTTCGACATCCGATAATATTTTATACCATAATCAAAATAAAATAGACGCGAAGCTACGAAATATTGCCTAAACTATAATTTAATATACAAAAAAAAAACAAAAAAAAATCATGGGAGAGGGTGTAAGATACGACGTCCGCGTTCCCTCCCTCCGTAATTACGCAACTGTCACGGAAAACTCGTAGAACGCAAACGAGTTGTTATGAATAATAATAATAATAACAATAATAAACAGCCAACGGAGGGGATATGACACCGTCGACCCTCTCCGCGACCGCGGGCACGCTATAGTACAGAACACTAAAACGGAATCCTAAACACGCCGCACGTTGTCCTGTCCCGAAGCGAACCCGTACAAGAGCCGGACGTCGAGGGTCGTATGGTATTAGTGGTAAGGCCATACAGCGGTGTGTTTTAAAAACGGTCGCGCCGCGTCTCATAAAGTCTGTGACATTTGTATGTGCGAACATGTGGCCTACTGCGCGTTTCGGAATAATTCTGGAATTTTTGGCGTGCCTGTCGACGATGTTCGGCCATCATTATCCCAGCGCTGCGGCCAGGGTGAGTTATCTGCGCAGTCGGTCCGTCCGTCGGTCAGCGAATCGGGAAAATGTTCATTGTGGGGGGGGCCCATTTTTTTTTCCATTAGTCATTTCCGTGTAAAACGTAACGGGTACCGATATTGTACATTTACCGAGCACATTTTTTTTTACGGTTGTATTTGTCAGGACGGGCGAATGCAATTCTCAAACACCCCTCACCCCTCTCTTGGAGTACACCTAAATTCAACACTGGCCCGCGCAAACGGGTTAAGATACGGTTTCCAAGCGCAGTTTACGCGTATAGTGGTTAGCAAGACGCCCAGTGGCGTGGCCAGGATTTCTCAACGGGGAGGGGGGCAGTAAAAAAACGTTATACGAAATTGATTTGTATTGTTTTCGCTGATTTGTGTACTTATTGTACGACCAGATAAAATGCTAAGTGCATCCTGTTGAAATTAATGAAATATTTAACAACTGTTCATTTATAGTTCGTTTATTGCAAACAATTTAAATAATTATTAGGTAAATATTCTTAATGAGTTACTTACCTACTTCTTTTGATTTATAATATAACATTATTATTGTGTTCAATCTGTAACTTTAATCGTCCTAGGCGATTCAATGTTTCTATCGCTATAATATTATAGTAATTATACATATTAGATAATATATATTCATAATATCATAGGCGTAATTATATATACGTACTCACATATATTATATTATATACTTATCAATGGATTTACTGATGTAAAACCAATAAAATAAAAATTTTAAAAATACATCCAATGGGAGGGTATGGCCCCTCTGCCCCCCCCTGTCAACGCCACTGCAAGATGGGACATGCTTATTTTATCATGATGATCATATTATGAATATGTGTCATCGCTATTTACGAGATTTTTCGAACTATTATTAATCAACAGGCATTTTAAAAACAATGAAATATTATATATTTTGATAATATCCTTTTTTATAATTTACATCGGCAACAAATAGCCCAAAAGAATCGACTCAGAATTTGAAAGAAACGCACCGTCTTGCACCAATATTGTCTGTTATATTATACCTATGTCTTATACTGGAGGGATAATTTCCAAAAATATTAGTTACACAATTAAGTCAAATGTAAGTGTATTTTTTAATACATTTTTAGGTGGCGGAATCGATAGATTGTTTTTTAGACTTCCTGTACTAGCGGAATTTGTATACCTTTTTCCCAATTATTAAAAGGTCCGTCGGAGTCGATGAACTCCCGTCAATTGGTAATCGTACACCATCCGATTAGATTAACTAGGGTCGGATTAAGCCCAAATATAATGTATCTATATATATATATATATATATGGATAGTATTATATCTTAGACACATCATTTTTATTAACCCATTACGGAGTCATTCAAGTGATATAGATAATATCATTATCGACACCTGGAACTTTAGCTGCACAATTATCTTATAATTACTTATTGCTGAATTTTATGATACACAGATTTTATTTTTCGAAACATTTGAATGTGATTAGTATTGAAATACTATTATATAGTACTAGAAATGAAATAAATAAAATATCTTTTGCCATTGCCAGTGCCTACCTCGCATATCGTAAATCCGGACCTGTCGATATACTGTACCAGGTATCTGGACGTGCAGAACGACGATTTTGTGTATTAGACCCGAGATTAGGGAAGAAAGTTTTATAATAATATTCGTTATTCTCCTCACCGACGAAAATCAAGGTCAATTTACCGAATTTACGGTATTATATAATAAGCATATCGCCACAAAAATTAATTTTTTTTTTTTCCCCGGTTTGCAATACCTGCAGAATGTTCAAACATTCACAGTCACAGACGTGGCATACCTGGACGTCGAAATGGCCGGCCAGGGATTGGGGCGCATCGAAATCGGACTGTTCGGCGACGCCGCGCCCAAGACGGTAGCCAACTTCGTGACCATACTGACGCAAGGCATCGGCGGCCGCACGTACGCCGGCACCAAGTTTCATCGGGTTATCGAAAAATTCGTCATACAAGGTTCGTTCATAGCATTCAAATTTCCGCACAATATCGATTGTTATTCTTAGTCTAAAGATTGATCAGATGATTAACGTTTCTTTCCGTCCTGTTACTTATAGTTCTTGAAAGTTCTACATCATGTTAGGTAAATGTTAATTTATATAGGTACTTGTTTGTTTCTTTGTCTTCCGTCACTTGTTTCCAGTGGTTGACTTGTGAAAAAAGGAGTAGAGGTACTCTGGCTACTTTTAAAAAAGTAGAGTCCCTAGCATTTTTTTACTATCCCTCACATTACTGCGGGGGGGGGGCATCGCGTGCATCTCCTTTCCCGGTCTCCTAAGAAATATATGTAAAATCATTAAAGACACATCACAACAAACAGAACAATATGAATTAAAATGTACAAAATAATTATTACAAACTTATTTTTATTTTTTTCATATGCGTTTTTATAATTTGTATATAATTGTTTTCATTTTAAACATCTTCATTTAAAAGATTCCATAATTTAGAATATTGTTAGTTGGGTTTTTCTTGTCTTTTTGGACAGCATGTTTCATTTGTATCCCTTCTTCCACCGCGGACCCATGACTTTACATAGTTGCTTGGAATAAAATCGATTACTCGGGGACCAACACATTCCATGAAATGGAGTGATGATATGTGTTTTGTAGATAATATATTTATTTTTGATGTGACAGTGTTATTACTAGCACTGAAACTCCTTTCACATTCAAATGATGAAATGACAATGGTTTTAATGATCACTAATAATGGTTTTAAGGAAGGTATTGATGATAACATTCCAGTATCTTTATATTCTTTATAACCTTGAATAGTAGATGTTTAATATGACATGGGAGTCTTACAGTTCTTTTTTTATTCAGCTCAACTACTAAACAGAACACAAAAGTAACTATAAATAGTATAAGAACTATAAGCAGTGGTGTAAATGTGACCGTAAAAAAAAACTGGGTATACGCCAGGTACGTCCCTGAGTGGGGGGAGTGAGTGGGTTGATAGCTCCCCCCTCGCAATAAGTCATATGATGCTATATTTATGTTTCACAAAATATCCATAATTTGTGCTATTTTGTACTATTTTACTGCATCTGTACATACAATGTATATTTAAATAATACTATAATTAAATTGTATACTGATTTTACTAGTTTTAGAATGTAATTAAAAATGTTTTTGCATTATAAAAATGACCTATCATAAATGTGAAAATTGAATCTTAATTTGAATGTTTTAAATGGAAATCTTTTTTGAGGGGAACAATTTTTTGATATTAGGAACACTAAACAAACCAAGGATGACTAAATAAATAACCGGATACGAATTACGATCATTCTAAAAATAGACTGTGAGAAGAATACTACATAATATTATACGTGTATCGCGTTTATTACTTGATATCCCCATATCATAGGTTAGTTCGTACCCAGTACCACGGTTTAGACCCTATCCACAACCACAACCATGGTTACTAGGTTGATATAATAAGCGCTAAATAATAATTTAATTCTTTTTTTCCATTTCATTTTTTTATTGAAGTAAACAATTTTTTCAATAAATTGTTCGATTTGAATCTGGTTACAAGTGGGTACAAGTCCGTGTACCCGCGTATATCCTCCACTACATCACTGACTATTAAGTAGTAATAAAGGGTACGACAATTCATTTTTATTATAAGCACATAAAACACATTTCCCAAACAGAGGAAAAAAAAATATAATAGCATGTTGTTACTGCATGTTATTAAAATAGCATGTACTACTCAATAGTTACTGGTTATCATCCATAATGTAAGAACTCTTATTGATTTTTAAATGATGAATGGTTATCATTGCAGTGATATCCCTAGACCCTTTTATAGGGGGGGGGGGGGAATTTCATGCATAATATATATATATAAATACACTAATTACTCTACCTAGTGTTTATATCTGGTTTCACTTGTGGTGTGTGATGTCATATGTACCATAGGCATGGATATGGATTAAAAAAAAAATTTAAATTATTAAAATAAAAAATTTTGAAATTTCGGCTTTTGAGGAAAAACAAAGTTACTTATTAATATATTCACGGTATTTAAAATATTTCTATATAAGTATATTTAAATATAAACTAATAATAGAATTAATTAGGTAATAAAGTGAAAAAAATAATTTACCAATTATAGGTACTTATTTACATCTCATTTAGAGTTAAAAAAACGGTTTCTATCCTTTTTCCCGAATCAAAATTCCGGAATGATCTTCTTCCCCAATGGTATTTTTCCCGAAAGTCCGTAAATCCGAAACCTATTTTCCCGTCATGGTTAATATTGTTAAAAATAAAAATGAATTAATAATTAAATGTAAATATAAGTGTGTAATAATTAAATATTTTAAAATTCATAATACATATAAACAAATAAAAATAAATTAGTAAAATAATAAACGCTGTAGTTACGTTGTGCACTTGTGCGGCCATAACTCAAAATAATAAAGATTATATTTTACAAACCAATATTGTGCACGATAACTCGTAGAAATTCAAACTCTTCGTATGTTTCAAAATTACTCACAATGCCCATAATTCGAGTTTGAAAATCCTGCAATTTTCTTTTCGGTACCGCTCGAGACTCAGCTCTGCAATCATTATTTCGGCATGAGCTTGTTCTTTTTGGAATTCGCCAAGAGCAGAGTAAAGACCAGGATGATATTTGCCGATAACATGCTGGAAGCGATTATTAATATTAATATTATCGTATCTAAGTCATACATTTTGATTGACGACTGGTTGAATCTTAATTGATTTTCTTTTTTTCTATTTCCATTTCGGGAAAAATACGCGTTGGGAAAAAGGTATTCGGGAAAATAGGTTTCGGATTTACGGACTTTCGGGAAAAATACCGAGAACCAAAAAAAACTAGTTGAATATGAATGTAATATTTAATTGATTAAAGAATAAAATCCACTTTGTGTTTTGATTTGGCAAAGTAATTAATTATGTTATTAGTATTTAATGAAATATTATTACGAATACTCATAAGTGTCAAACCAATCAAACGTGTTTGCTCTATTTGATTTCTCAACTACATTTTTAATCAAATGATCATAGAAATGCAAGGAAATAATTATAAAACGAAAACAAAACTATGTACAAAAGCTTTAAAAATATAAATATACAGGATTAAAATATTAATTTAACACACAACACTCATTATTTAGAAAAGTATTAATTTTTTTCGGAACTTTCTTTTGATAAATCAGTTAAAATATACAAGAAATGTAATAGGTTATTTTTCTTATAAATTAAATTTGAATTCATAAAAAAAAAAATATCCTCATAGATTTCTGGTATTAAAAATAGGGGTTTTCATTTAAAAATCAAAAGTTGATACTCATTTAGGGTAGAACAAGAGATTAAAAATATCATACCACTAAAAATTCAAAATTTTAATATTTAAACTAATTTCCCAAAAGAAAATACCAAAAAAAGTGAATAATATTCAAAAAATTAATGAATATTGTGTGTTGAATTAATCAGTCTGCCTGTACCTGTATCGGTATGTGTAGTTAATGATGAATATATTTCTGTGTTTTTAGTTTAATAAATCTAGTTTTATAGAGTATATAATACTCTGTGGGCATTATACATTTTCCTTTATTTTACATTAAACTTTTGTTTAGTTCAATAAATAGCACATTTTTAAATTATTTTATTAAACTACAAATTTTATAACATTAAAAGAGACATATTGTATTAATTATTATCAATAATCGGTCATTCAATTGCATTAAAAACAATAAGTTGGTAGATATAAAAGAAAATAATTATAAAAAATGAATTTTTTTTTTTATTACAGTGCAAAATAGTACTAAGTATACAATATACTGTACATACCATCCATCTCGATGGCATATTATGATAAAATTCGTTTTATTTCGGAATGATAACATTCTTTTTTTTTTCGCGTCTAATATGCGTCATCACATGATTTTACAATGTACTTTTAAGTATTTTCCTAGTGTGATATAAATTATAAAAATTAAAAAAAAACTGCCCCATTCACCGTACCCCCATTTGAGGACGCCTGATGGCTACTTATAAATTATCACGTATCACATATGATATGCCAATATATTTTGAATATGTATAAAATTTATATATGTAAATTTAAAATTTAAAAAGAGCAGTTTTATAAAAATAATTAAGCTTATAACAACCCATTCCCCCCTAAAAAATAAGTAGGGGTATGCTAGAATATCCAAAAAATCAGTTGAGGTACTCAGTCCACCCGCTTGCTTCATGAACAGCGTTCTTAGTCTTCTTCTTTCTCATGAATGTAATTCAAATGTATCAAGTGTAGCAAGATCAAGGTAATTTTAAATAGTTAGAGCATTGGGAAGGTAATTTTTTGATTTCTCGAGAGGTTTTCATAATAAATAGAAAAATCGAAAAAAGACGAAAAATAAAAAATGAACAAATTTAGTGCGTACGATTTTTATCGTTTTTATATTGACAAAACAAGTTGCTATATTTATTTCGCAAGCGAATTTGTTGGTCACTTAATCATGTGTATTATAATAATTTTATATTAGAGTAGCTTGATATTTTCTGCGATTGTAGTTTGAAAAAATAGAATCTATAATTATTGATTTATATAAGACGCGGGTAGGTAAGTGTCGTGTGGTTGGTAATTATCTAAGTTAGCCCCCAGTAAATAAAAAAAGAGCTGATACTGGAGACGCGTGTGCCACTGTATAGGTGAGAAATTGAGAAGGCATGGTACATAATATTAAGTTATTTAATTTATAAATTAAGTAAACAACGATAAACCATTGCCAACTAAAGATGATTCGAGCGAAGTTCGGTTATACATGTTTTGAAAGGCCGTAATATTTAAGATTTTCGTCAAAATTCGATTTTAAAACTTATAAAAAAAAAACAACAAAATACTATACGCATATTCTTTCACACTCAAATTTTTTTTTTTTACCACTAAGTATGACCTATAATGAATTTCCTTTTAAATTTTTAAGCGTTTCTGTTAAGTCCAGCAATTTTATCTACATAGTACCTACTAAGTTTTTTGTTAAAATTTCCAGCCATTACGGATATTTTTAACTGAATAACAACTAAAAAACCAAAATTGAAAATAATAAAATAATAATTTTTGTAAGTATTTTCATTCTTTCTACGATTTTTTTTCAGTTTCGCTCAAATAATAAAAAATCTGCAAATAAAATCAAAAAACGATTTTCTTGGTCATCAATTAGGTTACAATTCCAAAAAAAAAAAAAAAAAAAAAAAAAAAACGATTTCTTGTTGCTTTTCTGTTGGAGCAATATTTTTGGTAGAAAAGTTGTTCACACACACACACACACACACACACAAAAAAAAAAAAAAAACACGTATCATAGTAAAACCCGTAGATCCCTCGACACGCTTCCAATGTAAAAATGATCTGCGTCACGCAGTAACGTGACATAACGTTTTGCGCGTTTGCTGTCGATGCACCGGTGGCACCAATGAAGGCTTTATTACTCACTTTGTTTACGGGTCGGTTGATGAGACGCGGCAGACTAGGTGTGATTGTTATCAGTGGTGTTACTGCATTACAGACATTCCATTAGTGAGGAATAATGGAACATATCAATGTTTTTTTTTTTTTTCTAACATGCATGAACATACTACGAATCGATAACCTCACTTGTTTTTCGATTCGTGCATATCGGGTAGAGCTTAACGAGCGACGCGTCTAAAACGGGAGGCAACAAAATGTTAATATTATACGACCCGACTGAATACCAACGAAATACAAACAGATTTATCCCTATACGCTGTATTGTAAAATGTTTACTAAGACGTATTACAACAATATTAAATTATTATCGAGCACTACGTTAGTATATTATAAATATTTGTCAATTCATTAGTAATGAGTTGTCGGCCGTGTTGAATTCGGACAATTTTTCTAGGGCAAGAGGCTCATTTTATTTTAATTGGTCGTATCGTTGTGGAAATGTGACGTGTATTGCACACTTCATATATTTAATAAACACAATTTATTTACATTTGTATACATCGTGCGCGGGGAGGACGAATATCTTCCACCATCCCCCTTCGGAGTACATCTGAATCTAACACTGCAGGTTTGTCGGTAGGTATACAGGATATTGCTGTACAACAGTGATGATGTATTTGACCGCATAGCTTCTGGTGCTCCTGTCGTGATAACAATAATACTGCATATAAATGATACAATAATAATGATACCTATTTACATACGTTGAACAAGTTTTTAGATTTTCGACGGGAATATGATATTATTAGGTGGGTAGGTAAGGTAGGTAGATTACTGTTGGGTACGCCGAAATGGAAAAGGGGTTCGTTTGCCCTCAATTATAATACTATACGGCCTCCTCCTCCCCGCCCCAATTCCCTCGGGTCGGACGAAAAAACCACCAACCGGCAGATACTATCGTCAGCTATCCGCGATTAAAATCTATAGTGCATTTATATTCCGCCGTGTACCATATATACAGTCGTTTTCGGACGGCTATCGCGAATTGAAATCTAGTCAATTTATTCTCTAGCCGACTGCTATTTTATAAATATATATATATTTTTTTTTTTTTTTTTTTTTGTTAGGAAACGCTTATCGTGCCCGCCGCGATCGAAATCTACACGCTTGCTGCCGCCGAATGTGCACGTATATCCCACGATACCCGTCCGTTTTTATTGTTGAATTTTAGATTTCCGTCAAAGATATCAACAATCTCGTTTATACATATACGAGCAGCACATTATTATTATATACAGGATGTCCCACGAAGATAGTGTGTACCCATTGCGATTTGAAATTTATCGGAAAGTAGATAGGTGCCTATTATTTTTATTCAAAATTTGTCTTTTTCGACAATTCTAGAAACGAACGTCTCTAAAATGTTACATTATGGTTGATTTTTTTCACTCTTATTTTCAAGTAGGGATGGCTAAACGCCCACCTAATTTTGGTTAACAAACGGCATCCTGCAGTATTAAAAATTTCAAAAAATATATGGCGAATTACCGTATTAGTTCAAATAGAAAGTTGACTGAAACTTAGAATTTCAACGCCGAAATGTATTTAAAATAATACGCAATATACTTATGGAATTTCTAATACATAGATTGTCATTTGCAAATCAAACTTAAGAAACCGTTTCGCCCTCTCCCCTTGAAAATAAAGGTTACCATAAAAAATGGAAATACAACATTTTAGAATCGCTTGTTTCTTGATTTATTAAAAAAAAAAATTCCTGAAATGTTAATATTTTTTTCGTTTCCGAGATACAGTAATGAGTGTCTTCGCGGAACATTCTATGCGTGTAATGTGTACTTACGTATCACGTGTGCACATTTTTTTTCGCCTTGTATTTCTATATTTGGGTAAGTGACCGCGGAACCGTCATCACTTGCATACGTAATATTATTATTAATTTTTTTATGCTGCGGCACAAAATAATATAACGAGCCATAATACAGCCCTGCCCCCGCTCCCTCGACATGACGTTATAAACGAAAAATATCACTCATAGCCTGCGAGTTGTAAGTGGACACTTAACGTATGTCTGCTAGACAATACTGTAGACATTATGAACTGTCGTGCGTATGTATATGTATATGTATGTACGTATGTATGTGTCTATATGTGTGCCTGAACGCGATTACCGTCTAGACATACATTATTATTATTATTGTTATAACCATGAAACGGTGAAACGGTCGAAAACGGCCACGAATATAATGTATTATCGATTTATATATAAACGAATTCGTCCGATAACGAAAACGAATAAAATATTTATGTCATTACGTAAGTATAATAATGTACGCTGCAAATACCAATCGACAAACGGAAATGAATAATCGAATATTATGCCATTCGATCGGTTAGACCGGCTACAAATTATAAGCGACGCCGTGAAATAGCACTACGACAGTAGCAGTGATATTTCAAAAACGGCGGTTAAAATGGACGGAGCGGAGTCCCCAATCTATTTATAGTAAAATTATCAGCCCCCTTTAGTTAAAGTTTTTGGAGTTTGAGGGAATACTTTAGTTTTTGTCATTGAGACATTTTTAATGGAATTTTAAATACTAGGAATAGTTTTATCAAAAATCAATTCTTTAATACCTATTATACTATACGTTATCAGGCTCTGTTTTACTACGCTATTAGTGTAATATTTTCATAAACAAATGTGTGTGTATGAGAAAAAATATTTTGGAAGTCCATGATGGGTTTTCTAAAAGTTTCGTTACGTTTAGTTAGTTCTTGCCTCTACATTTCGATAGATATAGTCCCTCTTTATAGTTTTCCCTCTTTAACCACTGTTCACAAATGGTTTAAAAATAGCAATCACAGAGACACAGACTGTTACTTTAGTTTTATGAAAATATCAGTGATTGTTACTTAGATACTCTATGACTTAAAATAATTTTTACTCTATACTAATAGTACTTTACTACTTCTACTTACTGTTACTGTTAGTCTTAGTGCTATTACTTAAATCTGTCATACGCTATTACACATATTCACATTACATTTGCTACTTAGTATGAACATATTGTCTGCTAATCTGTGTATAAAATAATTACAATATCAGTTATGTATAAAGTGTATATATTAAATATTAAAATTATAAATTATTGTTATGCATCAAAGTACCTTTTTTTTTTTAATAAAGGACTACTATTTTTGCAGGTTCCTGAGACCTTCCCAAAAGTACCATCTAGATAAAATCCCCTCTCAGAAATGATGACGCTTGTATATATATCTGAGCAAGATTTCTGGTAGAATTTTTTTACGCAGTATAAAAAAAAAAACTATAGTAAAACCAATAAATTATCCACCACACTCAGAATCTAAAAATATTTCTATATGTTCTATACAATATTATATACAGTGTCCTACGGTGTTATCCGATGCTAATGACTGTCAATATTCATTTTTTTTTCAATCGTTTTTGTGTCAGGAGGCTACGAACATAAAGGAAAATTGAATTATAAATTTAATCTCTTAATCAGTGACTGAAAAATAACTTTATTTTTTTACTTTTTAAAATTTTCAAAATACCCATTTTGTAAAATATATTTTAAACATTTTAGTGTACATATTATACATTTATATTCGATCAATAGTTTCTTAAAAATAGCCGTTTTAATTTCAACATTTTAACATTTCTTATCTTGCATTCGAATAATACTGTAAGACACCCTTTATGTAAACATATTTTACGATATTTTACTGTTCCGCAGGTGGAGACATATTGAACAACGACGGCTCCGGTTCCATAAGCATTTACGGCGATACGTTTCCAGACGAAAACTTAATAGTGAACGGCACGAAACCGGGATTCGTGGGAATGGCGAATTCGGGTTGGTGTTTCAAACGTATCATACAATGATTGTTTGATCGTCAAATTCGTATTAAAATGTATAATAAATTATGGAGTAGTAAAATAATAGGTTTGCACTTTCGAATTTTCCGAAACGGACGAGAAACCTAATGTCTAATAAAAATTTCCTGTGGTTAAAAAATAAGTTAGATTTGGTTGCTATTACTGCTGTGATGTGAGACTTCTCTTTTTCCTTCGTTTTCATTCCAGCTATTTGGAGTCGGCCACCCTCGTTTTTAACTACCACTTGACTCAATCTCCCACCTCACATATGTACACTAGCTGTCTTTGAGTGTCCTCATATCATTCTCAATCACGTCCAGCCACCCTTTTTTACGGTCTTCTTCTACCCCTTTTTCTTCCTACATTTATTTTCTTTACAACTCTTATTGCTTCTGATTTCTCTCACCTCATGACATGTCTAAATTATCTCTGTTTATTTTCTCTCATTTTGTCTACTAACGAATTTACACTTTGGATACCTCTTATTAACTCAATCCTTATCCTATCTTTTCTCTTCACTCCACTCATTTACCTAAGAATTGTCATCTCTGATATATTAACTACTTTGTTTTATTTTTCTGTCTACCACCCAATACTTCAAACCATACAACATAGAGAGTCTCAACATACACTTGTAGAACTTACCTTTAAGTGCCATTGAATTTTCTTATCACATAAATCACTTGATTTTTCTTTCTACTTTATTAAACTTCACTTACTTCTATGATGCATATCCTCTTTTTTTTTTTTGTTCCCCCATATATTCGAGATTGGATAATTCACTTAAGCCTTGTTTATGTCTCCTCAAACTATATTAAAACATTTATACACCGGATGTCGACCTGACACAACTCTATTATATTTGTCGCCTCCTACAACAAATATACCTTTGATGCAGTGTTAGGAAAGTTCCTTAAAGTGTTTCTTTTTTTTTCTTTTTTATGAATACGCATATTACATATTCATAAAAAAAAGATACTGCGAGAACGGGTGCAGCCACTGTTGGCAATGAGAAGTTGGGAAGGTAGGATAATTAAAATTGGAAACTATTCTTACTTCTTAGAATCTACATGTTTAAAATCCTAATAAATTGAATACAGTTAGTTTCCTAGTTCCTAACCTAAAAAATGAAAAATGAAAAAACATTAACTTGAAAAAATATTTCATAATCAATATACTCAAATTCAAAATATAATAGTTTATTAACTATACAAAAAAAAAAAAAAAAATATTACACTGATATTTTGTTTTGTTTAAGGACTAATTTTTCCGACAAAGCATAACCTGTGTCTTTTTACAGTCATGACATGATGTCATAAAGTATGATACCAACACTAAACAATATTATCACTAGAATAACGTACGTTATTTTTTTTCTGAATAAACGGAACGGAAGTTTGCGTTCACGTCAGGTCAGGGCTTAATTTAAAGAAATAGAGGTCTTGTACACTATACAACTTTGGGGTCCTATTTGAATTAAAAATGAAATCGGTAAAAATTAAAAACAAAAAAAAAACCGACATATTTCGCACGTGGATACAACCTCTGTTGTAGGTGGGAAGTTGGGATAATAGGATACAGACGGGAATTTAATGTATATCTGTAAGCAAAGATAAACCAATGCTAACAAAAAAACGATTCTGAGTGGAATTTAGTTGATAGTGTCGTTTTGTCAACAATATATGTCATATTATGGTAAAATGATTATTAACAATGTGCATTTTCATGGCAAAAGTGATTGTTTAAAAAAATATAAATAATAAAAACTTAATAATAACAAAAAATAAATAAAACTATTGCCAATGACAACCTTATTTTCAATCTTTCAATTATTTTTAACCTAAAGAACTAGTCATTTCTCGTCATTTAGAATATTAATATTCAATTTAAAAAAATGACCTCTTTAAAGTACCACCCAGAGAACATTTACTTTCCGAAAAGGTGCTATACTTGATAATCGGAGTAAGCTTTCCGGTATAAAAAGTGTTCACATAAAAGAAAAATAATAAAATAAACATTATTGTAAAACCAATACATTCCTTACTCTGTTCAGAATCTAAAAATATACATACAATATATATATATATATATATTTATATATTTAAAAGGTAGATTATAACATCAAATATCTTAAATTATATCAAATTTATATCTATAAATCGCAATTATTTTTTTTTTAAATCAAGTTAATTTCTATAAGCGTTTTGTTTCTTGTAATTTTTTTTTGCGAATTCAGCAATAATGTTTTCAAACGATTGATTGCCCGTAACGATAAAGTATTTATCCAGTTTTTCTTTAGTTAAAGAAAAATATATTCGAGTTTTAATACGTTCAAGTGAAAAATATGGTGGATACATAAATATAAGGAAATTAAAATATTCTGAAACATATAATAATTACTTATTAAACACTATACCCAATCGTATATCTACCAAAAATATAAAGTATAAAAGTGTAATATTTTTTTTTTATAAAGTGGGAGACGGCCCTCAGAATCTGGAGGCCCTATGCTTGTGCACTGTGTGTACATACGGAAATCAGGGCCTGGTTCACATAAATATACAAGAACTCTTTCCCGTTCCTCGTTCCTATATTTGAAAAAAAAACGCGTTTCTTCCTAACACTGTTAGGGTGTATTCGAGTCCTCTTCTACAGGGATGACTGTTATGTATTTATAATTTTACCTGACTATATTGTGATCTCTTACTCATTGGATTCCTCCATACATGCCGCCATACTATTTTTTTCTTTTACTTTTGGTTTCCGATGGTTACAAGAAGAAAAGGGCTGATATACTATGGAGGGGTGACTGGTGTAGGTAGGTCGTGGGTAGTTAGGATGGTGGGATACCTACATAAAGTTATTTAATTTATACCTGTAACCAACGACAAACCATTGCTAACGAAAAACGATTCAGAGCGAAATTCGGTTATACATACTTTAAAAAGTCGTAATATTTACAATTTTCGTTAGCATTAGATTTCAAAACGTATATCTATAAACAAATACTACATTGCACTCAATTTTTTTTTGCAACATATACGACTTAAAATCACTCTCCTGTCAACATTTCAAGCATTTTTGTTTAGCCTAACGATTTTTTTCACAGAGTACCTACCAAATAAAAATTATGTGAAAAAGTCGCAAAATTAAAATTCCTATAAATAGCACAAAAATTCATACAATTTTACCACGTCTAGAAAAAACAAATATTAGTTTTCTGTCAAAATTTCAAGTCTTTACGAATATTTTTATCTAAATTACAGAGCAAAAACAAAACTGAAAATAATACAAAAATTATTTTCATACATTTTCCCGTATTTTCTACGTATTTTTTGGTTTTGCTTAATTATTTAAAAAACTACAAAGAAAATCAATAAACGATTATCTTGATCAATAACTGGATTATAAAATTTAAAAAAATATCCATTCTAATGGAGCAATATATTTGGTAAAAAACGTGAATCATAAAAATTTAAAATAAGGATTGCTTGTAAATTTATCAGTTTTCATTTTTCGGAATTTTCCGATTTATCTCAAATATTACAAAAACTACCAGGAAAATCAAAAACCATATTAATTACTTACGAATTAGATTAAAAATCAAAAAGTGACTTCTCTAATGCATCAACTGGAGAAAATTGTCTTTAAGAAAAAATGCTACACTGCGTACATCAGAGCAAGATTTCTTGTAGAAAAATTGTTCACAAAAAAAAATAATACGCTTTCTGAATCTAAAAAAACTGTTATTTAGTATTTAATCTGGATTTCTCGTTCAATAATGTTCTCTTTAAAAAAAAACGTAAAATAAATTAACTGAATCGGAGATATGATAGGAATAGGGAGACGTGTAAAAAGTACTTTTCCGATTTTTTTTTATAACCTAACTTAAAGTCAAAGGAATTGAATACAGAGGGAACCACGTGAACGTATAACATTATATAATATTTGCTCAGGTCCGGATTCGAACGGATGTCAGTTTTTCATAACGACCAGACCAACGCCGAGTTTGAATGGCCAACACGTCCTGTTTGGGCTAGTTTTAGACGGACAAAAGTTCGTGCACATTATCGAGCGGCAGAGGAGTGACCATTTGGGGAGGCCAACCAAAGAAATCCGAATAAAGAAATGCGGACTACTTGGCAATCGGCCGCCGTTCGTCATCACAGATTTTCCGTACAGGTGAGACGGTTCGAAAAGATACTAATATTTATATTATAAATGGACAACATTTGCATCCATTTCACAAAATAGAACCGCGGTTTCTCCATTTCTCGTAATTAAACAATACGGATAACATTCCGCGAAATGGATACCTAAACTTTACACAGCGGAACTTATTTCATCATTTAGATGTCCGTAACACGAAATAATACACTAATAATAATAATAATACAATAATATATTAATTTTTTTTTTTAACGAATTTCGTGTTTCACAATTGACAAAAAGAAAACTATTTTTTTAAATTTTTTTTTAAGATTACAAATTTCTATTATTATCATTTATTTGAACATGTCTAAGTAATATGACAACGAGAATTACATTTTAAATAACCTTTAAAACGAGCATATTTTTTTGTTGTACATTTACCTTTACAGTAACAGCTAAAAAAAAGGCCTGACCTCCTGTTAAAGATGATACAATTTCTCTGATTGTAATTTCTTTTGTCTTTACTTGGTCGATATTAATGAACTTGAATGTGGCCGGTTGAATATTTCCTATACCAACCTTTTATAATGCTATATTCAGTTCCTAAACGGTTGAGATAATATGTTATGTTCCATCACTACTGCAATAATTGAATAATGTTCGCTGGATCTGTAGGGCCTCTATCCACCTTCGGAACGAAGTAACGACGGTTGTCGACCGATAATAATATTTATACAGTAGATAAAGCTAAAAAAAAATGTTTTGATCTTCATTTATGATCAACCGATAAGGATATTGCCATACCAACCAAAAACTCTTGATATACATAAGGTTTAAATAAATAATAATAATAGAGAGATAATAAAAAATGATCGTGAAATGGATGCAAACGTTGTCCAATTTGTGAAATGGACAATAACGCGATATAGATGCGGCATTATATATGTATATGTGTGTATACTGTATACATACAGGATGATTCACTAAGTGGGATTTTATCCCACTTTTTGGTTAAATTTTACATATTATATTCTAGTTCTGATTTTTGCAATTTTTAAATGTAGTAAAAAAGTCGATATTTTCAAATATATGTTGTTAATAAATGTTTAACAATATTTAAGGAGTATCCTGTGGTGACAGCATTTTTCGGTTTTCAAATGACCTATAAAATACCTATATACACAAATAGACGAAGTATATTACTTTAAATACACTTTGGTGGCAACATTTTTAATTCCCTTCAACCCGTTAACAAGATATTCCACTTTAAGTTTAGGAAGGGGGAGAGTAGTGGAGTATCATTTGTGTGGGGGCGCGGCACGCAGCGTTTTATTAATGCTCCGCTACTCTACTCCAAACTAAAATTAAAAGTGAAATATCTCGTCAACATGTTGACGGAAATCAAACATCAACATTTATTTAAAGTAATACTCCATCTATTTATGGAATTTTTAGTATAGATTCTTACTTTAAAAACCAAAGTAGTTATTGCTACAGGATATTCCTTAAATGTTATTAAAAATTCCAAAAAACAGAGTTTGAATAAATTAAAAATTTTACCAAAAAATGGACTGAACCCGATTAGTGAATCACCCTGTATATACATTATATTATTTGTAATTTTAAGTAATTTTGTCATCCTCATAACTATAAGTTGTACAGCGGTATAACCGAAGTATTATAATAATTATTGAGTTATATTTGAATGCTCATTTATAATTTTCTGCTAATTGACTATTTGTCAAGTAAATTGCTTGTAATATTACTATGTATATTTGTTTTGTGTTACATAACGCTAGGAACCTATTTGTCTTAAAGAACTAGCTATATTTTATTTTGTTCTAGTATATATTTTGAGTTTTGTCGTCACTTTAGACTTCTAATATAAGAGTCTTCATCACTACATTCACAATCAAAAATAACTTTAATATTAGACACGAAATCCACCGTTGGCCGTGCAATACCCTCATATCTAAATTAGTTATCCTGACCGTGGCCGCTAGGGGTACTCCATCGTATTTGTGTCTAGGGGCTCCTCAGGCTCCAAGGTTTCAAAAATACCGCCACTTAACTGCTGACCGTCTTTTGTGCAGATATTTTTAATAAATATATAGCATTGTTCAGCTTTTTGTTGACTAGTTGCAAAATTGATACATAGACTAATCGTAAAATAATAAAATAAAATAATTTATTATTAGTAATTGAGCGAGGGAGAAAAATGTATACACAATTTATTACGGAAAAACGAAATTTCACTGAAAATCACTTGTGTGAATATATGTCACCAAGAAATTTATTGTTATTTTTAAAAAATATCATCGATCCATAACACCGACTTCCGATCTAATACCAAAACGATTTTCACAGACTTTAAATTTTCCATCTATCGAGGCATTTTAAAACAAAGGTTCCAGAAGCTTTTGAGGGCCAGGCCGACACTAATACAAAACCTAATAAGCCAGTACCACTACGAGATAAATCATTTTTATTTTTTATCTATCCATTTTTTTTTTTTTTTTAATTACAGCTCGACCATTTGGCAATGGATATCCGCAACGGCCATACCGCTATCGATGTCTAGCGCAATTTTATTGTTCTTTCAGTGGGTCATTTATCAAATAAACAAAATGATCATTTAATATCTATATCTAAAAATGCAAGAGGAGTGTTTACTTATAATATGGTTTACTCATTTTTAAAAATTACTGTTTTTAAAATAAAAGAAATATAAAGGATACCTATACACAATTAATAAATACACGTATACTCGTGATTTTTTAGTAAAGATCGCATAAAAACTAGTGGGATATTTTTTTCCATTTTTCCATTTTCCTTTTAATATTTGTTTGGGTTAAAATGTTGTATATTTTTCTCCTAATGTTAAAATCCATATAATCAATAAAATATACGAAAGTTCTAATTTTAGCCGTCACACTGATACCTCAACTATTGTGTAATATCAAAAAATATAAACTTTACCGAAGTTTTTGACAAAATTCTAGAAAACATAATTAATTAATAATCAGTGAAACGAATAAACGATCAGTCAAGACGTCAATCTATTCACGAGATATTCCGCTTTTAAGAATGAGTTAGGAGAAAGAAGTGGAGCACAATTTATGTGGCACCACGGCGCGCGGCGTTTGAATAGTGCTCTAACTATTACTCTCCCCCTATTCAAACTTAAAAGTGGAATATCTCGTGAACAGGTAGAAGGAAATAAAAAATTTTAACATCAACATTTATTTTAACTCATATTTTATACGGAGTTTTCGATGTACATTAACATTTAAAAATCAAAAGGTGTTAGTCATTTTACACCCAAAAATATAAGTGATATAAAATAATGGCGTTGTAACATTTTAGATCTACTTGTTTATTTATACTATATTATTTTCTTTTTTTTTTTAAAGTTTATACCTAGGTACTTTGCGAAATAATGAGTGTTGAACGACAAAATAATCACAATCTGATTGTCTTCAATTTTTTACCACAATTCGCTTTTTGAGATTATATAAATATGAATTGAATATAGGTATGAGCGTTACCTACATAAATAGTAGATATAGATAGATGAGCATAGAATATATTAATGATTGTAATACAGTAAGAAAAAATACAAAATATATGATTATCATTATTCTTTTATTTTTACATTAAAAAATGCAAGAAAAAAAAAACAGTGAAAAATAAATACATAGTTAAACTTTTGTGTGTTTAAAAATGAAAAAACCAATAATAATAATAATTATTGTTTATTCAAACTAATAAAAACGGACAAATGCCCAATAGTACAAGTACTAATAAATTGTTCCAAAAAATGAATACATATACATATAACATTAAAATTTTTAATATTAATTAACTAGAATATAAACCAAATAGATTATAAAAGACAATATTACATATTTATTATTAATTAAGCATATTTTATAAGTTGTGACTAATATAAAAAAGAAGATATCAACATGAGGAGCAAATTTATTACATAAAGATATGGCTTTTGGAATCGGAGTTTTTTTTAAATAATTTATGATGTGTGGTAGCAAGTAAAACATGGAAGTGGATCGATTATTATGGGCTGGAATGTTAAATGAAATATTTTGTGTTAAATAAGGGTATCAATGTGATTATTTATAAATTTATATAGAAAAGAAATCCGGATCCACATTTTTATTATAGTAGCTTAGTGGCATAAAATGTTCCACTTGGATCATTGCTATTCTTAGCATCATAATGTTTGTGAAAGAGTGTCAGTCATAGCCCCATCAGGTAATTTTACTTCTTTATTCACCTATAGGAATCGGTTTCATTATTGCTTGCACTAAGGGTGTCATATGCTTGCAGAGATGGTCTGTAAATAAAAATTCTGAGTGTTTATTAAGAAAACTCTTCGGAATATCAAAATATCACACCTGTAACATACCATGCCAGTTAAATTTCCTTTCAGAAAAAGTACTATAATTGAAAATCGGAGCATTATTTATAATAAATAAACACCTTAAAGATAACTGATATCAATAACTATTTTAAACGATTGTATTTTATAACTTAGGTACCCAGTTGAGTATTAACAATGTATTGCATTCTATGATTTAAATATATTATTACATGTATTACATGTTTTAAAGTAGTTTGAATAAAAAAAAGGTAAGAAATTATTGATAAGTCATATAATTATGTATATATAAAGCGTTTGAAAACAAAACTTAAAAAAAAAAATAGCGTATAAATAAAATATATGTATTTTCTATGTAGCTATTTTGATAAAGGCACACACGCCTGTGCTTACAATTATTAAAACAAAAAATTGTTTTTATTAAATGATCATTATTGAATAATTATTGAACAGAATTATAATATCTATGTAATTTTACAATTTATAGATTATTTCAGGGAAACCCTTAACATTGCGTATGGCATAAAAAAAACTGTGTGAGAATATGAAGATACAGATTAGAAGCTTAATCATTTGTAAACCTTCAAATAAAATTTGAACATACACAATATTTTTTCACTCTTACTGCTTTATACAGTGTAGTAGGGCCACTCACAATAAATAATAATAACACCAATAATATAAATATACTGTTGCTCCATGTTACGAATTTTATAATCATCGACTCCCAAACCGTTTCCCCACTGTCACACCTATCCCTTATCTATAATTATCTTATCTTATCTTACCTTATCTTATTATTTAATTTTTTATTCTATTGCATTGCTTTCCCAAGTTAAACAGTTCTAATTCTAGAGTTTATCATATCATTTGGTACAGATGAAGCCTCTAAAATTGTATAAAAAGAAGTAAGAAAAATATATTAAGTATAAAGAATATCTGGATTCTTGGCTGCAATAGTTTTTATTTTAGTCAAAAATTGGACTAAAATGGTCTCAGAAGGTAAACTGTTTTTAGTTACAATAATCGTTTTAAGCAAACTACCATCGTCTAGAAATTCTACATCTTTTAAGATACTGAGTTAAAAAATCAAAACATATTATTCACCAAAAAAGTGTTTTTAAAAAAAAGACATCTTAGTAAAACTAAAAAAGCATATTATTAATAAAACTAATAGCTACTTTGTAACCCAACACACAAAATCGAAAGAAAAAAGCTAGATTATACATATTGATGTTTAATTGAATATATGATTATGTAACACAGTTTTGTCATTATTAAATTAATTGGTTATTTGTGTGATAAGAGCGGTTCCTTTGAGAATCCAATAATTTTCTGGAAAGTCAGTTGGTAGTAATACGGCAATTACAAAATTAGTACTATGTCCAGTAGTGGAAAGAACTCCGGCTCTTATTGCTGTTTTATATAGTGGACAATTGTATCGCAAAGTATTTTCATCCAGATCAATAATTGGCACGAGCCTTATGACGGGAAGGGGAGGATAGAGGTCTCCTTAAAAATATATAAAAAATTCATTGTAAATACAAAAGAAAAGGTACTGGAATATTAATTTATCAAATTATTACCGGGTATTGGATCCACGAGACGTTTGGTTTCCAAGTCAATACGTCCGGCATCGAGAAACAAACCGTGCACGTACACTCCATCTTCTTGTTTTGTTAAACCTTTGTAAGCGGACGGTAGTTCTTTCGAGCTAATTTCATGCATTGCAGCGATTACTTCTTGGTTTAGAATAGTATCGGTAAGTTCGAAATCAACTTTTAAACTATCGATTGGTATGCTGTACTTCCTTGCGTGTCTCTGTAGACATCCTGTCATAAAACCTTGTGGGAAATATAAACCGGATATCCAGTAAGAAAGAGGACTTCCAAATTGCAACCAAAACTAAACAAACATTTTCAAATTATTTAGTTTTTAAAATAACATAGTTCTGACAAAGAAAATAATACAAATTACATTAATAAAGTCTAGTCTCAAAACTAAATCTTTGACCCAACTACCCAATGTCTTCAATGAAGGATATGCTTTGTTGAGCCACAATTTTGGTACCTTCAGTCATTTTTTTTTAAATAAATTATTAGTCAAGCAAAATTATGTATTGAAAAATAAAAATTGTATTACAGTGCTATTCATGAACGATAAATAGACTCCTTCTAATTCAGTAGACATGACAACTAGTCCTTTAATTGCTTTACGGAATTCACTTAATGAACTATGTATGACATCGAGTAATTTATTAAAACGGTCAATTTCTTGTAACAGCACTGTAGATAATGATGGTAATCGCCCTTTGTCATCCAGTTCCATTATTGTAAAATGCGCATTACTGATATCTATAAACTTCATAAGCTTTTCAGATATGTCAGTAACCATATCCATAACGATTTCATCATCGGATTTACCAACACCACCTTCTGTTGATTTCGGATAGACTTCAACAATAGTTTTCAATATCTCTTGTGTTTCTTTAGTCTAATACACACAAATTTTAGTTTATAATGAATAAATAAATTCGTTGTATTATAAAAATGTAATAGTTGAACGTATAATACTTGATATGCTATATTAGCATTATCATGCATTCCGAATATTTCCGGTTCTTCTATCATTGGTAATCTATCGATAAATAGTTTATAATTCTCAACGGTGGTGCAAGTTTCCGATTCTGGACAAAAGTAAGTACCAGTCTTCGAATATTTAAAATCTGGAAAATATTTGTTTTCATGTTAAAATCATAAATACAAATACATATAAAACAGTTGAGATAAAAATTCTTCTTATTACTCGGCTCAAGAGTATGAGGACCAAAGAAATTCCAAAGTACTGCCTTCAGAGTTCTTTGATCCCAAGAATCAGTAACTCTTCCACCATAATTTATATCTCCAATTATATACTGTAATGCATCCCATGGTATTTCCATAGCGGTCGAACAATACATGTTCAAAAAGAGCATAGCACATTCTCGGTCACTCTCGGCAAACGCATATGCTATATTCCAGCCCAGTGATCCAAATTTCTTCCTTTCCAATATGTTGGCATGGAAAAAACATAATCCGAATACCATTTTACGCCACTGAGAACTAAAACCTATCATGAAATTAATTTATTAATATTAAAAAAACGGACATGCTTCGCACGTAGGTGTACCCACTATTGTAAGTGAGAAGTTGAAAAAATTCTATAATTTCTTTAATAATATTTGTTTAATACTCTACCTATTTTCCCGTTTTTCCTACGGTTTTCCCGGTTTTTCCCATTAATTGGGAAAACTCCTAGAGAAAATCAAAAAATTACCTCCCTTAAAGTACCTCCCCAATACGATTTCCTTTCAGAAAAAGTGCTATCATTATAAATCAGAGTAAGATTTTTGATAGAAAAGTTGACCACAGATAAAACATCTTTGTAAAACAATAGGCTTCTTCGCTCCAATCAGAATCTAAAATGTGTAGTGAATATTTGTTTTCAACATATAGGTAGTTACCATTGTCTTCAAAAAATTCAGTGTTCATATCTATAAATGATCTTTTCATATTAGCCTTTAATCCTTTAGGTGGTTCATTAGTTACTTTTAATGAATTTTGTAGCACAAAAATAGGAAAATTTTTTGAAGGCATCGAACTCAAAAATAATCTAAAATCTTCTTTGATATCAGATGCATTTTCAATTAGATTTTGAACTAAATTTTCCATTTTAACCATCCATGATGATGCTAAATGGCAATTCTGAAAATAATTAAAAATACGATTTACATGATATCTACGAGTTATATAATATTATATCGTTCAATACTTGCAAGAATATCCAGTTGCCTTTTTCCACACCATCTCTTATTAGTTTTTCTGCAATGGGTCCCTGACCCTGACCTAAAGATATTGCACGCACTTTATCTATCATTCCGAATTCCGTTGCAAACTTTTGAAATGATACGAATGGATCTGAACCAGAGCTAAGTATGAAAATTAATGGTACAATCGAAGATGTGTCTTTATACAATAACTGGAGCGAAACTCCTGGACTCTCAATAAATAATTGTCCAAGCTCAGTACTTATGTAGCTAGCAATTGCAAAAATTAATTTTTCTTCTTTGAGTGTTTTAATAATCATAAGTTTTTCAAATGAATTTAACACTGAATTCCAGTCTAACGACATAGCATTATTTTGCGGGTCTAATTGAATATTTTGAATAAAATTTCCAATTTTAATTTGTATACGGTTAGAGCAGTGTTCAGGTAGATTTTTAAATTTAGGAAACATTTCAGACACATAGCATACAGTTTTCCATATCTCTTCTGTCAATGCAACAGGTTTCTCTACTGTTTCTTTTTTTATTGTTCCTATTGGTCCACGGAGCAAAAAGTTCCATTGGGAATTAGTGATTTTGCCTGTTTGCATATTTATATTGACACTGAGCAAGAAACTAAATATTAATTTATGACGTTCAAACAGGCCTCTAGAAATATTTGTGTAAATAGCAATGGTTATATCTTCAATCATAATTGGCATTTTAACTTCAATTTTTGTAGTTTTATTACTGTTTTTAATCACATTGCAAAATATCTAAAAATTAAGATTACACTTAGAGCAGAAAAATATCAGAGTTTTTGTTCAAACTTACAGAGTTGAAATAGTTTAAAGAAAACTGATACATAGTGTCAATTTCGGACAGTTGAGCTATAACAAAATACAGACATGAACCTCGTTTCGCGACTGCTCGGTAACGTTCTCTTGCGATACTAATGCTTTCTTCTGTTTCTTTTGCATCTATTAGACGTCCAGCAATAATCATAGATGTTTCCTATAAATTCGATTGCACAAATAAAAAGTCCTGTTTAACAATTTATTTAGTTTACTTTGCTATTATTAAGCGTCTCAATAAGCTCTTCGTCGTCTAATATGTTTCCTTCCGACATATTCAACATTCTTAATGTCTTGTCTTCCATCTCTTTTAATAAGTTATTGTCATTATTTATATTCACAATTGTTTCAGTTCGTTTCTCTTCTAAATCCGGTCTTTCTAATCGCACAACGTCTCTAAAAGAGTTAATTTCCATACATAAATTAGAAATAATAGAATTTAGTTCAAGATTAAAATACATAGGTATTTTATTTAATATAATAATAACGTACACTAATAATTGATCTTCTAATCCAGAAGGTGTTACAGTAAAATTTACCAGCGTAACCTGTATACATATTTCTGGCAAATAATGAGGATTTCCCATTTTAGTTGTCATGTACAATTTAAACTGATTATTATATTCTATATCTGCATTTCCTAAGCGTATCAAAAGCCGTCCGCCCTTTAAATACAATTATATAGTTTATCAACTTCGACTGAATTTACTATATTTCTATTTACTTGTATAAAGGTATTGTTCTCCAATATAGGTCTCAATGTAGGATCAATATGCTCTTCGAGGCCTTCTATTATGACTGGGTATCCTAGTCTAATTGAATCAACGATGATATTCATTAAGCCTGAATCGGTAACTTTGCATATTTTTAGTGAATTATCTGCTTCTAGAGCTTTAATCCACCTGTTTGCTTGTTCCTGAGGATCTATCATTAAAGGCCACCGATGGGATCTGGTCACGATTATTGCACTATCTGTCGACACTGAATCTCTGGGAAGACCACATATGTTCCATGTCCGTAGCTCAAATGAATCAATTAATACAGAACTCAAAGAGAAATTTGATGAATATCTGATTTCATATTGGGTCAGTTGTTGAAGCCATAAATTGATTATTTCTTTACGATATTCATCTGTAAATGGTCCTAAATAGTTTACACATGCGCTTGCTACTATGGTGTCTCCAGTTACAGTTAATAGGAGTTCCGAAAACATCTAAATACAAAAAATGTGTTAAAATAACTTAGTTACACATATGATACGAATGATAAAACAAAAACTGCAATACTTTAATATTATTTTCCCATCTTAGTTGTTCGTCGCTAAGAGCTACGACAAGTAAATCAGAACGTTTCAACCTTGCTTGCGTTCTACCCATGTTAAACTCAAGTTTGTTCTTTTCCGAAACACTCTGATCATAAATATTTTCGAGTTTTTGTAGACGTTCTTCAACGTCAGCTAACATTTTTTGCTTTACTCTTAATTCTTTTAATACAATATTCAGTTCATCCTCAGCTTCTTGCTGTCTATAGGTAATTTTTAATAATTTATATACAGTAAAATATATACATTTTTTATAATAATTCAGTATTTCATATTTAAATACTATGAAGAATTACAGATAAAAATGTGTTAGTAAGTGCCACTTTATAGTAATAATTAATAATAGTTTTATTTTTGCATTATTTACTACACACTAATTCCAAAAAAGAATGGAGTAAGTCGAATATTATCTAGGTAAATTAAATAATTTTATCTGCAAAGTATAATTTAGATTATGTAAATTAAGATTAATAAGATCAGAACTTTAATTTTTTAGTTTTGTTAAACTTTTTTTACTACATCGACTGACATTTGCATGCCTTGCAGTAGCCTCTAATAGCCAAATTACAAAGTTACGGAATTAATATCAGTTGGGTTTCAAGATTAGCTTAAGTAAAGTAAATAAAATTAGTAAATAAATGTATAAATAAAAAATATATATATAAAAATAAAATAAATATTATTAAATACGACCAGATGAATTGAAAAAACATTATCAGGTATATCATTGATCGTATGACTTATCATAATAATCCAGGCGACGCATTGATTAATTAATTTATTTTATTTTTATGTATACATTTTTTATTTATACATTTATTTAGTATATTTATTTCCTTTATTTATTTACGAATATTAACCATTTTAATAATTTAGTTTTTACTTTATTATTTTATTATTTATTATAGGTACGAAAAAATACCCGAAAAAAAAAGTAAATTGATGATATGAAATTATCGATGATGATTATAGTGTAGGTAATTATTAATTAGGATTTGAGTATTACGATGATCGTAAATATTGCAATTGGAAATGTATACTGGACTTATCTTCGTTGAACTCAACTGAGGGGGGAGTCTAAATCATCGAGAAGTCAAAATCTCCTATAACGCTAATTTATTTCGACTCCCCTAATAATGTTTACAAAGTTCATTTTTCTTCTCTCCGAAAGATATACATTATTTTATAGTTGTTGAGTCTTCCTATATCTACCTCCTATATCAATTTTTTGTTAAAACGTACTGGGAAAAAACCTATACACATGACGCGCATCGAAGACTCATTCCGAGTAAATCCAGGGGAGGGAATAATGGGGTCATTTGCGCCCTCTCCCCCAATAAACACCATAAGGAAGTAATATGTTTTGGCTAATAAGTTATTTTAGTTTACTATTCTTATCACTAAATTTTCATTTTTTCTCTCCTCCTAACAAAAATTTTTAGATCCGCTCCTGGTAGATTCGTATCATTAAATAGATGTACTATTATTATTTTTAGTTCTATTAACACTTAATTTATATTATAATATTAATGTATTCAGATAAATATTAAGTACATTCATATTTGTATTTTAATATTTATAGATTAGATATAGTATAATATTCTAAGGCATCTATAGACGTTTGTAATTGGTTCTACGAAATACACAATCTTTTATTGTAATTCAATAATGAGTGTGTATGAAAATTACTGGAAAAATATCTTCACAATTTTATATTTCTCCAGACCCTTAGATACACTTAGGTGTACCTGATTTACTAATTTATGATGTCCATATACAATATAGAGTGGTTGATGTGATATAATATGACCATACTTTTACATTTTAAAACTGTACATACTCTACATTATATTATTGTTGTTTGTTAATAAAATAACTCTGGGTATCTACTTACTTTTTTCTTTTCGGCTCAACTATTCGATATACTAGAGCATAGCTATGAACAGCACGGACCCACATACACATTGATTTGGCCACCTTAGATTGAGTAGCTACTTTTGTTGGATTGAAATCTGGATTTTCTATATAAGGCTTAAGTTGATTAATCATTTTATCATGTATGTTATCCGTATCATATTCTTGCAGAGTTTTAAGAAAATTGCTGTCTCCTAATACGGTCTTAGCAGTAGCCCAATCAGTTCTAGAAATTAATAATAATCAAATAATACAACGAATGTTCAATTGTAAATTGTGTTAACACTTATAGGTATGTTTAGTTAAAAATAATAATGACTAGGATGAATTTCTTCTAAATAATACTATAAAATTATTTATAAATTACTTAGTTGCCAACAATAAACATACAGCTTCCATAACAGTTTGAACAAGTTTCGGAGGTTTATTGAATACTCTAAGTTCATTTATATCATTTTTGTTTAGAGACTCTAATGCCTTTTGGGCGGCTTCCATTGCTGGCATTGCTAACATTAAATCTTTCCCGGCATCTTCAGCGATTTCTTGAGCAGCAGTAGCTTTTATTTGTGCAGCCGCTTCTTCCACGAGTACAACAGCTCGAACTTCGTCTACACTTGCTTTTTCCTTTGTTAGATTTTCCATTAACTTTAAAGTAGCTTCATTTTTTTCTAATAATACCGGTGCCATTGCTTTGAGTTTTATTTTCATTTCACCAACCATATCAAAAGTTTCATAAAGTTTATGTAAACCATTTGAAATTCGATTGGAATCATTGTTAATCTTATTAGTTTGCACCTCGTGCATTTTAATGTATAATTTTAAAAATTCTAAATAGCTTTTGGGTGTTACATAATAATATCTTCTCATTTGTTCATAAAACTTTTTCGTTGCTTGACTAACTGATCTGTGCATATCATTACAAATGTTAGCTAAAGTGCTAACAATGTTTTTATTATCTGGTTGTTCAAATATCTGTAAGCTCTTATGTGCCACAGATAATAGTGCTTCTGTCGGCCAATCATCAAACCAATCTATAGTGGAGTTATTCACTAATGAAGGGAATAAACGGCATCTTCGTCTAAATGCATCACCAATTGGGCTCATAGATATGACAAGATGAAGTTTAGAACGTACTCGCTGTATAAAAAATCTGAAAATTGCATCCCGATTGTCACTATCAATTCCTGATTCAATTGCTGCTGACCTACAATCAGTGATAACTTTCTCCAAGTCATCTTGTTTAAATAGATTGGGTACTTCTCCTGAAATTTAATTTAAAATGGCTAATCATAATTAATTAAACAGGTAAATATTATAACATTATAAATTTACCCGAACTTAATATATTATTTATATCTTCCAAAAATTCTTCTTGAACAATTTGATTGTCAGTAAATAAAAATGTAGTATCTTCGAACATTGCACCAGCTTTGTGATAAAGAATTACTAAGTCTTCATGGAAAGTAGAATAGTTGTAAGATTTCGTCAGCTCAATTTGAAAACATCTACATGCACATTAAAATATTTACCAAAGTTAATTTTAAGTTTATTTTATTTTCTTAGTGTAGTTATACTTGTATTCGTTAATATGTGAAGCTAGTTTAGTTAACGATTGTTTGCCCATACCACTAACTCCAACTAACAAAGCATTTCCTCTTTCAAATCTCAATATCCTTGCTATACGGGTTATATGCTCAATAGCGTCCATAAAAAATATGATATGCATATCTTTATTGTAAACCATATTAAAATCCATTAAATTATCAGTTAATACGGCTTTTAGTTTATCGATATTAACCACTTCTTCATAAATTCGATTTTCATTAGAAACTGGATTCATAAAATCGCCAAACAATAAAGTAGGAGGACGCGTTAGTTCTGTATCAGATTCAGAAAATTGTAACACTGTAGTGTTAAAATATCGAGTGCATACGGTTTTTAGAAGATTGTGAAAATATGATCTATCTTCTTGACAAACCAAACGATCATGATACACACGCAAAGTTTCATGATACCATAATCTGAAAGAAAAATGAATAGTATTACTACATATAATATTATTCAATATGTATTTACAGTAATGGTTACAATAAAATTACCTATATAAATGAGTTGCATCTGGTATTGTAACAAAATCTGCTTGCAAAATCCCTTGTACGGTTTTTGACAAGTCTCTAAGATTAAATACATAATGCGATTTCGCTGGAGTTGGTAATAAATCTTCGGCAATACGCAAATAAACCACAACGCTAGCTTGTACTGTTGCTGCACTCAAATTAGCTATACTAGGTGGGAATTCATACAAAAATCCATCTAAAATTGATGTAAATATTGCTTTCATAGAATTTTCACTTGTAGTGGGAATAAACATCATAGAAAAATGTCTTGTAAATCTCGGAGTCAGAGGGTTTCGACCCCCTCCCGGAGGTGCACAAATTACACATAAAATTACATTCTCTATGTCCTTCCAAAATAACATATCTCGATCATAGAAACCACCAGAGTCCAAAAGTTGTCGTAGTAACTCAATTGGAGGCTGAGCTCCATATATTTCAGGTTTTGGCATATTAACGTCATCAATGAAAATAGCAAGTCGTTTATTCCCTGGTGCTCCGAAACGTGTTCGTTTTTTTTTTTCTAATTTTGATTCCAATATTTCTTGAGTCCTATTGCTATTAGTCTGGGCAGAGAAATTAATCATTCCGGTAATCCAATCACCCGTAGCTGTCAGATTTTGCATGACAAAGTTTGCTACTGATGTTTTTCCAACTCCTTCAAAAAAAATTATAATTCAATAATTATAAAACATACAAATTATAATATTTAAACAATTTTTTACCCGTTATTCCAGTTAACATTACTGGTTGGTTCATTTGTACTAGTTTTTGCATGACATAAGTGTATCTTACGTTATCTACTGTAGGTACTAGTAATTCGAAATATGGCGTAGCAGCGTTGTATATGAATTTAGGAACAATGGTGTTCCAATTTTCAAATGTTTTATTCACTGTATTTAAGTATACATTAAATAACTCTGTTCCAGGTGAAATAGCAGCATCAGATATGTTTTCAAATTGACTAAATACGAAATCCTCAAATTTACTCTGAGATGAATCAATTAGATTTGATCCTAAAGACCATAAATACGAAAAAACAAATGATTGACAAATATGTTTGTAAACTTTTGACATTTCCATTAGCGAGTCAAAACTATTGGGATCGGTTAATAGAGATTCGAGAATAGTACACATCATTGTCGCTTTACTAATTTTAACCTAAAAAAGAAATATTAATGTAACAATGTACAATCTAGGACATTTTAGCGTGAACCTATGTACACCGGATGCATATGATACATATTAGTATGTAATTATAAATAAATTAAAAATAATAAAATAATATTAATGATAAGTTAGAGAAACTTTTAAAAATGGCAATTTGGGTATTTTAATTTTAGATTAAAATTGGTTTTACTAAGATGTTTATTTTTTTTTTCTTTCTTTGTACTTTGTTCTAGTCTGTGGACATGTTTTTTCTAGTAAACTTATTCCACTTTTACGTGTAGCAACTTTTCTGAAAGCTCAAGTTGTCTAGATTTTACTTTCACGGAGTCATTTTTTAAATAAAAGTATTTAAGTGGAAAAAAACGTAGGAAAACGTACAATTTCACGATTTAATTAATTATAAAAACACGGACGACGTTTTCTACCAGAAAAAATAATTTAACCGAAAAATCATAAGATACCTTTTTTTTTTAAATATTTTTTATGGGGTATTTTTGGACATAACAGCACCCGCCAGACAAATTTAATATTATCCAAAAGAAATAATCAGTTCCCAAAGTATTCTCAGTCAGCAACGGCAGACGTCTGTACGGCCGCGGCGGTGCAATATTCGTTTGTCCACCAACACACCACTAAGTCTAATGGTAGTTGTGCTAGTCGTGGGACCGAAACGGTCAACTGTGCATACTCAACTGGTGCAAAAATTATACTTGCCCGTCCACGCTCCGTGACCGCTGCCGCTGCGAATTGTGAATGGTATACCTATAACGTGTGATAACATTCGCTTTTCTCAACTTTTCGCATTAAATATTTCTCTAATTCTGTAAAATAATTTATATTCTTGTCTCTCAAATAAATATGAATGCATTTCTAGTTTATTATATACTATAAATTACAATAACTAATAATAGATTTTTATGTTGTAGTAATATAAAAAAACAATGTATAGTTTTCAAAATTCTAGGTGGTGCACTGTTCCTGTGCACCATAGCATGAGCCATCGCTAATAGTATAGTATAGTTTGTATTAAAGTTACATTTGTAGTTAATAAAGTAACACAATCAATTTTAATAGTTTACAGAATTTTTTAAATAACTCATCGCTAAAATGTCCTTGTTTGATACGATATATACCAAATTATATTTTATTATATAATAAATATAGGTACCTGTTTAATGGGAGCCAAACAATGCTTATCAATAAATACGAATCCTTCATCTACGTAAGTTTCAAATAAACTCATCAGATAACTTTTTAGGTTTGTGCTATTTTTAATAGTCTCATTATCTAATTTATTTATCCACGACCGTACATATGGTAACCAGCCTAATTCTGTAGGATCTACATAAACCATTCCACATCTACTAACCGTAGCTGGTGACGCTTGCGATAAGTCGCTAACTTCAAAAATCATTCTTACCTAAAAAATATATAAAATTATGCTGTGATATGTTAATTTTAATTTACATGATTATTTTTAATAAAAACATATACTTATACATCTAATCTGAACATTCACCCCGAGGAGTGGGAGGCACGGTCGGTCCGAACGGATCAAAAGAGATAGGCTGATATAAAGCCTGAAGTGAGAGATCCAATTCACATCCCGAGGACAGCCAATTAAAAGACTACATTTATTATCTCACGTGTTTCTATTCTCGAAATGAAATATTCGAAATAAAACGAATCGAAACGAATGTTCTATCTAGATGTATAAGTCTATGAATAAATCGTACCCAAGAACTTAATTTTATTCGTTCTGAATTTGCTAAACATAGCATCTTATTATCATCAAGTACTGTGTTAAGATTTTCAATCCATATTGCATCTACAGGACCATCACACACAACCCATTGAAATTCTTCCTTTGTTATTTTAACTGTTTTTCTTACAAATTTTCCAAGTAATCCATCTTTCCATTCCATTGTTAAGAGATTTACTTCACCATAAAGTTCACCCATAGAAATAGCTTTAGGATTTAATGAGTATATTTTTACTGCTCTATAATATTGTTCTTCTATTTTCTTATTATAAAGCTCCGTTAATGTTTTACTAAGTATTTTTAAGACTGTACTTTTACCACCACCTGTGGGTCCCACAGTCATGATACCATGTCTGACAATTATTGTCTCTAAGAGCTGTATAACTTTCATATAAATACCCTCTTCAACTTGATAGTTTTCACTTTCCATCACATTTTTAACAGTCGAAAGGAACAATCCATAGTCTTGTTCTGGTAAAACAATACTAGGGAATAAATCGTTTAATATGCCCTAAATATTTAAATTATATCATTATTTTATTAATTGTTTAATGTACCAAATTGTGTTATTGTAAATTATATTTTATACCTGAAATAGTACAGCATCATCTTTTAAAAATTTGGGTAAGTTACTATCTCTCAGTGCTCTAATTAATACTAAATTCTCATTTATGAAAGGATTCTCTCGTTTCAACGATCCGGCCATTACTAATACGCTTTTTACAGCCCTAAACGTACAAATGTTTATTAATAAAACACAATATTTGTGCCTCGATTCCAAGCATCATTACCTCATTCCAAAATCATAATGATCCTGAATAGATAGTTGTTCACTGCACAGTTTGTACATTTTTACCATTTTCTGAGCCAACATTTTCGATGACTCAAACCCTTCCGAATACAATATAACTTCAGCAATTAGGCCATAGTCAGGTACCATCATTGCCATAGGTCTAAATAATGCTTGCAAATTATCTGGGAGTTCACTTCTTCCCGCATAACCTGGATTCATTGTTATAAATGCTGCACACGTTTTTATAAGTCTTATTTGTCGGCCTTCAAACATGAATTCGTTAGCGTTAATAATTTTTGCGTTCATAATAGTGATTAATTGTTGAGCAATGACCGATAAAACTTCAAGCTCTATACGATTAAATTCATCAAAGCAACACCACGCTCCTGATTGAGCCAAGCCAGCAAAAAATTTACCCATCATCTATAACAAAAAACATTTTTATTATAATGTTTTTTTCTGTTTGTAAAAAATTTTTCGAAAAGAAATCTTGCTCCGATCTTTTGTACATTGGTACAGAATACAGTATCTTTTTAGAAAGGAAATTTTGTCTAGTTGGTACATTGAAGAAATCATTTTTTTTATTTCCCAAACGAGTTTTCGAAATAATTGGAAAATCCCAAAAGAAAATTGCAGGTAAAACGGGAAATATATATTCCACGCCACGCCATGGCATTACCCATTATAATATTTTTATTTGTACAAATTATATTTTCTAGTATAAATATCGATCCAATACAAAAACGATAGGGGTTTTTTTCGTTATATTTTATCTACAGAGTACCTATCACACAAAAATTACATAAAAAAACCGCAAAATTATAATATCTATAAATAGCACAAAAATTGCTTAGTGTTTTAAAAATTTTACCACGTCTAGAAAAAGCAAATATAAGTTTTTTGTCTCATAATTTCAAGTCTTTAAAAATATATTTTTAATTAAATTCAATTTTTAAAAAAATTGAAAATAATAAAAGAATTATTTTTGTACATTTTTCAGTTTTTTCTACTTATTTTTCGATTTTACTAAATTGCTAAAACAACTATAAAGAAAACCAAAAAACAAATATCTTACTTACTAACTAGATTAAAAATTGTTAAACTTAACAAAAATGCTTAAAAATTTGACAGGAGGTTTATTAAAAGTCGTAATTAGTGATCAGAAAAAAAATGAGTTTAATGTAGTATTTATTTTTATTTGTTAAAAAAGTTATAAAATCGTAATATTGACGATTTTCGTCAATATTACGGCTTTTCAAAAGATGTATAATGGAACTACGCTCCCCGTCGTTTTATGAAGTGGTTTATTGTTGTTTGTAGCTATAATAAATAACTTTATGTATCCCACCTTTTTTTATTTTTAATCGTAATATTTTTTTTTTTTAATTAATAAATGTATACCTTATAGTCTAAACCGTCAGAACAGTTAAAAACAACGCACTGTGTGGCTAATGCTTTTGCAAGGTCCTTGGTTGTTTCAGTTTTACCAGTACCAGCGGGACCAGCAGGTGCACCACCTAGATTTAACTGCAAAGCTCCCATCAAGCACAAGTAACATTTATCAGTTAATGGTGTGATCACTAATCTAGGAGAAGAACCAAGATATTCGAATGCATATAACCAACGAGCATTCGCCATGTATGCAACACAGCCGTCTATATTATCCCAATAATAGCGAAACTGTTTTAGCCATTCAAAATTTTCATCACTATTGATTTCATTAACAACCATAGAAGATATTATATCCCTAGCATGGACATCGATGGTAATTAATGCACATATTGTTGATCGTTGAAGTTTAGTTAACTGTCCTCGGACCATTGCTGCTAAATCATTCAAATCCTAAATTGACAAGTAATCAAATTATCATAAGAAAATATGAAATAACATTGATTTCAATCCAATTTTTTGGACAAGGTACTTAATTTAAAACATTTTTGTTCAAATTCCTCCAATGATTTTTGAATATTAGAGTCAAGTTTGAGAATTATATGTACATCACGACACCACATCATCTGTGCAACCGCTAGTACCAGCTAAAAAAAAATATAATGATTTAATTTTTAATAACACAAATTATTTAAATTGTAACCTGGGCAGTCTGTAATAACACCCATTCTGCTCTAGGATGTTTTTCAAAATCTTCAATGGAAATGAGCATAAGTGATCGAAGTGTCTTTATCATTTGTTCTTCAACTTTAGATAGCCAAAACTCAACATTTCCTTTAGCTTTTACCTTTGAAAGAAATTTTACGATTTCTTTTTCAGAAGATATCATAGAAATAATGTCGGTAGGTAAATTATCTTCTCCATTTATTTTTGCATTTAATGGGTTTCCTTCGTCATCATCGCCTTTAAATTGTATTCTCCAAATGGCGTCAAAACATTTATTCATGTGTGGCTGTACAGCTCTAACATTTTGCGCTTGAGCAATTATTTCTATAAGTTCATCATTTGACAAAAAATAAAATCTAGGAAATACAACTCTTTTCGATTCCAAATATTCTTCTAAACATAGCAATATTTCATCTAATATTTGATTGTTTTTTATAAATGTTTTCAAAAGATCCGTATCAATACATATATTATAAGCTAATGGATTTTTTTCCACTTTTTGCATTATATTGATCCAAGATTTATTTACTTGAGTAAACAATTTTGATTCATTTGGAAGTTGTCTTTGAATGTCTGGAGCAGAAAATATTGATTCTAAGTAAATCCAATTATTTTGACACGCAATCCATTCCGTCTAAACAGAAAAAAAAAATTTAATCAAAAATGACCACTATGTACATATATAAAATTTTTAGATTCGGAGTGTAGCGATTTGCATACTAGACCATTAATTTTGGGATTTCTAAAATTATGGACATATCACAAACCCATGCCTTCAAGGGTCTGCAGTAATGCCTCAACAGTGCTCATTACACGAGACCTATAAATAGCAACTGGACATTTCATTTACAATTTTTAATATAAAAATATATCATAACTTTTTAATATTATTTTTTATATAGACATGCATTGTCTGTAAGTAATCTGTATTTTATTCTGCTTATTAATTATTATGAAATGCATGGATAAGATTTTTAGTTAATACTATAAAAAAGCTTATTGGATATTTTTGGGGGTGCTAAAGCCCTTTTGCACTCCCCTAGTTGTGTCTATGATGATTTACCGTAACTGGTTTAAAAAAAAAAAAATTAAATATAAAAGGAATTATAATATAAAAATGTTATTATTAATAATACAATGAATTATATATATATTCATTGGTACCTTAATAAATTTTGCGTTCATGAATAAAGTTCTTTCCAAACACTGTTTATAATGAGCCCTCCAGTTAAATTTCCAAGCATTTTTGGATCTAACGATTTTATCTACAGAGTACATACCCAATAAAAATTACGATAAAAATTAATAAAATTAAAATGTCAATAAACAGCTCAAAATGGCTAAAATGTTTTGAAAATTTGACCACGCCTATAAGAGACAAGCATATGTTTTTTGTCCATATTTCAAGCCTCTACGAATATTTTTAACTGAATTAACAAAAAACATAATTGAAAATAATAAATTTCGTAAATTTTTCCATTCTCCTACATTTTTTCCTGGTTTTTCCAATCATTATGAAAACTGCTTGGAAAGTCAACAAATAACTGGAATGAAAAAATACCTCCCATACAAAATTTCCTTTCAGAAAAGTTGCTACACTTAAAAATCGGCTAAAGATTTCTGTTAGAAAAGTTGTTCACAGATTAAAAAAAAATAACATCATTGTATATTTGTAAAACCAATACATTCCTCACTATGCTCCGAATCTAAAATATAATGTTTAAGAAAAAAAAAAAAAATTGAATCCAAATGAATGAACAGTTAATACCACAAGTTCCAAAAACTGACTATGATATAAATAGTAGCCTGTAGGTCCTAGGTAGTAGGTTCAAAGTTTAAAATAAATATATTAACGTTTATATGTAAAAATGTAATACAAATTGCAATCAGTTAGTTTCGTCTAAAAATACGAATGTTATTTTTCTAAACAATACCGATACCCTGTGCAATATACCACTACAATTCCATAATAATATATTATAATATTTTGATTACGGTATTTTAGTCTACATTTATGTTATCAATTTATTAAGTTTTTCTTACTTCATTTTGTAAAAAATGGAAAAACCATCTAGAAATACTCTACGATAACTGTTAATACATAAAAAGAAAAAAAACACCTTGCGGTAGGGGAATCTATCTTCCAAATCCCCCTCTCCATAAATACGCTGCACACCTATCCCCACTGCCCAGTATCAGCTCTTTTTTTTTAAATTAACTTTTATTTATCAAATAATTACTCACTAGAACATTATTCATAATATCCATAGAACTTATCCATTTTTCTACTCTTGTTTTAATCATTGCTACATATTTTGATGTAATAAGAGTATTCAAATTTATATTTGCTTCTTCTAATGCTAATTGAACTTCTTCCATTGAACCAAGTATGAAAACACTATCATAATTTTTGTAAGGAAGTACAATTAATTCTAATCCTTTCCATGAATCTTCAATCTTTTTCAGTATTAACTCTAAAGTAGCTTCAGAACTTGCTTGGCCGGAAACTTCCATTATTTCTTTACCATTTTTAAATGTACCTAATTCTTCAAGAACATTTAGAGTGAGAACTTGATTAGCTGGAAATTTTGTTCCAAGTATATTATGTTCTATTTTAGCCCAATGATGATTTTGAAGATCTGGATTTCTTAGCATTGTAATAATTGCCATTTTTTGTTTGAAAGATTCTACATTTTTTTCCATTATATTAATGAGTTCACATTCAGGAAGACCTTTTTTAAACTGCATGACATATTTCATATTTAATGCTAGGAATGTATTCATTTGTTCTACATCTAAATTATGAAAATTGTCATTTTCCCATTCAAACATTTTTTTTTTCCATTCATCTAAACAATCCCATAGTAATGTTCTGAGTCTTATGGCTTCACTTGCTTCACTAAAAATTTCATATTTTGTTATCTCTATGCGGAAGAAACGTTGGTAAGACTTATATAAATCCGCTTTTTCTTCATAGTCTTGTAATTGACTATAAAGTTTAGATAAGGTAGCTTTTACTTCTTCTTTATCTGAATTAATATCAGTTAACGACGATTTCTGTAAAACATGATTATTAAAATAAAATAAATAAAATAATGTATAAATAATTCAAGTAATTACATGGGCTTCAATGTTTATTTTGTCTACTTCTCGGAGCATATCTGTTATATGAGTATCAATTTTTTTGACAAAATCATCAACAAGTTTGTCTCGTTCATTGTTAATTTGTTCAAATGTCGTTTGTAAACTATTTAAGAGGTCTGAACATTTCTTTAAAATATATTAAAAATAAAAACTAGCATATTAGTTCATAGTATTAGTTAACAGTTATATTTACATAAAAATTTTCAGTATCTTCTTCAGGAACGGGTACATCAAATTCATCGGCTAAGTCATAAAGGTCTCTGGTGTAATTTATGGTATTATCCATTTCATCCAACTAAAATAATAAAACACATACTTAACTCTCAGATTATCATAAATTTAATTAATTTCGTGATTAAATAAAAACAAGACATGATGTCAACACACATAATGCTGCCTCATGTTCCACAAATATGTCGCTGGTCTTTTACTATTTCTGATTGGTTTTATACATTATCGTGGGATTAAATCGTTTAATGGTATTCTGAGTTATGAATTTGTGATATTATAATATTATTAGTTCTAGTATTGATGATTAAACTTTTTATCATTTATTTGTTTTTAATTTCATATTTAACTGGTTAATAATTTTGTATATTCATCGAACATTGACTGTTTCAATGCTTTTTCACAACTGTCGAGAACATAATTTTTACATAATAACACTAAACTGCTCCTGCTGGGACATTTACCTAAATTAAAATGGCGAATCTATATTAGAAGGTTTACTTCCAGATTTTTTCAGTCTAGATCCTATAGAATCTAAATTTTAGATTCTGAGTGGAACGAAGAAACTTATGGTTTTACAAAGATGTTTATTTTTTTTTTTCTGTAGACAACTTTTCTATCAAAGATCTTGCTCCGATTTTTACGTGTTACACATTTTCTGAAAAGAAATCGGTGAGAGGAGGTACTTTAAGGAAGTCATTTTTTGGTTTTCTTCGGAGTTTTATCAACAAATGTGAAAAATCATAAAAACGGAAAAATGTAAGAAATGTAAATATTTAGTTAAAAATATTACAGCCTTTTTTTTTCACAAGAGACAACTTTGCTACCAGTAATTTTGCTCCAGTTTATAATGATAGCAATTTTTTTAAAAGGAAATATCACTGAAGAGGTATTTTAGAGAAATTGTTGATTTTCTCCGAAGTTTTCTCAACAAATGTGAAAAACCGGAAAAAGCGTAAGAAAAACAGGAAAATCGATATACTAAAAAAATATATGATACCTATTTAATTATTTTACTATTATATGGCATATATATTGTTGATAAATCAACACTAAACTCCGCTCAGAATCGTTTTTTCGTTAGCAATGGTTTATCTTTTTTTTTTATTTATTTAACATATACAATCTAGCACAATAATTTTATATTATATTAGTAAAATAAAACATAAAAGATATGAATTAATCAGCCACACATCAGTAAAATACGATATCTCTTGAGGTAATATGCTAGCATAATAATTTATTTAACTAGCATCACTAGCATGAATTGGAATTCCTTATTTAAAAATTGTGATATTAATCATACTGTAGATTATTTTTATAATATACTTTTCAATGCAATTTATAAATTTCTTCGTTGGTTTTCTCTGTAAATTGGCTTATATTAAATTTAAAATAATAAATTCTTCTATTGATTATAGTTCATTTTCTAATTTAAGAAGTCGCTGTAAACAATTAGCAAAAATACTCACGTTACCTAACTTCTTTTATTCAAAACTCAAATTTGGAAAACTATATTAAAAGTAAAAAAATTAAAGAACTTCCTAAATGTACCTAAATGATCTATCAAGTGATGATGGTACACAAATTGTAAACTATTGATGATCATTTTTCTAGTGTTTATGTTAATTTTAAATTTATCTCAGTTGCTATTCTATTAAATTTGCAAACCACGTCTGCTCATAGTCTTAATTTTTCTTTATCATTCTGTTCAATCTCTTTGCCTAACAACCCTAAACTTACTAAACAATAAATTCTCTTCTGGTCCTGACTTAATTCCTCATATATTTTTGCATCGTTTTTTCATCTGGTATTTTTCCTAATTTTTGGAAATATATTCCAAAAATTTCGATTTCTCAAATATAAGTAATTATCGTCCAATTTCTCTCCTTTCGTCGATTCCAAAAATTTGAAGACCTATTGACTCTAAAAAAAATAATCCCGACCATTAACTCTAAAATAATTAACGAGCAACATGGTTTTCAAACCTCGAGATGATCGACTTTGACCAATTTATTAGTTTTTACTCAATTTATAAATTATGCATTTGTAAATGGTCATCAAGTAGACGTAATTTCCACTGATTTTTCAAAAGCCTTTGATACGGTAATTTATATTATTAAGCTTTTGATATTTGTGACCCACTTCTTTCATGGCTTTTTTCGTATATTTCTAATAGTTCCCAAATTGTTAAATGTAACAATTATTATTCTTACTCATTCTCACAAATTCATAGTGTACCCCAAGGTTCTCAACTACTTCCTATCTTTTTTCTCTACTTATTAACTTTTGATACACACATAGTATAAATTTTATAAAAAATATAAATATTTGAAGCCGTTCGGATTTATCGAATTTTCCTATGAAAATTTTAGTTACCTCTATGCATTAAGTATACTCTATCCCTACTTATTTTATTAGATCTTCTCTAGATTACTATTCCACTTTTTAGTCTCAAACATAAACTTTCATTAAAAGTTGTCCAAAATAAATTTTTAGTCTTTTTCTGTCATCGTCGCAATATTCTCCGCATACCTTATACTTCATATGTTCCGGTTTTGGAATTTCTTATGGAATCTCTTGGATTACGTAAAATAAAACTTGACTTATGCTTTCTATATTATGTTCTTCACAATAATATTGACTGTCTCGATTTTCTCAGTAGTCTCTCAGTAGATTTTCTCACTAGTTCCGCAACATTTTACTAGATCAAATGTTATCTTTCATATTCCCACTCAACAAACAAATTATACGTTGAATTGTCCGATTTCCAGAACTATGTATTTGTCAAATAAATATAAGATTGCATTTTTCTCATATCAATCATTATCCTCCTTTAAGCATCATCTAAATTGTACTTTACGTACTTTACCTAGTTAGGCGGCCACTAGTTATAAATTGTTCCTTTTATTTTGTTTTTAGGCCCATTGTACTATTGTTTATTATTCTTGTAAACTAATGTTTAAGTTATTTTATAACTCACTTGTTATCTACTTATATATAACGTACCTTTACTATGCACTACTTAACACTGTAAATCTAATATTACACTTGTAATTGGGCTGTCAAACCCAGTAAATTCAAATAAATAAATATGACCTGTTTTTACATTTTAATACAGAATACCATTATAGCGTTATTAATAAGAAATTAAAAACGACTAGTGCCGTATTGTTTGGAGAAGTGGTGGATGGTGGAAGAGGAGTTTATACGTATCATTTTAACGTTCATTAAACTACAGCTTATTATTAGGGTCCGGATTTCAATGCACTGAAAATCATCGAAAAATGTTCTAAAAATGTCTTTAAAAAATGTTTTTTTATTTATCGAAAAAATACCCTTAAAAAATGACACACGCATTTTTTTTAAATTTATTGTTTTATTGGATAATTAATTTTTAATTTATTTAAACAAAAGAAACAGAAAATTGAAAAATTTGACTTGTGACTAGCGACGATATTATTGACTGATTGACTGAAAAATCCGAAAAACATGGATAATATTTTGAATTAGCTAAATTTAAATTATTAAGTCCTATTATACATTGAATATACTAAGTATATTTAATGGATGATCGTATTTTGCACAAATAATGTATAAAATTATACTCGTATATTGTGCAATAAAACACGAAAAAAATGACCGAGAAATACTAAAAACAAACCATTGAAAAATGCCAAAAAAGGCAGAATAAAAGTGTCACTTTTGAAATCTCATGAATCAAATTATGTACTTGATAAGCATTATCTAATATCAATCAAAAAAAGATTAATTTTGCATTGAATTCCGGGATCTACTTATTATTTTAGTTAATTTTTCAGTTTATTCTATGCAGCTCAGTACAATATTATAATATACCTATTATTAAAATACAAACCCTTTTAATAGATTTGTCCAAAAACTTTTTATAATCAACATACTGTGCTGCCGTGGATGGAGAAGTATGAAGATATTTTAGTGAATCATTTATTTCATTTGATAGTTCGTTTATCAAATCTTTCCCCACTCTATAAAGACGTTTAATTTACAATAGAACACATTTCATCAACTATTGGTATGAAACACATACTTGACCATTGTTTTTTGTATCAGTGCCAACAAACGTTCACAAGTAGGCTTGGCAATATTTTTCAGCGATTGCAGTTTTAAATAGAAAATACCTAACATTTGAGTAGGTATTATTTTATCCACATCGCTCTGTTGTTGTTTATACTTCACTAACATTTTTCGAAAGTTCATTATATCTAAAAAAAATTTACAATTTACAATATGATCTAGGTACCTATGAGTGTTAATTTTATATTTACCAGTTTCATTCTCGATAGTTTCTTTATCCAAGTTTTCGTTGTCTCTATAGATTACATAAACATATTCTAAATGTTTCACATACTTAGATACTGCATCATAGTTTGTATTAAAATAATTTAATATTTTATCCGCGGTACTTTTATACATATCATCAATGTCAAACACGAATTGCAATGATGGGCCGTTGCCACATATCCGAGCATTTTCCTTACCGCAAATAATCGGTCTAAAATTATTAATATATTTAAAACGTATTATATTATATTATATAAAATATTATAAATTATATTTTAATGATATTTATTATTATAAACGCAAAACTCACTGTGCAAAGACATTTAATTCGCTGTCATTCAGAATTGGGGGAATATGCGTTATCATATTCAATTTCCAATTTTCCATTAAAAATGAAATATACGAATTAAAATCTTCTCGCGTACTACTAAACTCAATACCGGTTTTTGTTAAAAATACCTCTAATGTAAATAGTGGTAACTAATAAAGCAAAATCAACATTATAATTATTTTATTTTATTTAAATCAGTGTAGTGTATTATAGTTAATACTTTTGGATCGTCAGATGATCTTTCGCTTTCCAGCATAGTTTGTACATCCGTATCATTTAGTAAATCATCACTAGGAATGTATTTGAAATGTTTACTGACATCAACTTTGAAAATTGTAATTTGATTTTGAATGATCTTGTGTAAATGTGATTGAAGAAGCAAGTCAATCCACATAACATATCGGCAAATTCTCTGACAACATTTAAATTTGGCTCTTTGTTCTACAAATGGCATACTATACATGGTATCTCTATATCGCTCTTTATTATTTTGGGTCGATTTTGGGTCAATATAAAAATTTATATCATTCACAGTGAATCCAGATTGTTCTAATGAATCTAAACATGCCTTTAATGTTAAAACTTTTATAGTTTGACGTAAGTCTTTTAAAACTTCAATAGCCTCCTCGGTACTTTTCTCCTAAAGATTTTGTATATATATATATATATGAATCAGTATGAATAAATGGAAACTATAACATGACATAGATACTTGTTGTTCCTTAAAGACTTCAAGATTCATTTCTTCAGTAACTGAACCATCATATATATTAACTTTTGCGGTTTGATAAATAATATCTGATATTTCCAAAGATGTACTTCTTAGTGGATCGGTAAAAAAAATCAATTTTAATTCATCTCGTGCCAAATAAAACTTGTTTCGAGAAATATATTTATACCAAAAGTGCAGACATTTTTGTACAAGATAATTTTTAAAAAAGGACAGCTATAAACAAAATAATATGATTAGATTGAAAATATATTTATAATTTTAAATGTGAACGTACAGTAGGGTACCCAAGAATTTTCAATGAGGAAGGGACTAAATTAAAAAACATGACTAAAAAAAAAAATGTTTTGCAAAATAATTACATAGTCATATAGTAATATTATTTGTACTTGGTGGAATAAATAGTGAAAATGTGCAATAATTATTATTTTACTTGTAACTAGCTAAATTACCTTTATACCTACCATAGAAAATAGTTTTTACTACGCAATTTATCTTTTAAAAATGTTATCATTGTAGATGGTTGTCTATAAGTATAACAATAAAAGTGGGCATCTGGGAATTCGGGAATTTTCCGGTGAACCGCTACTTTAAATCAGGGAATAAAAACGTATACGGTACGTTTTGCAAAATCGTGTAACACAAAAAAACCAAAATTTTTTTTAACACGTAAACGTAAAGCGAAACCTATAGAAAATGTTCTCGGACATGAAAACGCTAAAAAGGAAAAGTAATTTTTCTGAGGGGATAATTTCGTTGTTAAATGGCTTTGCACAACAAATCGAGGGTAGTTTTGTAAAAAAAAGTTCATAACTTATATTATAACACGGCTATTTGAACTGCCGCGATTTCCTCATAAATAATTAATAATTTAATATCTTATTATAGTAATCATGACAACGAAAACCGGGCAAAAAGAAAAGCACGTGAAACTTAAAATGGGTCAATGAGAACGTGGTGTATAAAAAACCGCTTTAGGATTCCTAATATCGCCAAAAGTTTTTATTTATTATTCGTTATTATCGTTATTATCGTTATTATCGTAAAATCACACATTATTTAAAGAGCAATACTATGGACTTACTTCCGCTCAGAATCGTTTTCGTTAGCAATGTTTAATCGTTGCGTATAGATATAAATTGAATTCAACTCTGTATCCTTATCTTCCCAACTTCCCACCTACAACACTGGCTTCACCCGTACCCAGCACCAGCTTTTTTTTTAATATGAATTGGTAAAAATGCATATTTAATGTACATATTTAAATGAAAAATAATAATAATGTAGTACATTTCTCCAGTCCCGCCCATTTCAAATTTAAAACAATTTTTTTTGCAAATATTTAGCATGCGATTTGTATAAATTTGTACAACCGTTTCCAATACTTGCATGGTACCGGTTTACCCGGAAAATTCAATTTTCTGTGAGTGGGCGGAAAAAAAATATATGTCATTTATAAATTGTGTAAATTAAAAAAATTGAAATTCATTTGGTTTTATAAAATATTATTATCATTATGTTTCATAATAAATGAATATTGTATACAATATAATATGATTTCAAGGCAAGTTTAAAATTTGCCCACAATAGTCAGTTCAATTTATATACGCGTGATACTACCTATTTACCAATTACATCCGGACATAAATGGTTCATAACAACAAAAGCAAGAATATTAATACGAGTATATTATTTTATATGTTATTGATTTTTTTTTTTTTTTATAAAAAATCTGGGTTGGCCCGGGCCTATCAGTCCTACTTATTGGTTACGCCCTGGCTGGACGAAAAGGAGCTCTACCGCCTTCAACAGTTATTGAAGCAATTATGCAGTTTAAAGATGTAACGTGCACTAGTAATAATGTAAAAATAATAAATATATTTCTGTGATGTATATTACATATAATACACTACAGGTGATTTGAGTGTGGACTACCGAACTATATTTTATCAAGAATTGATACAGAAAGGTCAATGATGTGGATACACAAATGGAAATAATTCATGCCAAGACTTTAAAACAAGAACAATTACTACATCAAAATGTACACCTCATAATAGAAATGATTAAATGAAAAAAGGTTTGAAAAAAAATATATTAAAAAGTATTAATAACTAATAGGTAAATATTTTTTTTTTATTTTAGATATTAATATTAATTATAGGACGGAAGCTAATTCACACATTAAAATACATTATAATTATAAATCTGAAATTATTGTATGCCCAGGGAAAACATTTGAGTTAAAGGGAGCCTGATGTTATCAAAGTGGACTTAATAGACTTTTCAGTATGTTAACGAAGACCAAATATCACTGGGAAATGATGGATGATTTGAAAAAAGAATCCAAACTCGGTGATCTGTACCCCACATGTATTATTATCTCGGTGGGTATAAACCGCCTGTAGGAAGTATTGCCGACAGTAATAGGTGATTTGTACCCCACATATACCTATTATTACTTCGGTGGATATGAATCGCCAATAGTAGGTAATATTATAAAACATGATCAAAAATAGGGAAAATTAAATTATAACATGAAGGTTTCAACTTTAATCACTATCGATGTTTGTAGAATAATCACTTGAATTAAATTTAGAGTCTTCAGAACTATTACTCGAATCTAATTCTAAATTTCCAGAAGTATGGATTTTAGACTCTTGAGTGGAGCGAAAAGCTTATAGTTTTACAAAGATATTTATTTTATTTTTTTATTTTTTATCTATGTGCTACTTTTCTACCTAAAGACTTGCTCAGATTTTCAAGAGTACTTTAGGGAGGTCATTTTTCGAATTTCTTAAAAGTATTTTCATCAAATTTAAAAAATCGAAAAAAAAACTAAAAAAAAACGGAAAAATATAAGAAATGTAGATATTAGTTAAAATATATTAAGGCCTTCTTTTTTTCTGTGCACAACTTTTCTACCAGCAATTTTGCTCCAACTAATAATGATTATAAATTTTCAAACAATTTTTCTGCAAAGAAATTTGACTGGAAAGGTACTTTAGGGAGGTCGTTTTCCCAGAAAATGTAAAAAACAGAGATAAAACATGGGAATACTGAGAAAATCGGAACATTAAACAAATATTATTAAAGAAAATATTAAGTGCAATAGAAACCTGACTAAAATTTACTTTTTTTTTTTTTATAGTAATGGTTACTACATTTTGACAGCATTTATTTTAATGATTTCATTTTTTTAATTTCTTTTTTTATTATTATTAATTTTTCTAAATATTCTTAAAAGCACAATAAAAAAACATTAATACAATAACAAAACATATACACAATTCTTTTTTAACATTTTGAACTTGCCTTTAACTCATATTATATTGCATACCATATTTTATGAAATATAATGATAATAATATTTTATGGACCCAAATGAATTCCTATTTTGTTTGATACAATTTATAAAAGCATATACTTTTTCCACGCCCCACTCACAGAAAATTGAATTTTCCGGGTAAACCAATGCCGTGCAAATTTCGGAAATGGTCGTACAAATTTTTGCAAATATATTTTGCATGTTAAATATTTGCATAGAAAAATGTTTAAAATTTGAAATTGGTGGTGCTGGAAAAATGTACGTTAATAATGTTGCGAATACCTGATATATATCTTATTATCAACCGAATTAATAACCGTAACTATGTACTGGTAACTGTAGATGGACAGATGAACGGATAAACATAATGGGGATATCTGAACTTACGTTTAGACTACGTAATGTAAATGTGTAAACATAAGCTATTCAAAAACAATTTTTATACTCCTAAATTTTTAAAAGTTCTAATTGTTTATCTCCCAAATATGTAAAAACAATTTGTAGTTTTGTTAAAATAATAATAATACAAATTGGCTAAATTTTAATATTTGGTAAATAATTATGTGGGCCGGTACACTTTTGTAGTTTTCCAGTCCAAAATAGATTTCAGAAATTTAACCCTTAAAGGAAAGCTCAAATACGATTTTTGGTATTACAATACAAAAACAAACAAATGTATCCGAACTTCACACGATTGGTGGGTCACTGTTCCAGGTGAAAAATTAGGAAGGTAGGTACAAAGGAAATTTAATTTAATTTCTGTATGAAACGTTTAAACATTGCTAACGAAAAACGATTCTGAGTGTAGTTCAGTTGATAGTGATGCTTTGTCAACAATGTATGTATATTATAGTAAAATAATTAAATATGATCGATATATTTTCTTTAATAATATTTGTTTAATGTTGTACCGGTTTTCCCAGTTTTTTCAAATTTGCTGATAAAACTCCAGGAAAAATCTAAAAACGACCTCTTTAAGGTACCTAACCTCTCCACACCGATTTCTTTTCAGAAAAGTTGCTGCACGTAAAAAATCTGAGCATGTCCTCTGGATCTTTGTAAAACTATAAGCTTCTTCGCTCTACTCAAAATCTAAAAATAGTTAAATTGACACATGCAACACCAAAGGACATCTAGTATACTATATAACTATAAAACATTTTTGAAAACATATTATAGGTATAGTTAGTATGTTATTTATTATGTATGTGTTATTTTATAATCATCTTTACAAATAATTTGTTTTCAGTAATCAAATATCTTTACTTTTAATATCATACATTTTAAGTTAAAAAATCGATAAAAATATTTTTTTAACCAACTTCAGATGGCTGTATCTCAATTAATTTATAAGGTATAAAAAATGTCATGGGTCAAAGTTACTTGAAAAAAAATGTGTTTCTAGTCAAAAAAACTTTATAATTATACATTGTATATATATATATATATATAAGCTTACTTGAACAAGTTTCTGATAACATCTATAATCGTCTTCAAATGTTGCAAAAGGAGTGAATCTTTCCTCATTCTTAAAGTGTGATATCATGCCTTTGTTACTTAGTGTAAAAAAACAATTTTTATTGATATTTTTAAATGGTTTTGTAACAAAGCTGTATGGTGAAAAGTATTTTGATGTTTTGCTAACAGCATAACTTAAATAAATAAATTTGTATTCTTTTGCTTTTTTAAACTCTTCTATAGTATTATCTAAGTTTAATATCTCAGGAGGTTCATCTTTAATCAGTAATTGTTCATCTTGTATACTATACTCTTCTATCTCGGATTCATCTAGTTCGGAACTTATCAATTTGCTCAATACAATCGCTAAACATTTACCCAACAAAATAGAATTTAAATTATATAATATGTACAACAAGGCATATCAAATTATTAGTTATATAACATTATATTATTATAATGTATAATTATTATAGAATTAAACATTATTATAATTATATATCATATTAAAATAGTATATATTTTACATGGGTAGTAAAAATTATACATACAATCTTCACGAGGTTCAGTAAGTTCTTCTTTTCCAATATTCAGTTCACCTTCTCTAGTTTTAATATAATCTAAATAACCAGCCTAAAATATTAAGTAAGTATACGAAATATAAACTTTTAAATTTAATTTATTGAGTTTTTGCTTATAATATTAAACTACAAAAAAAAAAAACTACTTGAAAGCAATAACTTACTAATGGTTCGGTCTCATTTTTCTTGTATAAAACAGACTGCAAATATTTAGTATGCAGTGTTTTTGTATCCAAGACTTTTTTTGTTTTTTTCTGTTCACTGAAAAATACACAAACAAAATAGGTACCTATGTGTATTGTATATATTATGTACAATTTATATGACGTTTCGTTTAAACTGTAAATACTTTTAAATACATTTAATACTAAAATACTAATTACTTGCTATCAGTTTTCGAATTATTTCCAGGCGAACTTTTTGAAGAAAACATCTTTTCGTCTTTTTTTCTTATATATTAGATGAACTGCAAATACACTGCTATGCAGTGTTTTTGTGTCGACAACTTTTTTTATTTATTTTTTTCAGTAGAAAATGCACAAATAAACGTTTCGTTTAAACTACACCATTATCTGCTTTCAATTTTCGAATTATTTCCAGACAAATTTACTATTTGGAGAAAACATTATATTTAACGCGAAAACATAAATTTCTTACATAGGTGTAATACGCATAACATGAACATTGAAATAGTACACAGTACGTTTACATTTTTTTAGGTGATATTGATTCAATGGTTAAGAGGTCGTCGCTACGGATACACGCATCCTATACATTCCGTTATTTTATAGCACGTCATGTCACATTCTATCCGTGTTTAGGAAGCCACGTAATATAATAAATAGAATCAGGACCGTCGTAATGAAGGGGGGGGGGAGGCGAGCCAAACCTAAGCCCCGAGCGCAAAACCTGGGAGATCGCAAAAATGAAAAGTTAGTATTTTGTTAAACGTTTTTTTTTTTTTTTTTTTTTTTGTACGATTTGAAAATAATTCCTAATTTATAATATTTGTGTATAAAATCAATATTAGGTACCTATAACTTATCATAATAATAATTATATTATGTGTATAATTTCCGTATAGGGAATCTTTAATCTTTTGAAATAATTCAATTTCAGTTCTGCACGCCCATTAGATACATTATATTTTTAAAAAAAATCCTAGTACCTGTTTAGAATACATACTAATATTATAATCATTGGTTAAATAACATACTTTTTTTGTATCGTGTATATTTAATCCACGATGTTATATTTTTAGTCATTATCGCGTTGCTATCCACGACTGTGTATAGTAATAACAGATAGCACATGATCACGTGCGAAAAAATGAGATGATAACATTTTTTACCCAACAATAATGATAATCGTCATCTTTTATTTTTCATTTTACGTAAATTAATAACAGTCACGGGTCGTGCCAAACATTTTTCAATTCTCGGCCGGTAAGTACCTAATTTGTTGTACTCGTTACCTACGAATGAGTATTATTATTAATTAATAATTGCTCCTTGTAAATCTATAAGTCAATTGAATGTGTATTAGCTCATGGCTAATGATCTCGGTGTTACAGCAAATTTTTATGATAAGCGAAATAGGAAAGTGATAGCGTTAGATTTCGAATCAAATTGAGGGGAAATTTAATATATATCTGACAAAAAACAACTCTGAGTGGAGTTTTGTCCAACGCTAAACTCAGAGAATGTATTATAAAAAAAAAAATGCGCTCACAAAAAGTTGAAACTTTTTGCTTCCCAGACCAAGTATTTTGAATTTTCTAATCTCAGAAAAAATGCAAACACTTAATTACCTGCTATAAATGCCATGCTCAACATATTTCTTATATTTAAAATAGTATACAAAAAATATTTATACTGACTTTCAAAAAACGTTTGATAAAATAAATCACAACATTCTTTTATAAAAAATATCTTATTTTGGTATCCATGAAGTCTTTTAATTGATTGAAATCTTATTTATGTTCTCGTACCCAGACAGTAAAATGTTTAGTTATGTATCAAATAAGTTTTTGGTCAATTCTGATGTTCCTGAATGGTCTCACTTAGGTCCGTAATATATTTGTATACATAAAACGGTAGTATTCATTATAACGGATGATTTAAAGTCATAATATTATTCTGAAATATCCATTTATATATTTTAAAAATTCAAAAAAATGCATTTGTTTTTGTATTTGGGATTTCTGGATTCCACAAAATCGTAAAATATGCAATTATATGCAAATTGAAATAGTATCATTTCGTTCAGTATACGACACCCGTAAATCAAATTGGTATCTAGGTAAACATTAAATTGAATAGATAGAAAACAATTTACGAAATTTTACAAATATTTGAGCCCTTTACCTACATATTATATTTGTGTACAATTTTTTTTATCTCGCATGAAATAAAATTAATAATACGCTCAATAAAACTGAGCGTCAATTTAAAAAATTGAAAAAACCATCAAATTTTATATGTTTAAATAAGCTAAAAAAGTTTCGTCCATAAAACAAAAATAGAATATACTAGAATATATGTTGATTTTAAATTTGCATAGAAATAATTATAAGGGTGTCTAGTGCGTGAGAATGATGACGGTACGGCGGTACGGCCTATCGCTTATTGTTATTTGACTCATACTTGAACGTTTTTAATGAAAAAACCGTTAGATTTTGTAGGCTTAAAAAGACGGACCAGACGGCCTTCACGTCGGTGTCGGTATAAAATAACTAATAATCGAATGGTAAAAATAAGACATAAAAGAGTATGACTGAGGTGGCAGTGTTCTCAAAGGACCGCAGCAGATCGCGCGGATTTCTACAATATTTAACGCAGTTTAAATTACTTTGCTTGTAGGTAATATTGTATGCATCCCTCTCACCAAACACCAAATACCTACAACAGAATTCGATGCCTTAGCTAAATGACCACGATAACGAGTACAGGTTTAGCTAAGGTGGGCCGCTCTATATTTACAAGTACGTCTTGATCAATTAACCATAATGTACGAAAGATACCCGTTTCGACCAAAGTAATTTTAGTCGTATTCAAATTAAGTTGACAACGATTTTTTAAAATACAATATATTATGTATATATTATTAACTATTTTTAAAAAACGCATTACACAATATAATATATTATTAGTTTTTAATAACTCATACCTAGTAATTTCGCCACATGTACATAAAAGTATACGTTTTTCGTTGTATTCTTGTCTTTCCTTCGTTTTTTTCATCTTTTGTTTTTTTTTTTTCGGAATTTCAACACTATTCGTTTTAATATATGTTTCTGTCTAGATATCGTTACGTATAATATTTAACCAACTTATGATTGACGGAGAGTTAGAATAAAAGTTTTTGTTGAAATACGAGTGAAACGATTCACACGTATTTTTTGTGAACTGTATGCCCGCTGAATTGCGTGTCCATAATGTCGGACTAAAAACACTGTCCTCAGAAATATATTTGTCCACTAGATAATCACAGTATTTAACTAATTTTTCGTCAGTTGGACATTCTGTCATTAAATCTTGTGTAAAGCAATAGGATACTTCAGCGGGTTCTAAAAATATTAAGCCAAAAGTATGTTGAATCCATTTATCAATACTCGGATTATTTTGGTATTTAGTTGCTAAACCATATTTTTGAACGTTCGTATACCAAGCTTGTGTTGAGTGAAAACGACAACCAATTATTTGCAATGAAGGCCAAATTTCATTGATTGCTAAATGAATTGCTTTTTCAAAGTCAATAGTAACAAATTTTGGTATAAAATCTAAGCCTAATTCTTTGCATTTATTTACTATCGATTTAAAGGTATACACATATGTTTCTAACTTTTTTGTCCGGAAGTAAAATATATATTAATGGGATGTAACGACCGTTTTTAAAACCATGTATACAAAACATTTGCTCAAAGAACTTGGCACAAATTCGGAACGTGCCGTCCATATAAATTGTTTCCACGACATTACATACAAATGTAAGGTTAGTTTTACAAGAAAAAATTATTATATTTTTTAATTTTATCATTTAGAAACACAAATGGTCAGTTTTTTGTAGTAAAAGTGGTTTCTGGTGTATCTAGAGCCATATGTGCTTCAGTTATGGTAGTCGGAATCAGTGGAAAAACTTCACGCATATAAATAGTTAATAATGTATACATGATATATTATACATATTATATTATTTAAAAATCATTGCCAATTTAATTCAATAACGACTAAAATGGCTTTGGTCGGAACGGATAAGGTTGATTTTGGGTGAATGGGCCGCACATCACATATGTACATATGTATAAAAAAAAAAAGCTGCCCTAGGATAATGGGAACGGGTGCGGCCACTGTTATAGGTAATTTAATGTATACCTGTAGACTGTACGCAACGATATTGCGCACAGTTAAAAATAAAAAAAAAGAACATCCTTGTAAAACCATAAGCTTCTTCGCTCCACTCAGATCTAAAATAAAATTTGATTTATTTTGTTACAAGACAAAAAAAAAAAAAAAATGTAAACGTACCTAATGTACGTATTTAATGGGTATTTATTATAAAGGATAATATTTAAAAAATTAAAAAATTTGAAAATATCAAACTGATGATACCAATGATGTACTAGTACCCAATGATTTTTATTTTCTTGTGTTTTTGGAAATTACGTTTGCTTATATCATCTATCAAAGATCTTTAGTGTGGTGGTTTTTGTTTTTTTTAAAAAAAAAAAAAAAAGTAGGCAGTAATAAATAAACATGCGTCAATCATTACATTATAATATGTAGTACTCATATTATATATACTTTGTAATATGTATAAAATATATATATTATACATTTATGAACAATATATTGTACACAAACGGGACAGTTTGCTGTCTACCATCGACGCGAGTGAAACCATTAACAGCCATCCCACGAGTAAAGTCTATAATCAGGATAGGTATGTAATAAATAATTTCAGATTTGTAATCCAAACAAATTGTTTTAATTCTTGTACCTAGTTTTTATTCTCAGCTACGAGAAACTTATTCAGAGAAGAGCTCAGAAAACCCTTCCTAAATAACTTATATCGCAACATTGGTCCCCCGACCACGTTAAAATTTATATATGAAAAAAAGATTGTGGCCAAAGAAATATTAATTGTTTAATTACAAATAAACAACAGCTTACAATGCATCTAATTATAACAGGCATTGTTTAACTCGTTGAGATTAGAGCTACAATCATAATAGTATAGTAACAGCCGTTTTACTTATTTTATATTAAACGTAAATTATTACTTTTAGAAAAAAAATAAAATCAATAGAATTTTTTTAAAACGTAAACTGAATAAGTATATATAAGTATTATATTTATTTTATAAACTGTATGGATGACGAGTATCAGTGGAGTTAAGATTATTTTAAAGCTTTTGACTATTGTGTTACTAGTTTTATTTTATGTAACTAATGAAAAAGAAAATATAAATAAATATATTTTATTCAATTTTAATTTTAAGGGTAATAAATTACTCTTAAAATAAAATAAGTAAAATAGTAATAACTATATTATAATGATTGTAGTTCTTAAAAGGCCTAACTGCTGTTAGACTGTATGCAATTATGCAATAAGCCTGAAAAAGTAGGCCGTTTGGAAAATTAATAAGTAGTTCCCCATAACAAAGAGCCTAGTCTTTTCGCAAAAAGGCTAATTTTCCATGTGGCCTGCGACGTATATACACACACACACACATACGCTTGTATTTGTTTTTAATTGGGCAGCTTTGTCTAATATTATGAATATTATTAAATCGTTCCAAATATTAATGCTTGCACAATGTTTATAAAATGGCTATAAGTGATAAAGTATGATTATTGATACTAAATTTTAGTAATTTGACCCAATTTTTATTTGATAACATACTTGTACATGTTAAGAATATGTAAGAATATAAAATATTTGGATGCAAGTATTATAATCACAATCACAAGTTCTTAGGATTAGAAAATAATATGCTTTTTAAAACAATTTTGTTTTATAAATTAAATTTGTTTTACTCCATAGTGGTTTAAAAGAATCATTCAGAAAAATAAATGCAATACATTTTTAAATTATTTAACTATGATAGTACATCTCTAAAATACTAGAGTAAATTTAACTAGCTTCTTTTTCTAGCTTTTAAAACAAATCTTTAATAAGATCATAAGTATTCACACAATTATTTAACATTTAAAAGTTAAAACTAAAATCATAAGTTAAAAAATTTTAATTTTAAATATGTAAAAGATATAATTTAAACAATATTAGTATTTTTGTTTTAAATTGTTAACAATATATTGATGATTATAAACCAGGTTTAAATATTTTTTTAAAAACAGCCACCCTTGAAAATTTTATTAAAATAGTATGTACTATGATTATCATATGCAGTAGCCAGCAGCTACTGCCATTTATTAATATATAACTAAGAATAAAATAGATAGATACATTAATTTTCTGTTGCAAATGGAAGAAAGTAAGGATTTAGGAAAACTGTAAAAGTAAATGAACATAATACTTAAATATGTATTTACTTTAGGACTAAGAGTTTTATGTAAAAAATATAAAATAAAACGCTATCATTAATAATACAAAGCAATATATTGAGAAATAATAGCTTAGGTATTGAAAATATTTTTAAAATTTGAAATCAAAATAAAAACCGAAAAGGAACACAAAAATAAAATAAATATAATGTACGTATAATAATAATATAAAATTTTAAATTAAACAATAGCTTTAAAGCTTATTAATATGATGAATTTGTGTTATAAATATTGATTAAAAAAAAGCAAAACATTCTTTAAGTGTGTAAACTACACAGTAAGTTATTATCATTTTAATGTGTGACCTACAATCTTACTTTATCTTTAATTCCAGAATTGTTACCAAGGTACTTGATTAAATTATTTTACAGATTCAAAATTGGTGAAAACAACAATTTATTTTTACAATTTTTAAATAATATAAAATATTAATCTATTTTTTTTTTCATTGACCCACAATGTATTATTCTTTTTTAAAATATAATTTGTTATTTGTATGTGTTTATCACATATAGATACATGAAAATAACTCTGTAAGTCACACACTAATAAGAATGGCAAAAGCAATTATAATTACAAATTAAATTAACTAAAAATTATATGGGGAATTCAATAAATAAAAAAAAAAGGTTATCATTAGGTGGGCAAAAAAAAAAATTATATAAAACAAACTTGGCTATATAGGTAAATATTGCGGTACATCACATCAAACATTTGTGGCAGGCTTAATACAAATACAATTCATACACCTTTAAATGTTCACAACATAATAAGTTTAAGCTAGTCAATTAATCTTTCTTCAGGTTCCCAGCGAATATAAAACAATCATAATGCATTCTTTATGTATATAATATATACAAATGAAAAAAAAAAAGTAAAATTACAAAGATCTTTAAACCTAGCAAACAACCATAACAGGATAAGTGACCAGTTTAAATTTCCGTGCAAAAAAAATTAATATAATATTAATCAAAAAATTGTTATTGAATTTAGAAATATATTTTCTTGATTTTAATTATTTGGCCATGTATTTAAACAAATTATGACATTGATAGTATAAACAAAAAATTCTGGTACATCTACATCTGATTATTATTATAATTATGATTATAATTATCTATCTATAATTATTTTACATACAACTACTATGACATATTTAAATATATTGTAAATAAAAATAGATAGCAATTAAAAATCTTTATAACAAACAGGTATAAAAAAGTATCATTAATTTCTCACAATTAAAATGTTTTAATTAGGGTAGTATGTTCAAGTAAATACATTTCACCAAACATAAAATAGCATTCAATGCAATATTGTCATTAAATTATAATATAATAATTATACTAAGTGATGTTATAATTCAGTAAAATAAATAAAGGCTGCCTGCATATATATATAATAATATTCACTTTTTACAATAAATTTGGACTCAGTGAATGACAAAACAAATATTATTTAAATATTAAAATGAGTGCACAGTTTTATATTGTTTAATCTACATGCACCATTTTCTTAATTTAGGGACTATTTAAAGTTCATGACCACATGGGTTATAGTGATTTTGATACTTTATCACAATTATATAATCTAGTATATATATGTTTAAGTAACCATATTAGCTGCCTATAGTACATTAAAAAAATAAATTTTAATGGATAATAACTTTTTGAAATAATTCATATAAATTGTTTATTAATTATTATTGAGAATAATAATTAAAAACTATGAATTTTACAGTTAGAAAATAAAAATTATAGATAAATGGCATCCAACAATAAATGCATAACACCGATTTTATCTTTTATGCATCAATTTTTTTTTTTTTTTTTTTTTAATAGACTGAAAATATGTAATAATTAATAATCTATCATAATTGTACAATGAGTTAAATTAAATAATCTAACCATGAAAAAAAATATTTTGTTGACATTTATTTCTCTGGAGTCATAATTATAATTTTAAAAACTAAAATATGATCAACATTGAATTAAAATTTAATTTAATATATATATAAATAACTAAAAACTTCATTATTTATTCCCATAGTCATTCTTAAACTTGATGTTAAAGATACTTAAAGAGAATACAAATAGCACATTTAGATATAAAACACATACAGATAGTTAAAAATAATTCATATAAAATATTAAAAATAAGCTTGTTATTTGAGATGTTTAATTAACATTAATATTATATTTTACGTCACGGCATCAAAAATTAGAAACATGTGTTCAAGATAATACAAATTGTACTTTTTTCTTCGGATTTTTAGTTTGTAATTTGACAAGCTTATTTTTATTATAATTGTAATAATTTATTGAAATAAGTGTAAACAAAAATTAGTTTTTAATTTGGTAACAATGAATAATTTCACAAGCGAAAAAGTGATGATGATAATAATAATAATAATAATAATAGTCTAATTTGTTGAATAGGGTCAATGAAATCTACTTATGAAATTATAAATAAATAGGATTACTTAAATATTAGCCACTAATTGCGTATAAGTAAGATGCACTTGATAAATAAATATTATATATTAACTTAACAAAAAAAAAAATTGAATTAACACAGATGTGTAAAATTTGTAATAGTTTAGTCCATCAGCGACAAATCCAAAATAATTTTAAAAAACAAGATAGAATGACTAAATATAGATTACCGACTGCATAGTGCTGGTTAACCAAAGCTGTGTTCGCCCAAAGCATTTTGTCTGTATTGAAACTAATTAAATATTCTGTAAATTTAAAAGTTGAATAAATATTATCTTAAAATTACATTTTGGAAATAATTTAATAGTAGTTAAAATATGATTGATTAAAACCACAGTATTGAAGTAAAATACTAACATATTAATCATTATTATAGTACTATTTAGTAAATGTACTTGAACTTTTAATTTAAATCATCAAATTACCTTCTTTTTTTCTTTTTTCTTTTTAAGGAACGATGGTGTACGAATTCCTTTCTTCTTCTTTTTCTTATCTTTGTGCGATGAATCCTCAGTAGAAATTTCCTTAGTTGGAGATCCCTAAAAATAAGTATTTTTTAATTTTAATGAGACAAAAGATAATATATAAATTATTTTGTACCTATTTAAATTTAAAACAATTAAATGAGTATTAGTTATGTACCTTAAAAATAAAAACAAACAAAATATAAACGTACCTCTTTACTGCTAGAAAATGTACTTTGGTGGGCATCAGATTGATCTCCATTGTAAGTATTCTCCCCTAAAAGTGAAACATAAAGTTAGACATATAACTGTTAAATTAGTATATAAAAAAAAAACCGTGCCATTACCGGCCTTAGATCTTATTCATATTAAAACAATTATCTCTACTCCCCTTTCAAATTAGGTTTTTACAATGTTTTAAATACTATTCAGATAATAATTATATGTGAATTTCAAATCAAAATCCTAGTTCCTAAATGAATCCGGCAAATTCACAAACGTTTTCAGAACAAATGGGTCCACGTGGTCAAATATTTGATAAAATGTTTAACTGTGTGAACTAGGCTAAAAGCACTTTTCCGCCAGAGTAAACCGGTTTAATTTACTGATCTCAAATAATGATAATAGTTCAGTGTAAAAATAAACCGATTTGGTTAGAAATTCGTGGCACTAATTGGTTTAGCGTTTATCCCCTCAGTAATTCTCATTATCAGTTATCACATAACATCGGTTATGCTCATCATATTATTGCCGTTTCAATCTTAAATAACATTAAAATTATATTAAAAGATTACATTCTATGTAAAAATTGATAACACTAAGTGATAACAGATAACACGGAGTATGTCAGATTTGAGATTGAGACAGATCGGGATCGATATTTTTCTACCACCGTACTACAGCGATCGAAAAAAACTAAACCTGTGTATCTCAACTTTTAACCGATTTAGTCCAGCGAATTACTTAAAAGTACCAGGTTTACTTTTCAAGAGGAAATATAAATCGGTTTACTCTGGCGAATATATTAATGTTGGTAAAACCGGAAAATCGTTCACAATATAGAACCGTAAATAAAATGACAATAGTTATCAAATATCAAGTAATCGGCTTTTATCGAGTTTTCAAATATTTATTGTTTTATACATTTTTTTTTTTTTATATCATTAAAATTATTTTTGTTACGAATTTTATTCAGTTACAGCTGCTTCGCCAATCAGTGTAATAACCTACAAACATTCCGTACAATCTAATTTTAAATGAGTTTTTTATACGATTCAACAACTCGAAAAAAAAAAATTATCATAATTATCATATACAAAACCACTTAATTCAAAATCAAGTCAATAAATAGATCAATAATTATTTCATGTAATTATAACAAAATTAATAGAGTGAAACTGTAATAAATACCATTCAATGGTGCACCAAATAAGGTTTAGATGATATACATTATATAAACATGCAATTATTTAAATCACAGGACATGGATTTATATTTTAAATACACAATTTGTTTGTTTGTTGTATTTGATTACATCATAAATCCTAACGAAATGTAAAATTCTTATTCCATTTATCGGTTTATACAAAACACAATCTATTTTAATGATAAAATATTTTTTGTTGCCCCCCCCCCCCCAGAAATATTCAGAGATGAATATAACAAAGCATACAAACAAATCTTAAAAATGAATTTTGATGAAAGATCAAGCCAAGCTCTACTAATTTGGTAGAAGTGGGGAAATATTCTAAGAATAGAGGAACCAGATTGCTGATAAACTAACTACTATAAGTAGAACTTGAAAAAAAAGCTACTAATTACAGAATTATAATTACTATATTATTGTTTTTACCTTTGCAATGATATGATTAGAGTAACAATTAATATACTCCAAATACAAGGGAGTAAGAAAGATAAATGTTCAGGTTTTTATCAATGCACCTAACTCAAAGTTTAAAAGTAATATGAGATATGGACAATTGTTAAAATACCATTTACTATTAGAAACAACAAAGCTTGGAAGAAATGGATAGATAGAATACAGGAATGATATTGGAAATTATAGGTTGGAAAGTTAGAATTATAGTTGAAAATTGGTTAATTTATTATTAGATTAAGCAAACAAAAATGTAATTGTACTTGTTAACATTTTTTAAGCACTTTTATTAACCTAATAATCAATGTGAAATTATTAAACATACATATATAGTAAATTAATGAATAAAGTGCAGTTATCTAGTTTAACTAAACCATATACATAACAAAGAAAACCATAATTCTTAAAACTCATACTGTGGATACCTAAAATAAATTCTTGGATCAATAAAAATTTTGAAGTTATCATTATATTATATTACCTACACATAGTTATTTTTTTTAAGTATGTCTCAATTAACATATTATTTTTGAACACATTAATTCATACTGTAATAAACTAAACACAAACATTTGTAGATAATTGTTGTGTAATATTAAAATAGAAATACAAATGTACAATAAATACTTTTATGTATGTAATGTAAAATATTATAAAAAAATTAAAAACTTAGATAATGTAATTTTCAAATGGTTGTTTGTGATCTGCACCAAAAATGAAATCTATTTATATAACAATTGGTATAAAATAGTAATATACAAATTAAAAGAGAAAATAAAAACAAATAGTAAAATTTAAACTATGTAAGAAATTCTTTTAAATGTGTATAATTAAAACTTTAAAAATTAGAATACTGATTATAATTCATGATTTTGATACAAATCATTAGTATTAATTCTGATAGGAGGAGGTTCTGGTGATAAAAAAACATGTGTCCAATGAGGCGTTACAATCATTGGATCATAATCAAAACAATTATAAGAATTTGGAACACAATTACTTGTTAAGTATTCATTATTATTACAAATTTCTTGAACATTAATCCTATCAGCAGAAGATGAAATCCACATAGGTTTAATTGTCGTATTACTCATAACATATTGTTCTTGTGCTAAAGTATTATTAAATACAGAAATAAAACAATTAATATTTATTATGCATATGGAGTTAATAATCAACTCTTAAAAGATTTCATAAAATTCAAATTTTTCCAAGCTCAAACTTAAATTGATCAAACAGCAGTCAAATAATTGTTAATAATAAAATAGTATGAATGTATTTAAATAATAAAATCCACATACCTTCACTTAAAACAAACTCAGCTTGATCAGGTTTTGATACTGATTTCCTTTCAACTTGTAATACTCTTGATTCTACAGAAGTATTAAAATAATAAAACATATATTATTGTATACAGTATATTAGTATTGTTTACAGTTTTTAAAATAAATATATTTAATTTATTTTTGAAAATTAAAGAACTCCATGCAACAACCACTAAAGTCTACTTTCTTTTAAAAATCAGTTTTTGGCAAATTAGAATACAGTTTTTTCCCTTTTCAATTTTATATAAGATAAGTTCAATTATTATTTACAGAAATATAGGTTAAACTTGTCTGAATAAACATTTCAAGCAAAAAACTAGTCAAGTCTGAACTTATCCAGTTTTTTGATCAAAAGTGATTACTCAGTGTAAAATCTGATAATTTCTCACATTTTAAATAATATACTATTAAATTTAATAGGTAATCGTATTTTTATCAGCAAAAAATTTGGGAAATCTGTTTTCCAGAAAAATATTTTATTTGACTTAGTAATAAATCATAATATCAACACAAATATTTGAATAATGTAACTAACCTTTTAAATTAATATTATTATTCTAAATTAGTTTTTACTATTAACCACAAATATTTAAAATTAAAATTCCAATAAAGGAGCAAGTTTATGATCAAGAAATGACCAGTAGGGAGCAGTTTAATGAGTGAATAACTAATGAGATAAAAAATAATGCCAACTCCAGAAATTTTCAAAGAAAATATTTAAAGGTCATTCCATTAACGAATTTTAAAATGTATTGAAGTTAACAGAGGTCATATTTAACAGTTACTGTAAACAATGTTTATTATCTGATAATAATTATAAAAAAATTCAATAAAAACAACTGAATTTTTTTTTTTTATATTTCTTACAGTCAAATTAGTCATATTTTTCTGATAGCATCATTTAATTGGTGCTTAAATAAAAAATAATTTACTACATTGAAATCCCTGTTAAACATACATATAAATTTATGTCACACCAAAATTATGATTTTGGACTTGATAAACCAAAAATAGCAGTGATAATGATTATTTTTAGAAAATATGGAGTGACCTCTTATTTTGAATGAATATTTTACAAATAAAACCAGTAAAACCAAAATTTAAAATGTACTCTTAAAAAGCCACATATAGAGTAACAAACTGTTAATTGGCCAGTCTTTTCTAGTACGCCTTGTATACAATATAATTAATAAAACAATTTTTTTTTAGTTTTATTCTTCATGAACAATTTTAAATTCTTTTAGGAGCAAAGAAGCTTTGGTTTTACAAAGATGTTTATTTTTTTTTTATCAGTGCGCAACATTTCTACCAGCAATTTCGTCCTAATTTTTAATGATAGAAATGTTTCTAAAGGAAAATTTCACTAGGGAGGTACTTTAAAGAGATCTTTTGATTTTCCTTAGTTTTCCATGTATACATTAATTACTTACATATAACAGTGGCTGCACCTGTCCCCATTATCCTAAGACATCTTTTTAAAAGTGGAATTGTCATGTTGTTGCATGGGACCCTTTAATTATGATTTTAAAGATACCTATGTATAAAATATGTCAGGAACACAAATATTTTTCAATTAATTTAATTAATTTGTTAGATATTCTATCACAATAAATTGTATTTGTTCAAATTTTCCGTCAGGAAAAAAAGTAAATACTAAAATAATTTAATACTTTGAATAAATAATAATGAATACAAGTGGTAGGTTTCAATTCAAACTGAATAAACAATTCCTATAATAAAACAATTGCTCTCAGGTAGAACCACACCAAATACAAATCAATCAAAAAAAGTGGACACAAATAGTAGGATAGGCGTTATTATCAGGCAGATAGGCTGTAATATGTTTGTCTGTATTTTTTTGTATTATTAACAGTAGTTAACACTGTTTGTACATTAATTGTATTTGCACTTTAATAGAAGTTGTTAAATTTAAAATTTAATCAAAAGTAATTTATTTGAAAGTATGCAGAAAAGAAAATAACATTTTACCTATTACAGTAGACTCCGCTTTATTGGGACACAACGAAGCTTGTTATTTTGTCTCAATAAAGCGGTTGTCCCAAATAATCTGAAATAAAAAAAAAAACATAAAAATATGTTGGTAGTTAGTTACTGATTCAATAATGAAAATATATAAAATAATAATAATTTTGGTGGTTGTAATCTAATTTTGTTGAAAATGTCTTTTGAGCATCATTATTATTTCAAAACATTGTTATTGTACACACCACACAAAATTAATAACTGCACACTGAACACACATCGCATTTGAACATCATAATTATAATATTAATTTTATTTAATACTTGCTACCTAATAATTTAATTTGATAATAAAATGTTTATTAATATTTAATATTGTTTGATTATTGATCATAATTGATATAATATACTGGATAAAAAAACTCCCAATTATTTGGTTTCATGGCCCAGATAAAGGGTGAATATTTACACTAAATTTGCCTTGATTAACTGATAACTCTTTTAAGCGGAGTCTACTGCATTTAAAGTCTACTGTATTTGTGATTACTTCAAACTATATTTTTTTAATTTTTGCAAACACATATAAATAAATTGTATTAAATAATTATAAGCTTTTTAAAATTAAAATTAGAATAATATAACATTATTATCTTTTTGGAAAATAATTGTTGTAACAATAAAATTAAAAGTGATTAGATTAAAATTGATGACAGAAGCAGAGAATTGACATAATAATGGTATAGGCATATTCTCTAAAAATATTAAATACTATAAAACTAACCTGTTCTACTATCATCATCCGTTTCACTAATAATAAATGCTTCAGTTTGTCTAGTTGGTGAAAAACTATCTAATTGTTCATTATTGTCAATTATTTGATCCTTATCTATAAAAGAGGTATACATTTAACAAGAGAAACAATAACATTTTATGTAATAAAAATGTAATTTATAGAAAAATTTACCAATTGTACTTCTTTCAACAGCATTTTTATAATATTCAATTTCTTCATCAGTTACAGCATCAAATGGATTTTTAGCATATGGTGTTTTATAAACCGTAGCATTGTGTTGATAATTTCTTTGTATTATACCTTTTGAGGCTGCACCAACCAGAATAACTTGATCATTGTTAGTATTTAAATTAGCTTCCTAAGTTTGAACAAATCATAGTTATCAAAAATATGAAAATAATATTAATTAAATTAGTACTTGTAACTTTTTGGCTTCTTCCCAAGAGACTCCATCTAATATTTGGGACTGAGGTCCAGAAGTAATTTTGTCAGCTCTACGATTTTCTTTTATCTAAAAATTTGATGTTATAATAAAAAAAAAAAGGACAAAAAAACAGTTTTAATTAATAAAATAATTATTTATTTACTTGTTGTTGTAGTTTTTTAAATTCTTTTGGATTAGTATTTTTTGGAACAAATTGCAAAGGACCTTCAATTTTAAAAGGTGTGCTTGAATTTGGAGATGCTTCAGACACCCACTAAAAAATTATTACTATTTTTTAAAATTTAAGTAGTAGACAATTATGAATTCTAAATATTTACTATTTAATTGTTTATTTATCATTTGCAAATATCTTTACAAAAACAAAAAAATTAATTCATATAACTAATTTTTTATTTAATTTTGTTAATATTTTTAAAATTGTTTCTATGTTAAAATGTTTAATTTTGGACATACACATTTAGTAAAAATGCTAATATTCAAAACCAACATATTTTTAAATGTTAATACAAAAAATACAATATACACAAAACATACTATAACTATATTGTTAACCAAACTGTTTTATTTATACATTTATATATTTATTCAGTGATGAATATCATAATATGAATTAAAATGATACACATATAAATATAGATTTCCTAAGATTAATAAAAACACTAAACTCTATTCAAAATAACTTTCTAAAATGTGGTTTTATTTAATCAATACAGAATGTTAATAATAAATATCATGGCTTAAGGAGTTATTAAAAAATAATTTTCAGTTAGTTTACATTAAATAAACACCATATGAAAGACCCAAACCAGTAAATCAAAATAAATGTGTAATAATTTATTAGCATATATTATAAATAATAATTTGATTTTACATCATTGCAATTATAAAAATATATAATATTTCAATAAATTCAATTACAATAATGTATAGCTTGCTAGCAAAGCGTATATTATAACAAAAATGTTCTAAAGCACTTAATCTTAAGTGTAATTAAGTTTTCAAGAATGTTAAAAATTACTGTAAGCCCAAAATAATGGCTGATAAAATATTTTTATAAAAATCAAAATATATTTAAAATACTATCTTAGATTAATTTAACAATGTAAAAATGTTAGTATAACATCACCATTAAAAGAAATGTTAACATTTGACATTTGATATACTACAAACACATGTATAAATTTACTTGAGATAAATTAAAACTTACTCATTAAAATTGTGAATAAAGGAATACATAAAAAATAAAAATGAATTAGTTTTCTACCTTCGTAATTTTTTTAGGATCTGTAGTGCCAGTTTCTAGAATTTCTACTTTTTGGTAAACATTAGGTGAATTTAACCATTTAGATCTATCAGTTGACTTGCGACCATCATAATATTTTTTCCATTGTCTATTTAATATAAATAGTAAAGTTACAATATATATTATAACAAAATACAACAGATTTGTTTGTAACATACCCATTTTTGTACAATTCTTCTTCTTCCAAAAGATAGCCAAGTGAAGAAACTGCTGGTGGTACTTCTACATCATTACGAGGCCGTGGAGGATCTCCTTTAATAAGTGGCTGCCGATATATATAACCCGTACGAAAACCCTAAGAAAATAATCAATTATTAAAACAAGTGATAATATTTGTATCAAATTAAATTGTTAGTACAATCACTGAATTTTCTAATAATAAAGAACTTTTAAATTAAATTCTATGGTCTAGTAAATTACTAAATGATGTTATAAATGTACTAATGTTTAACATACTGCATTGTCTAACATCCTCATTAAGGCTTCAAACTGAATTCCACCCAATCTCCAACGTTTATCTGTAACAGCAGCACCAGCTGGTAATGTGGCAAGTACAATACCTTCTGGTGGAGACCTAGCAGAGTCATAAATAACTTTGCGTTGTTCATCTGTCATTGTTATAATGTTGTCTAATCCCAAAGGTAACACTTTTAGCTAAAACATTATTATAAGAAATATATAAATACCTGTACAACTAATTGTTTTTATTAAATTTGATTTACCTGGGTTTCACATGCCGTAACAACATTATATGCATTGAAAAATGCTTCTTCGATAGATTCTCCACAACATACAGCGCCATGATTTGTGAAAAATATAACCTAAAAATAATAATGGTATCATTGATGACTTATATGTTGAGTATGATAAAATAGATAAAATAAAAATTGAATTATCAAAAATGTATGATTTAAACAGATTGGATAGAATTATGAATAAATAATTCTATGATGGAGGCATAATCTAGGAGTAGCAGGTAGATTAGGAAAATAATACAGAATATATTTAAGGTTTGTTGAGACAGTGAGAAAAAAAAACAATGAAATAGTCGAGAATAATGATTGGGAAAAGTTAAGGTAAAGAAATATCCAATGGCTAAAGGTATGAGTGCATGTAGAGTATTTAGAGAAATGGTAATAAACAGATAACGAACAAAGAGTAGCTGACCATACTTGAAGGATAAAGGCAAAGGGGAAAAAGATTACTAACAGATAATTAACCTTACAATACCTTATTAATGGGTCCTAAAGATCTTGCAATTTTTTCTTTCTCATCTGGATCTATTGTAAACCCAGGAAAACCATAATGGGACACATCACCAATCAAAGCACTTTCTTTACTTATATGCAATAAGCCACACCGCAAAGATGATACAGCCAAAACAGGTCCTCTGTAAAGAAGAATAATTAATAGTATGACAATAAAATACTTATAGAAGAGTTAACATACACTTGTACATCAATAATAGCTTTTAAATCTGGTCTAGCAGCATAGATAGCAGCGTGAAGTTGAAATGTTGTGATATTTACACCAAAGTTTGTTGTTCCAGATTCCATAACATGGCCTTGCATATCTACTTTAATTAAACTAGATGCTGTTACTTCATTACACAATAAACCATATGGATTGATTAAAAAATGTTCTTCTTCTTGGTTTAGCCTAGCCTAAAAATCCAATAAAAAAAAAATGTATATACATTTCTAATTTCTGCTATAAGGCTTTTAAACATAAATATCTCAATTCCTAAATATCTAAATAAATGAATGATAAAAAAAATTAATTAATTAATAATTACAGAAACTTGGTTGTGAATTCCTTGAGTCCAGCCATACAAATCCATTAGTCTGAACACTGCAGCCAATTTGCATCTGATAATTTTTTCACCTTTTACATATCCCATACTATCCAAACCACGAATGTCATTGATTGGAACCACACAATTTGAAGAAGCTACAAATTATAATTAATTAATATATTGAAACTATGAATAAATATTAACAATATTATTTTTAAAAGAAAAATGTAAAATATTTTTGAACAAAATACAAACATTTAGACTGCCGTCCACCCATCATGTCTGTAATTTGTTGCAATAGTCCTACAGGTACAGAATTTCCATCTTTCATTTGTACTTCAATTATTCTTTCCAGCTCTTCACGAAACAAACGTGAATTCATAATCATTTCTACTCGTTTGCGTCTCTCCATTTCTTTAACATCCTAATTCACAATAAAAAAAAATTATAATTTACAATTTATATGATTTACTCTATATCTTACAGCATCAATATCAGCTGGTCTCATTTTTCCACGTTCATCATCCTCATCATTTTTAATATCAGCATACCCATTGCTATGAGGAGTTTCAGCTTCTATTTCGGTCATCTTTTGAATATTATTGATTATTAACCTATAAATAAAATATTAACAATATGTTTTATAGATAAATGTATATAATAAGAATTTATTAAGTATAGAGAAACAAATTTAAATAATTAGTAAGGTAAAGCCAAGAGGTATACCTCCATCAAATCAAATTGAATAGAAAACATAATATTATAAAACTGAGCTACTTAGCACCTTAGGGGATAACTTGCACCATAACAAAATTTTGATATTAATGATCATTATAAGTAGCCAGTAGGCATTAACTAATCTGGATTTATATTACTTGAATTTCCCTAACACCAATACTAATTGTTTTTGAACTAACATTAATCAATAAATTTCCCTCCATTTATCGCAAATACAAAAGATAATGGTCAATATGTAATATATTGCTCAAAATTTTGGGGCATTTCATTTAAAAAAAAAAGGCTAAATGTTATTAATGATATTGTACTGTTTGTAGATTAAGGAACACTATAACTTGTAATGGATTATTTATTTATTATGAAAAATATATAATAAAACTAAAATCTGAAAATGTATAATTTTGTACCAAAAAATTTTAATTTTTTTTTATATTTAATACTTGATGAAATATTTTAAATAAATGTTAACATTTTATTTTAGTATGCCAAACATACATAAAAGGTCATTGGGTTGTAGGCTTTATCATAATTACTCTGAACAAAGAATACTATAGATGGTCAAAAAAGAATAATATTATGTATTACAAATGGAGTGATGTTATGATGAGAATAAAGCCACCAATACTAGTGAAAAGAGGCTATTTATGGTACATGAGATAAATTAATATACAGAATAAATATGTAGGAACTGAAAAGTGATATTATTATGTTAAAAAAGTATAATGCTTTTTGGTTATCTTGACTACCAATAATAGTTAAAATATAATATAATATTATATTAAATAACAATTATAAAAAAAATTCAGTTATCACAACTACATATATTTCCACGTTATTGCTGGATTGCTAGTAAAGTGTACTAAAATAAAATATATTAATATACAATACAAATAAAATAATGGTAATTTTACTGCTTTCTACACTTAAGGCGGGTTCACACATGTCAGTTAAAACTGAACAAGTTATGAACGTGTGAATTCTTGTTTCAGTATGACTGAATCATCAAAATTAATTATTATTCTATTAAAACTAATATATTTTTGAAAACTGTATATAAATCTAAACATCTATAACTTTAAAATGAAATAAGTTATAAAAACATATTATTAAAATTACTTTTACAATAAATGTTTAAAATTGAAAAACAAGATAATTAGTACAAAGTAACCAGCTTTTACGATATAATTTAACTTAAGGTATCTATTCCTGAAATTATATTGAATTTCATTAAATAAGATACCAATGACATAGCCAGGGAGCTATACTATGGATATGGAAGCCACCCATATAAGCCATACAATAGTTTTACACATACCTTTATAAAATAAATGGATTTTTTTAATAGTTTATAGACTTCTTAATATAATTATTACTCCTCTAGAAAAATAAAATATCCAAAAATATAAAAATCCAACCATACCATTACACACCCATGTAATTAAGTCACTAACAATAGATAGATAAATAATACACAGTTTTTAGTTGAATTCATATGGTTACCTATGCTGAAATAATTAAATCGGCATAAATACTAATAATGGTTATACTCTGGTTGGGTTATATATTTGATAAAACAAATATTTTAGCAGTATTTAATAATAATAATTGAATAACAAAATAAAACATATTTATTAAATTTTAAGACTTCAGAAATCTAAACATTAATCTTAATATTTGAAAACAGGTTAGTAACAGTCCACAGTAGTTTTTTTTTTTTTTAATAACACGGTAATTAATATGTGTTTTTTTATGAAAATTAAAATTTATCAAACCTAAAATTATCTGTTCAAATAAAAAAAAAAAAAACATCCAATACATCTAACAGGTGTGCCACTATTGTAGGTGATGAGAATTTGGGAAGGTAAAATTGTATACATAGTAATTTAATTTATATTTGCACACAGCAATTTCCTTCCCTTCAATTTGTGCTACAGAAAAAAGATTGTGAATGAAATTTAAATAAACCTTTTTTGAAATGACACCATTGATACAATTTTCATCAAAATTTGAACTTGGACATTAAATGCATACAAAAAAAAAATCCAACATGCATTTGTTTTTTCCTTATTTCGGTAAAAGGGGAAAAAACAATTTTTTTTTTCGACACACTGGTTTGAACTCTGGGATCCTTGATCACCTAGGGTGATTACACCCAAATTTTCTTTTTTTGACTACAAAGACTCATAATGAACCTCCAATTAAATTGTCAAGCACTTCTGTTAAGTCTAACAATTTTACTACAAAGTACTTACTAAATAAAAATTACGAACAAAACTCGTAAAATTAAAATGTCTATAAAAAGCTTAAAAATGGTTCAAATGTTTTTGAAAATTTTACCATGTCTAGAAAAGGCAAATATTAGTTTTCTGTCCAAATTTCAAGTTTCTACAAAATTAAAAAATAATAAATCCATTATTTTTGTAAATTTCCCATTTTTCTTACGTTTTGTATTGGTTTTTCCCAGATATTATGAAATACCACTTGGTAAATCAAAAAATTGACCTCCCAAAAGTATCATCTGGACAACATTCCCTTTTAGAAATGGTGCCGAGCGTATACATTTGCGCAAGATGTTTGATAGGATTTTTTGAACATAGCATAAAAAAAAATAAAAACAAACATCTTAATAAAACCAATACATTCTTCGGTACACTCAGAATCTAAAAATATGTATCATTACATTTTTTCTTTGACAACCAAGTAAAACTGATGAACTTGTATTAACCAAATTACAACAAAAATAAAATAATAAAAACATTTATTGAATACAATTTTTTCCAAATTATTAAGAAAACTACAAGGTAAATAAAATATGTTTTCCCCAATGCATCAAATACAAAAGGTGTTACACTTGATGATCGAACCAAGATTTTTTTATTGGAAAATTTTTTAAACAGAAAAAATAAAACGCACACATCACGGTAAAACATGCTTTAAACCTAAAATGATCAATTAGTTTTTATCAAGTAAATAATAGCTAAAATTATTTATATTTATAAAGTATCTACGCCCAACATAATTACCATTTTTTAGATTTAAATTTAATTGGGTAGACAGTATTTTTATAATATGTAATATTTAGTACCAAGGTACATATATTAATATTAATTAAGGTATTGGTATACGTACGTTGTTAGTAATAAAAAAATTAAATAGGTATCCAGATAATATTGATAGATTTTTAATTTATAGTGATACTTAGTAAGCATAGGTAATTTTTTTTTTTAAATGATTACAATAAATTAACAGTTAATTAGAAATCTTATAAAGGTATTGCTTAAAGAGAAATTATATAAATTTTCTATGATATTTTCTACTAAAGACTACGTTAGAAATAGAAAGTAAAATATGTAGGCATTGTCTTAATTTGTATAGAACATTATAATATAGGTAGGTATATAATGGTGTTCATAAAATTAAATGATCATTTATGTTAATATATCATTATTACACTCTGACCTTATCAATAAAAAAACCTCGAAATAAAAACATTAAATATTTATTGTTATTAACTTCCTGATATAAAATAGGTTAGTTACAAAGTGGAAATCATTAGACTACCTAGTATCAAAAATAAAATAATTTGGTAAACAAAATAAAAACAGAATAATTTGACTATACTCATTAACAGATTGTGTTAATTAATTCTATTTATAACCTACATAATTAACAAAGAATAGTTTTTAAATAATATAGGTACCTATCAGCCTAACAGGAAAAATAAATTAAACCTGCTCTTGTTTAATATTAAAACTCCAATATTCTGCCTTCAATTTTTAAAAGAGTAGTAAAGACTTATTAATATTATTCAATAAAAATATAATATACCACTATTTTTCGTGACACACATGAACAGAATTTACATCTATCTGAACGATACTGGAAATAAGGATAGAGATACCAAAAACTTAAGTTTGTAATGTTTAATGCATGTTTACTGATAAAAGTTTTTCTATAGACAGTTTATTTTGTACCAAATGGTTAAGCCTGAGCATAATAATTCTTCAAACTACTACAGTATCACTAGAGTGCCGCATTATTTTAAAACGTTGAACTACCTACTTTATGAAACAATTCATTTTAATTAAATATGGTCTTTTAAATTTTAAACTGCCCACCTAAAATTATATACAATATTGAATTGAGGTTATTAAACACGTTTCAGTACATTATGTAATATAAAAATACATAACAAATATTACGGTTTAAAATACTCGGATTTTTATTAAAAAAAATTGATCTAAAAATTACGCGTCATAACAAAAAAATCTAAGCACCTTCCTATCTAACAAATTATGTTAATATAGATATAATGTAAGTACTGATTAAGTTAGTGATGTATGGATAGCTATCGGTAATCATTTAATCATTATGAATAGGTTCAAAATTAATTTATCAAAAAACATATTGTTCGATTGTATTGTATTTAATATATATATATACATTTTTTTATTTATAAAGCCAATGGGTAGTTAATCTCTGACCTATTACAATCTAAGAACGTATATACATGACTACGTGAGCAATATTCATTCACAACTGACCAAGTGGATAAACATTTCATTATAAATTATAAATTGCCTATATTTTTTAATGCATGACTGACATAAATAATTAATGAGAGTTTATCATTAAAATAAAACAAAAACAACTAGGAAGTTACTAGGGATTAAAATTTAATCTGAATTATGTGAATATGTCTGTTTCACTATCTACTAAATAGACATTCAAACTTGTACCTATTTAAATTACGATAGAAGAAATAAAAATGCACGGTAGGTACCTATCAAAAAAAAAATACATAGGTAAATATTCATTTAGATAATAATTATGTACAATATATACATACCTACATGATATTACAAATATATAACTACAAGTAAGTAGATAAATATATATGTATGTAGGTATTACCTACCTAATCGTTATGAATCTGCATGAGAGTAATCGATTTGTTATATAATAAACTAATTCGGGTGAAAGTTTTAATATAAATAAAAAATAAAGTAAAAGTATACGTATGACCTTATATGACAAAACTATATTTATGTTTTTTTATTTTACAAAAAATGAAGTAGAATGATATCGCATAAATCAATTAAGTTAGTATACTCATCGATTACCTGCGACATTACAATACCGTTATCGTTGTTTAAACTAATGATGATTAAGTAATGTCATTTGTGTGTATATACATATGAATAGTGCATTTAATGAATACACCTTATCTATGGTGTAATAGGCACGTATCCATTTAAAGTGTACGTATAATAATAACACACTATTAATGACCATAAAATAATTAGTTTCCACTTTTGTAATAATTAAACGAGTATCTAAATACCTGCCTAATAAAATAATTATGTTTTTAACCTATTAAAAGTTGCGAAAATTACGTTGGTTAAGATATTTGAATTTAATGACGCGTAGATAGGTGAAATACAACAATATTAATATAACGCAGCTATCTATCTACCTGCACTTCATCATAAATACCTAGAAAATACAAAACGGGCACAGCTTACTACGAGTGGATAGATAGGCTGGTGTAGTGATGGCACCAATGACGGACGGCAATCGTGTGGCAATTGTTTCGGAACATAATAACAATACGGGGCACCCACCAGTAGATCCTATAAATTCCAGCGTTTGTTGAGGATTAACCAAACGTCGGGTGCAAAGGCCTATTGGAGATGGGTACGTACGGCAAGTGTTCCGGAAACGACACGACGGGCAATCATGTCGAAAGGGAAATGTAAAAACGGAAACAAAACAAACAACTGACGGGTGTTCGACACGGACATTTAGGACGCTATTATTTCCGGATAGGTACACCCGGGGCGCGGAGAAAAATCGTTAAAATGCGATCCACCGCTCCGGCCGGGTGCACGCGTATCGTGCGGATCATCGCGACAAAAATAATAATTCGTTCGCGAGCACGGACACACACCCCGAGGGCAAATTAAAACGCACGGCACCCTTAACGAACAGGCGACACAAAACGTATCGACTGGGTATCGTAAGTGGCGCGCCGTACAGTAACCCGTTCGGACATGGGCCGCCGGCAAACGTAAGTGTACGGGGGGGAGGGGGGGGGGCGGGAGAGAAACGGAAACTCGGGTCGATTGTCTGCAATAGCTTTCGTGAGCCGCCGATGTAAAAGATGCAATAGAGACCGTGCGAGGGCGGCGACGGGCGAGATTTGTCGCGCGGCGTCGACGGCAAAAGCGGACGGACAATGGGTACGTGCGAGTTTTCGGTGGCGCGCGCGGTAACGGGGACGGAAAAGCTATAGGTGTAGCGGCGGCACGGCAATTCGTCAAACACACCCACCTTCCGGCGGACAGTAACACTTACCAACGACCGGGAAAAAGGAAACGAATCGCCGGACGGACGGCGGCGACGGCAACACAAGCTCTGGACGCAAGCTCTTTCGGGAAGACGGGCAGCACGTCGTGGCGCGTACGGATATGGATGTGGCGGCCGACGGTCAAGATGACATTACCGAATAACGTCGAGCAGGAAAGAATAAAAAAAAAAAAATAAAAATAAAAATAAAACTAAAAAAACGTAAAAAACAATTTGGTGAGTTAACCAACGACAACCAACACACTGACGTCGGCGGTGGCGGGCGGTGACTGGCTACGCACACAGACACACGCACACACAAAGACACTCGGCAGACGCACGCACTCACAGACGACGCAGAATCGGGGCGCGCGCACGCACAAAAGGCTGAGGACGCACGCAGACGCACAACGGTACGAACGAGTAAAGTACGGGCGGCCAGGCGGCGGAGCGCCGACACAACGCGCGCGCACACACAGACGCACCGGGACAGGCGCACGCACGCGCGTCTACTCGACGACACGATCGAGTTAATGACTCCAAAACACGAACCGCAAAAACAAATGGAATCCGCCGCCGAACGTTACACCGGAGATACGCCCGTGCGTGCCTGTGTATTAGTGTGTCGCGTGCGCACGCGCACTATTCGGTATGCGGAGGACCGGTGATGGCGTGCAGACGAGTGGCGGTAGCCGCACGACGTCCCGATCCACGGTCGTTGGCAACACTGTGTGTGGACGTTAACTCACAGATATTATAATATCCGATATCGTAATAAATATCGGTGTTCGTATCTACGAGTTACGTCGACGCGTATCTGGACTGACGTCTGATGTACCTACACACATGCCATAAGCTATAATAGTATTCGAAACTAGGACAAAATCGTAGTTTATTTTTTTATAGACCAACGGACAAAATCTCTCGATTTGCATATCGATTTCCAAGTTGAAGTTTCTAAAGTTTCGATTGGTTATTAATTAAGCGGAACTTAGAAAAAAAAACTATTCACAATTGTCTTGGATTAGCCGGTTGCTTTGTTCGGTATCTACTTGCCAATTATTATAGTGACTACAATACTATATTCTCAGCAAGCCCGGATTGGGCGGGACACATCCCCTGGGGCAACGAATGTAATGGGCTCTCTGTGTCATAATTTATTAAATTAAATAGGTTAAATTTATATTAGAGGGCCCGTTTTAATATCAGGGCCCTTTATCCAGCTTAGGTACACGAAACTTGTTAGTGAGACCTTATTATAATAGTTACTAGCAGTGAAAATATTATTTTAGCTTTAGATTCTGAACGAAGAATATATATATATTGGTTTTATTACGATGTGTGTAGTTTTACTCAGTCCGTCAACAACTTTTCTACCAGGAATCATGCTTCGATCGGGGGGTGACTGACAGCAAATTTTATCTCGTTGGTACTTGCTTTGAAGTCGTTTATTGATTTTCATGTAGTTTCTTAACAACTACTATTAGGAAAACCGAACACAATTTTTAATATACCACATAACGGCTTCCGTTATTTTTGATTTTGATTTTTTTCAGTTTAAAATTATCACAAAATATTTATATTAGCTAGTCCTTACTAGACACACTAGAGGTACAATATTCAAAACATTTTGATGGTTTTTGAGTAGTTTATAGCCATTTGAAACGATTAAGTTTATTAGTTTATATTTGGTTTTAATCGTTTTGGCTCAGCAAACACGCCTGCGAATTTAACGAGTGATTCATATTAAATTTCACTTAATGGTAACAAAAAAAATAAAATTTGAAAAATAAAATTGTTTAAATTTTCGGCACTTGTCAGTGAGAGGCAACAAGTGACCCAGTTCTACGTAATATAATGTAATAATAATTGTAAATATTACTGTAATTAATGTTAATTATAGGTAATTAAACAAATATACCAATATTACAATAAGCAAACCCTGTACTCACCTATGAAATTTCTCACATTATCACAATATATTATCTTGTCTTAATATTGTCAAATTTAAATCGGTATTTTCTTTGAGTCCAAACTTAAATTTGACTGTTACATCAACAGAGTTATTAACGAATCAAACAAAACCTTTGGTTTGATTCATTGAAATTGTACAGACTTTAACGGTGAACTTGACCTGAAATCTATAGGCATATACTGTTGCTTAGTATACGTTCAATTTGTGAATATGGCTCTATAATACGGTCTCCGTGGCGAATATTGTAAACTAGAAAAAAATAAGCAAAAGCGCTTACGATTCCTGTCATTTAAAAGCTTCGTGGCTTGGGAACCGCGCTTATCGTACCCCCTCTTTTATCAATTCTTAATCTCAAAACACTTGAAAAACGTCGTTTGCGATGATCTGGCATAAGATTTTGGCCGAAAATATTTACTGCCCCGAGTTCTCAAGTCGTATTTCCTTCCGTACTCCTAATCGTAGTCGTAGTCATAGGTCTAAAAATATATTATTACATCTTGCAACACAGAAGTAACTATAGCTATGCAAACAATGCAACTCGTAATAGAATGATCATGAAAACCATAAACGAATTCATAATCGATTGGTTAATTGTTTGGATCACTAAACTCCGACTGATTTAGGATATAATGTAATGTTTAATACTTGTCGATTTTTAGCTATAAAATTAGTTAAAAATTATATTTCATTTGATTATGTACCAACGATTTGTATTATTATCTAATTTATTTGAGCCCGGCCCGTTTAAAACAGAAATAAATAAAAATGTTATAAATAATAATTTCGGAAAGGTTTCAATAGTTTTTCCCGTTGTATTATGTAATATACTAGATGTAGGTTAATCGCTTTTTAAAAATATTCAGAATAAATACAGAAAAAAAAAAAAATAATAGTATTCCGAACATGTAGGTACTCGAATAGGTACTATTGTTGTAATGTGCATATTCGAATAATTTTTGTAAAGTAATAGGTACTTTACAACAACAATAGTACCTATTTTAAAAAAAATATTCCGATTATTTTGCGAAAAGCGTTTGGTACGTATTTAAGGAATTGTAATTTATAAAAGAAAACAGAGCCAATGTGCCGACGGGTTTGCCGCTGTCATAATACATAGGCGGGAACTAACTGAAAATCAGTGCTTTTCGTGAGGAAAACTGAAAATCAAGAGTGAACTGAAGGACGTTTTCAAAAATATTTACAATCAACTAACACCAAACCGGGCGTAAATTTCCGCGTCGTTTGGAGGAACGCGTTGACAAATCCGGTCATTAATGTTGCTGAAAAGGATTTTCCGAGGGAAAATTAAAACGCGCGTCACATTAAAATAATGCTGCGGGTTAACCGTGAAACTCATCGCTAAAACGAGAGCGACCAGTGCCACCCCCCCCAACTATTCGGAACACTGTAATACCGAGTGATGATTCCGGAAAATTGTAAAATTTTAAAATTGCAAAGCCGAGAAGACCCCGAAAAGTGTAAACACTATACCCGAGTGTGAACGTGTGCACGTACGCACCCATGGGTGCGTATCGTATTTTGTAATTCGCGGTCGCGCGGTATTCCATAGCGCTCTGTGCATTATTGCCGTCATTATCGTTATCGTTATTATTATTATTATTATTATTATCATCATCATCATCATCATCATCATCGTTATTATTAACGTCGCCGTCGTCGCGATACACCGCGCGCAACACACGTTACGGGTTGTTTTACACGGGCGTCGCGGTGCGGTACGCCGGCGGCATCGTCGCCGCGACCGGGACGGCGGCGACGCGGAATTTTCGACGCGCCGCGGGCCGACCGCAACGCACGGCGGAACACCGCGGTGTATTATTGTCGTTGCCGTCATAACGCGCGACGCGCGTTATTAATCGCGTTATTGCCCGCGCGGTTTCCGTTTCCGACAGGACGTTGCGCGCCGCGCGGCGGACCGTTGTTGCAGGTACGCGACGGGTTCTGGTCAATCGTCGCGCGCGCGATTCCGCGGGCACACGCGCGTACCTACCTGCCTGCCTGCCGGCCTGCCTGCCTGCCTGCCTGCCTGCCCACCTGCCTTACACGGGCAATAATGGCCCGGCGTACGCCTCGCCGTGCAATAACATTATTCAACGACCGGGGCCGGGTCACTGACACCCGGGGAACACGGTAACACGCGCGCCGGCCGCCGTTCTTTTAACGATTTCTTCGGAAATACCGCGCCCGTTACCGTATATAGGGTACCCGCCTACGCGTAAAATACACCCGACGTACCGATTTTCGCGTGCACGCGTGCACACACAGTACCTACTGGTTAGTTTAAACAGTTTATGTTCCGGCGGTTTTGTCGCGCAAACATTCGAAATACGGAACAAACGTTTTGTAATACAAACGTCAACCTTAACACGCTGTCCTTTAGTGAGGCGATTCCGGTGGTCGACTTTTCAAAATGGAAATTCAAAAACGACAACCCATATTCGAAATCCCATTGGCAGATATTGGGGCGTTTAAATAAACGTCGGTGTTGACGTTTTTGATTTCCATCAATCCGTTGACGAGATATTCCACTATACGGTTTAGATATAGGGACAGTGGAACACTATTATTACACTCGCCCGTGGCGTGTTTAAGACTTTACCTCGGGTTGGGGGGCAATATTAAGGGAGGTCAACCCCTCTCACCCGTTCGCCACGAAAAAAATTGTGGTCATTTGATGGAAAAAAGCCTATTTTTATTTACAAAACAAAACAAAATCTATATTTCTGTTTTTAATATTTGCAAATACATCAATTGTATCATCGACATATTTTGATGCGATTGATTTATGAATATTAATAAATATTTGCGAATACCCTAAATATTAGTACATTTTACTTAACGCGTGCATTCGGTTATTTAAACCTTTTAACCGTTTGAAAGACGCAGGTGTTATTATCACCCGTTAACCGCAATTATAATGTTAGATATCTGTTATCAACACGAATGTCTTCAAAAAATAATAACGAACATTTCTTATGAAGAAAACATGATTTGCAAATATGTCTAGGAGGAGCGATTGTTCCTATCGCCCGTCTCTCTACCTACTCTCCCACCATACCTAAGTTAAAAAAGTTGAATATCACGGCAACGGGTTGATGGAAATCGAAAATGTCAACACGCGAATCCGTTTATGGAATTCTGAATATAGGTCTCATTTGAGTTTCAAAAATCGATTCGCAATACCCCCGTGATAGAGACAGTCGAAAAAAAAAAAAACACTGTTTTTAAATGTTTATCAATCGAACAGCTTGTACAATTACATTTTCCTTTATTCTGAGTATTTACATATTA